TTATACGGCAGCGATTTTCCCATCGTAAAAATGTCCACTCGATCATCACATTGGCGAGCTATGTTTCAATGGTTACATACGAAGAAAAGAGCGACAATACCGCAACAACCTGCGTGTATTACGCTCCAAAACGTATATAAAGGTGATTTTCTCGTCCGAAGATCAAGTGCTCAAGTGTCGAACGTCTTGAGAGACAGTATAGGCCCGCAGCTTCTGCCTCAAAAAGCTTCAAAGAGCGCGCTGCAAGCAATTTCAGCCCTTCACTTGAGACTGGGTAAAATAATTGATCTGGTTATGTGGGAATCACTTTCAGGCATGAAAGTCAGTGACGAATGCGAAAATGAATGATCCGTTCACAATTCAGTAGCTCGATATTGTAACGATTCCACGGTAGCCGCGACTCTACGCATTGATCGCGTACGTTTTATTTCTGCTTGCTAGATTGACATCATTTATTTAATTTTCTCCTCTTATTTTCAATTTTTTTTCATTTAATTATTACTCGTAAACTTTTCAAGTGCAAGCATTGAACTCTACTTTTTTCAGGCGGCAATGAAAAATGCAGGTATAGCTCGAACTCATATCCTTGATGGATCGATGCCACATAGAAATAAATATAAGAGACGTATCGAGTCGAAAAGAGCCCAACTGTCGTGGCAACAGTATTTGCGAAAGTCGCGCTTCGGTCTCCTCGGCCCGGCGTTTACAGTAGCAACAGCAGCAGCAGCAGCAGCTCTCATACATCTTTCATAATTCAACTGTACATTTGTGCCCGATGGACTGCTGCACCGAGTATATAGCTCAAGGTGTGCGATACGCAGCGCAGCATGTGCGTATTATATGCGCGTTGCGCGCCGTGAAAGTAGCCACTTTCGAGTCATGAACGACACGCCTCCATTTCTTTTCTTCTTGCATGTATGTATACACAAAGCTGAATTGCTCATGTATCATGTATGCGCGCATGGCTACGTACAGCGACGAGAGCGCGAGCTCAAGTTTTTCTCCGCCCATTCGCGCACCCGTGTGCGTGTTTCACGCGTACACCGATATGTCAGAGGCAAAGAGAAAGAGAGAAAGATCCTGACCGACTGTCCACATGTGAATGCGAACAAGCCAAGATTTACATATGGATTAATGTATAAATATATATTAATTATATATTAGCTGTGAGTTTAGTTTTTTCATTAATTAATTAATTAGTAATTGAACTGATCTTATCTTGTAGCCTTAATGTAGGCTGAACGAATTGGACCAAACTACGGCAGGTGGCATGTTACTAGGCGCGATTACGATCTGTTCTCCGGGTCGTAGCTATATTTTAAAGTTACTTGCAACTACTGAGAAATATAACTAATTTAGCTCCAGGTTCCACCAACCTCGTCTCAAGTATATACTGATATACCAATTCGTCTTCATTATCAAAAACTACCGAATAAAAAATAATCGGATCCAAGTCGTCATTGTAAGACTCAACTCATATACTATTCGATTGATTGGTTCTTTTCTATCAAAACGTCGTATAATATCCTAGACCGATCGATTTTCCTTTAGTAAGATATTTCTAGTAACATCTTATTTGCGAGAGCAAACTTTTGAGTAAAATTCGACCTCTATAGCCAATGGCTTCTATAATAATTGAATATGATCATGAAAAGGTAATGGTTGAATTTGGCACCAACAGCTCCTTATTTTGAACGTGTTCGCATGCAGCAAAACTGCATAAGAAATTTTTATTGTCGTCACTTACCATCGGCTCTCATCAGTCATCGAAATATATGGTAATTTTGAAATTAAATCGAATTTTCTTCGGATGTGCATATTTTAAAATTATTGGCTCATCATGCATCAATTACGTATCCGTCCGCTCATTACGCTCAATAGATCATGTGCTATAATACCACACCGAAAAATATACAGTAGTTCAAGGTACTTTTTAATTTCACGACTCATGTAGAGGATGTATTATAATATGCCTCGACAAACGCTATACATAATTCGTGAAAATGCGCCGCGATTATTATTCCGTCAAGGGAGCGATCGAAGCGATCTCGGGTGAGCGAGTCTCGCTCGAGAGCTACAGGTCATTATCTTGCGCCGATCGCATCTTCCATACCTATGTGTGTATAAGAAGCAAAAAGAATTTCTACGCGCACACGTATACGCTTCGTGATATATAATCCTCGATGCGAACATTGGCGTTGAAAAATCTTGTTATCGATCGGATTCATCGAATCTTTGTATGTTTATCTGCCTCGTCACGTACAGCACTTACATATATTATGCCTGCATACATGTGCCTTTGACAAACTTGGGCCACACTATACGTGTATGCACGTATGCAGCATCGTTCCATTATACATACACACACGCATTGTGCATTTCTTCTTCTTTTCTTCTTAAAAAAAAACAAGATACGATTGGCCATGGGCAGGCGTGAAAACAGAGTACTTTTCAAAAAAAAAATAATGACTATTTTATATGTGATGATGGATCATTGCCTTGATTAGTTGATTAGTATACTCAATCGAGACTCTTATAAAAGCTGTTACTTTATAATTATTTTGTCTCTTTAACTGTTTGAGATGAATTTTTGAATTTTCTTTCTCGGACACTTTTCTATATTACGGACTATTTCTATAAAGTTTATAAAAGTAAATCCGAAGAATGAAGATGCATAGAGATATATCGATGTAATGTACTACGATTTAACAACGACCTGCAGTACAAAGGCATCATGTCATTACGCTCGTTCCAGACTGAAGTAAGAGCAATCACGATGTGAGCTGTGTACAAGCTCATAAATTTTCACTAACGACGATCGTAGAAAAGGAAAAAAAAGTCACGAAAATGTGTATAATAACACTCGGCATACGCGGGAGGGCGTAAAAAATCCCTCCATGGGACAATGGCGCTCGCGCAATATAGATTCTGACACCTTACCATGTGTAATAGTTTATCGTTTCCGGAGCCACCATCACAAATGCGCATACACGTATACAGAGAACAGGTACATATGCGCACAGTAAAGAGAACTAATCCTCGCGTTCTCTATATGAACGCGCCCAAAAAAATATATATATTATGGCCTCTTAAGAATGAGCAACAAATCCACACATAAATTCACGGACAAATCGATGATGGGCCTGGCGTCAGAGTAGCAGCAGCAACAGCAGCAAAAAAAAGAAAAAAACCTGCACGATATGCACAGATACATAAAGGAATAGAGGGCCACACGCGCGCGTAAAAAATAATGTATATGTAAGGCGTCACTGCGGTGAAATCTCGCACTCGGATGCAGCAGGGGGTCCTCGTTGACACACACGCACACATGCAGTTTTAAGCCACAATCGTTATGTAGATCCCACGCGCAATAAGCCTGTGTGTCTATGTGTATGTGTGCCAGCGAATACATATAAACATATAAGCCGATCATAAATGAGTAATGAAGAAAGCGAGAGAGAGAGAAGAAAGAGAGGACCACAAAAATCGCATGTTTGCCCTGCACGTTAATAATAAGCTCCAGCTGCGAAGAGGTGCGAGAGAAAAATTTTGGGAAGTGTTTCTCTCTCTTCTTTTTTTTTTAATCCTGTCCCGTGGTTTATATTATTATAAATATACAGAGCGCGGAAATGGCACGATATTTATTGCGCGTCGCGAGCCTAACGACACATCGATAAATTTGCTCATTATAATAGTGTTGAGATATATGTATATATGCACACTCATAAGACTTGAGCTTTGCACGCTTATGTATAGCAGCAGCAGCCTTAAGTATATTATAGGTATCTCTCTCTCTCTTTCTTTCTCGCATCATATGGATTTCACGGATAAAATTTCCTCTCCCAACTTTTTATTTATGACTTTTTTTATATGTAGTCTCTTTTACGTGTAGTCTCTTTGTGCCTGGAAATTAATATCTTTATCTGTGCGCGCGTAATAATATGATGCCTGTTTGTTTCAACGATGTCTCGCCTCTTTCTTTTTTTAATATCGCGAATTTAGATGTTAAAAATTCGGAGGCCAAGAGTTAGATTATAAATGTACCTGCTTGTCAAGCGGAGCAGCAGCTTTTCTACTCGATGATAAAATTTAAATAATTTAAATCAGTTATAGAATTTGGCTGTGCTCTATTGCAAATTTGTGTAGACACGTTTCGAATAAATCGATAATATACGTTTTTCGATTCAAACGTCACCACCTTGCATCGATGAAGTGTCTCTTTTTGGAAAAATAAAAACCCAGCAATCAAGCTTTTAAGTACAGAAGATTGCAGTTTTAATATGGCCATTTTAATAATCTATATTATCTCGTTAGCAGTGTTTTTCAACACAGTTTGCGGAAAAAGTTTTGAGGAGCGGTAAGATCAAAAAGAGATGATCATTGAAAAGATAAAAAAAGACCAAAATTGTCTCAAAATGTTGAAAATGATGCATGCTTTTACATTTAGCGAAACTTTTATTTTAATCACGATGAGCGTATTTCTCTTCATCGTTTACTACTACCATAGAAGTACGTAAGCTAAAAAATCTGCATCAGTTCGCACCTTCTACATGGGTTAACGTAAATCACAACTACATAACTCTACACAAACGGTTGCTAGAATGTTCTTTTCAATCAATTGTTATTGAAATTTACGCATACGTATACATTTTGCAGCAGTTTCCAATGATGATATTTTTTCGAATATCAAATATCAGAGTGTTCTAATCATGGGCACTACTTATCTAGCCCACCATAATGTTTACAAATTTATACAATTGTTTCATCTCTTTTTTAATTTTAAAAATTGACTTAGACAGGAAAACGCTATTCGCTAAAATACATTTTTTTCATTCCCTCGAGGACGATTAAATTGTGAGAAAAACTATTGGGCAGTATTTCAAGTGAAAAATCATGACTTTTTCAACGTTTGCCTTTCGCGCGTTCACAGCTCGTCGCTGTTGTTGTTGATCAACAATAGAAAATTTTTACACAGCAGTATAAATCCGAAAGCACCAACGGAAAATTTTCCAGTACGTATTGTACCTAAACTCTAGTCGAATCATTGTTCTTTCTCTCTCCTCATTAGACAATTTAATAATTCCAAAGATGACGGTGGTTTATTACGTAGTTGGGATAGTTGTATTTGTTGCCTTGTGCGCACTTTACGGGTACATAAGAACGAAGTCGGAAAGCGTTTGTCACTACTTCTGGTATCATTACCTCAGATTCAGGGATTGGCTCACCCAATGTAGAAGTCGGGTCCCTACAGAAGAACCGGTGGAGATGACGGCCTAAGGTAATTGAAAAATAAAAGTCAGCCGAGTTTGGCAAATGAATTCGCTAACGGATTGTAAATTTTAATTGTTCAGGGCCCAAATATTCCAAGGATGAAGCTGGCTTTCGTGCACCAACTCCATCGAAAGCTCGAAGGAAGATAATTTCTTCAATCTTCCCAAAAGAACGTTTTACATCGATTAAAATAATGGCATACAATGACTGAACTTGACGAATCGAGACCATGGCAAATTTCACAGGACGGTACCCCCTCGGAGCAACGCACGTAAACAAAAGCATCGACTAAATTTCTTCATTCGACTTACTCATCTACATGCTCGGTGGCGCGGCAATTACATCTTACATTAGCACTCAACAACAACAGCAACATCTCTCATCGGAGCGCGGAAGAGAGCCGAGAGCAGAAAGAAGCCGCACGATCGATTTCGACTACTCTTTCGAGTTAATGAAAGCGAGAGAGTAAGATATTCTCGACGATACGGTGCTCTGTCTCTCCCCTGCCGACTGCGTACATACACACACAAGCTCGAGGAGCCAAGAACGGAAACTGCGCGAGTCCGATCCATCTCTATCTCGCTGCTCGAGCCTCCAGGACGATACAGTCATTTTGCGCCGAGGAAGTTGCGTTGCGCCGCGCGAGCGTATCCATATATACGATATAGCATAATGGGATTGCCGCCCGAAGTGATACTCCGGGTGGTTTTCTCTTCTCGTGTATATACACAAGATATACGCACAAATACAGGATCGCGCGCGGGCTCGTGTTGCATATTGCGCTACCTTGTGGTTAGTTCAATTAGAAGCGATCGTGATGCCGCCGTTGGTGGTAGGCACCACCGCGTCCACCAGCGTCACTACTACCACTAGCAAACATCGGAGTATATTCGAGCGAGCATCGTGTGTATACGGACTGCGGCGAGAGCTCATGTACTTATATCCATCGAAGAGATCTGATGTGTATATTACGGCGCGATGATGGCTCGGCCGCCAATCCAAAGGGCTAATGCGCGCAAACACACTTGAGATAATTTCATAGCCGCTCGCGCGCGCGCGTTGTTGGCTTTAATACCATTTCCAGCTTCGGAGCAGCTCTCTCGTCTGCGGCGCGATGGATTAATTTTTCGATTATTGCTTCACGTATTACCCCCGATGTGTATATATCGCGCACGTATACGCGTACGTATCGCGTGATTTGATACAGCTCCGGAAGATTACTTCATATAATGCCGTAGCAGCAGAAGCAGCGATGAGTATGTGCGTGCACACATACGGCAGACAACGCAGCTCTGGAATTATTTATCCGTTTAAGTGTTGAGGCGCGCGCGATGAGATGAGTAACAATTTTCATACGCACTTACATAGGTGTGCGCCATTATTTTATGAAACTCGATGCGTGTGGGGTCGAGCACCATTTCTTACTTGTTTTTTTTTCATGAGCTTTTGCTCCTTTTTCAAACTCATTCTTTCATTGTTTTTCAAAATTAATTTCAACTTTGTCGACACGATTTTGAATCGTGAAGCGAGCTATACGTGCTACGGACGCTGCGAAAATGAGACTTATCAAACGTCTTATCCGACGTTTCTATACTGACGATTTTTCTTCACGACGAAAAATGGATGATAGGAATGGCGAAAAACGCGTTTGAAAATGCTCATCTTTGCGTCGGGATTAACGTTTAATCGAAAGACTTTTTAATGACAACAGACAAAAGACACTTTAGCGACCAGAGAAAGGGTGCGGTCATGACATTTTACGACAACGAAATATATGCCAGACCTGCGTGTAGCTATATGTAAAGCAAACTTTTTATACAGACAAAAAACACACGTGCCATTATGATATGTAAGATCGTTCGACAAGTATAAATTGTAAAATATTTTAAAATTGTACGTATAAAATTTAGGTACTCAAAAATTTTGACTTCAATTAAATATCAACGCGTTCGTAGATATTTAAATCGGCGATGTATCATTGATTTTGATTGTTTTATTTAATAGCAAAGTTTAAATATGTTATAGACAAAAATTAATTTTTGCATACAGAAGCAAACGTAGGAACAATCGTATTGTAAAAATGTTTAGTCATCATGTAAAGTACGATTTTGGGAATTCTGATAAACAGAAACTTCATCATGGAACAGAATAAAGTGCATGAACTTGCACCTTACCAATCATAAAATCAAGGTTTTATTATTTATTTATTTCTTCTTTCACATAATATTTTTCCGTCTAATTTCTATATCATATTAAATGTAAATGTGGATTCTCTGACTAGCATCTCACGTACATAAATGTCAAGTTGATTTTTTTTATGATTTCTGATTTAACTTGACGACATTTTTCTACTTAAGTTTATTTTGATTAAAAGCTTGTTCAATATTCAATGAATTATAAAAATTTATTTAAAATTATAAGTATTTTAAACTTAGAAAAGTGAAGCTTTTTTTCAAAGCAAGTTATGTCTGGCAGAGACTACAGCATTTACCAATAGAGTAATGAGGATGGATAAGAAAGGACCAACAGTGTATATAAATCCAAGTTGAAAAAAATTGTACCCTTGCAACGTGAAAAGTAAAATAAAAAGTAACCAACAAACAATAAATATCATTATACGACTAATTTTATAATATTGCTACATTTATATTTTAAAAATCATGTATTAATAATTTATTAACTATATGGTAAAAATTATACCTTCTATATCAAGTGCAAATAATTATATAACTTTTGAATATATGGTCTCAATGACAAGTTAATTTTTTGCGAAATGGGGGGTTTCCGCAGAAAATAATTATAAAAATAATATCATTGACTAAAATATCAATTTTAAAATTTTTCAATGAAGAGTTTCCGAAAATATCTACTCAAATTTGTTACTTGTCAGGTAAATAATAAACCTGCAAATATTTATTATGTCTTCAGAAAATTTGTAACGAGAAACACTATCAACATTTAGCCTTATCAATGATCGAAAAACAGGATATTACTCAATCAATTAGATTTGAAATTTAGGTCGATAAACGAGGCCATAAATTTAATTTTAGAAATTAACTTGAGAAACATTTTTAATAAATATACTGAAGAGTCTGCTTGATGGAAAATTTTAAAGTAATAGACAAGCTGAAAGGTAATATTGACAGTAAAAACAAAATATTGATCTATTAAATATGAATTTACTTACCCCATATTCCTGATTCATTTTCGAAAATGTATAGTTACGTAATTTCCAAATAATAAGATGTAAGATTGAACCTTGGTCAGATTAAACGCTGAAATCATTCGATCTTTATAGACATGAGGACATGATTTCTAATAGGTAATATAAAATTTATTATTATCCAGAAAATTTGAACCGTGTATTGCAAAAGGGCAGTTTATTTTTTTTAAACATGTCATTATTGTAAAATATAAAATGATTAATTCACTAATATATGGAATTAAACGTATCACCTACTAATACCATCGGAAACGTTACAGTCTGCAGTAGATAAAGTAGAAAATTTGAATACAACATCAATTAATTAAGTGGTCATAAAAAAGTGTTTTGAAGAAAAAATTGTTTCAAAGATCTAATATGTCCTTCAAAACGCTTTACTTTTTTTATAAATTTACAGATACGACTTCTTTATTTCGAGCAAAAAATTTGAATTTGGCGCTCAATATCCATCTCATGGGCTATTGTCGAGCGCTACCTCTTCTTTTCTCTCACGTGGAACCCGTTGTGTCTGCTTCAGTAACATGGTCAGTTTTATTAACAATTTTTACGAAGAAATTATTAATTATGTGTTTTGCAATAAATTATTCATTAATTTATTATTCTAATTATACGTTAAGACTTTGCAAAATATTTTAAGTTAGTAATCAATTGAAGAAAGTTATTTTAATTAATCTAACCTAGTCAGACTATTTACTCACGATTATTTTTTTTATTCTTAGTGTTGACGGTTTCGTTAATCATGATAACAATATAATGATTGTAAAAAAGTATTATTCTAAACTTTATTTATAAATCCGATTAACCAAACCTTCACTTGTTTTTGTACTTGCTAAGTACTAGAGTAGTGCATAACCTAAAAGCGGTTTAATATTTTTTTGTAGGCATATGATGACAAGTAAATAGTTTACAATGTTTATGAAATATTATTGTATCTGCTATAAAAAGTTCAAGAAATATATTCATTGATCTTAATACCATGAAGTGGATACTAATCATGAAATTTTTAACTTTCAGGCGCGTGGACCTAAAAAGCATTTGAAACGGCTCAATGCCCCTAAGGCATGGATGTTGGATAAGTTGGGGGGTGTCTATGCCCCTCGACCATCCACCGGACCCCACAAGCTTCGGGAATCTTTGCCTTTGGTGATTTTCCTGAGAAATCGTCTCAAGTATGCATTGACCAATTCAGAAGTAACGAAAATTGTTATGCAGCGTTTGATCAAGGTCGATGGCAAAGTCCGCACGGACTCAAACTACCCTGCTGGGTTCATGGGTATGTATCAAATGTCACAACTGTTGTATATCTAAAGGTCTATTAAAAGAACAGTAATACTTTCATCATGAGTATTATTGATATACAAGACCAAAAGTAAAATTTCATTCTTAGGTCACTGATTTAATTGTCATTATTTCTTCAGTATTACCCAGATTGAAAACACTAATTGAATCATTTTATAGTATTACATAGCTTTAGATTATCATATTTTAATTTTTAATACTCTTTCAGATGTCATCACCATTGAGAAGACAAACGAATTCTTCCGCTTGATCTATGATGTCAAGGGACGTTTTACAATCCATCGCATCACACCAATTGAAGCTGCGGTAATTTAAAAAATCATTAAGAATCAATATTAAACTTTTACTTTTGAGTACATCAATAATGAAAAATATTTTCTGAATTTTTAGTACAAACTGTGCAAAGTCAAGCGCGTCCAAACTGGACCCAAGGGAATTCCATTTTTGGTAACACATGATGGTAGAACCATCCGTTACCCTGACCCTTGCATCAAGGTCAACGACACAATTCAATTGGAAATTGCCACAGGCAAGATCCTTGACTCAATTCGTTTTGACAACGGTAATAACGATTTTATGGAGTTACACTGCAAACTTATTTCAGTTGATATGTTTTGATCATATTTTTATATCAATTTTATTTTTATAGGAAATTTGTGCATGATTACTGGAGGAAGAAATTTGGGTCGTGTTGGTACGGTTGTAAACCGTGAACGTCATCAAGGATCTTTCGACATTGTTCATGTGAAAGATGCCCAAGGACATATTTTTGCCACACGGTAAATTTACAATTTGCAATGCAATGATATTTTGATTATTATATTTCAGTTAAAAAAAACCCTAATCATAAATTTTATATTTTTAGCCTTAACAACGTGTTCATCATTGGCAAAGGTACCAAGCCCTATGTCAGTTTACCCAGAGGTAAGGGTATCAAATTGTCCATTGCTGAAGAGCGTGATAAGAGATTAGCTTCCAAAGGTGGTCTTTAAAATGATAAAACAATAAATCAAATTTTGATATCTTATATGCAATTTTTCATTTAAAATTCTGCTTACCCAAACTGCTAGTCTTTTATTGATATTTTTGAACAATTTAAAGAATTGGTTAGGGATAAATAAAAGCCATTTGCAAATCAAAATGTTATTGGCTATATATTATACGAATATTTGATAAATATAACAGTGCCATTCGAAGGCAATACAAAATAATATTTTTGCACTACATGGTATACAATTGCTTACAAAACCTGACTTTGTGATACACATATAAAATATATATCAACAAGAATAAAGTTTTTCTTTTTCAATTCTACAATATTTTTAGTAAATATTTAGAATACAAATAAAAATACTGCCCAAACATATAGAGTAAAATTAAAATCTCAATAATGGCTGGATATATGTAATAAAATTATTTCTACAAACTCGGATAATTGTGATGTTTTTCCATACTTTTCTTAGCGCAACACTACTTACTCATGCAATTCGCGAGTATCATAAAGATCTATCACCCTAGTATATCAGTCCATAGTTTTAGCGAATTTATTTTTGATTAATTCGCCAAATGCAAAAGTTTATATGAAGAGTATTTTGTATATAAGTATATAAGGTCCCAAAAACGTTTCTTGGTGTATAAATGGAAGTCCTATTGGAAACAACAAATAAAGTTCGGAATATTTCTTATAAACAGTATAAATGTTGCCATGAATTTCTGAAAATCAAAGCAATATTCAATTGTAATTGACGACGGACAATTGTTGATAATATGCGGTTAAATAGTTCAAGAGTCTCTATTCTACGCATAAGTTTCATTAAAATACGGAATGTGTCTGTCGCCATTGAAGTAGTTATTGGATAACTGTTGCCATAGCTTCCAGTAAATTAGTTTCATTTACCAACCTGTAACAGACTGAATTAAACAAAATTTATGAGCTTATTCAAGTAGTAAGCTACAATCAAAGTATTGGTACAAAGTAGCAATGACTTCAAGTTTTACAAAATTCAAAATTACCTAATCATGAATATCTAGCTTCTCATAGACTAGTACCATCTTACAATACAAGACACTTTCTGCCTGAAGGTGGTTCTGGGGGCTCTAAGGCAGCTAAAATTGCTTCATCAAAAACATTCTTAAGTCCTTTCTAAAAAATCAAATAGACACATAAATATTTTAATCGCAAAATTAATATTCAAGGCAAGAGATTTTACAGACCTGAGTCAATGCACTACACTCTACATATTTGACAGCTTTTAATTCTTTAGCCAGCTTTTCTCCTTGTTCAACCGAAATAGGTTTTTGTTTATTTTTTGCCAATTTTTCAATTGTAGCAACATCATCCCTTAAATCAATTTGAGTTCCAACTAGTAAAAATGGGGTCCTTTGACAATGATGTGTTATTTCTGGTACCCACTACGATTTTTAATATAATTTTAATTATCATTGGCATCTTTATTAACGTTACTTTGTTTAAAAAAAATTACCTTTTCTTTGACATTCTCAAAAGATGATGGGGAAACCACAGAAAAACAAACGAGAAATACATCTGTTTGCGGATAACTTAAAGGACGCAAACGATCATAATCCTCCTGACCTGTTGAAAAAAATTATTATGACTCTGCTTTCAAATTTTATCATGTATAATATAATGAACATCATAGTTAGACCAAAACAATTTAGTCTTGGACTTACCAGCAGTATCAAACAGGCCCAAGGTGTAAGGATCACCACCAATCATTACTGTGACAGCATAATTGTCAAATACAGTGGGTACATATTCTGATGGAAATTTATTGGTAGTGTAGGAGATCAGCAGGCAGGTTTTACCTACCGCACCGTCTCCTACAACTACACACTTGATCGTTTGCATCTCCAATGTGGCGGTTTATCTGTAAGAAATGACAAAAGATTAGCATGATGGGTATTATATATGTGTACGCCGCACTTATCGATTTATTTTAAATATAAATATATCTGTCGGCTCGATGATATTCAAGATGCACATTCAACTCAATTTTCGTTGATTTAATTTCGATCAAAATAACGACTTTTCATGTTTGTTTGTAAATAAAGAGCATTCAATGAGAATATTTTGTAAAACGTCAAGCATAACAACATAACCTTGATAACGACGGCTATTTGCGGACAACTTTGCGATTTTCGAGCAGAAACTCGGACGCAAAATATAATACATTAAAATTACTTATGAATCTAGTAATTGAGTCATCAGGAGTAGTAAATGATAGATCGAATTACCTTTGCTAACTGCAAATCGCATGCAATAGGAAAAAACAATGCCCACGATCAGTTTGCGTGGGTGCAGAGATGTAAACGACGCAGCGCAGCAGCAGTTCCGAACTAATGACACACTCGCGCTGAGTCGCAAGTGTATAATATAATCGCGTATCTGTGTGCGAAACTGCGAATGCACGCAGCCAAGTGCAGCGGTGCGATGTCGGCCGCAGTCCGGCGTTTTCGTGAATTTGGAGGCTTGGCTTGGCTTTCAGATGGCACCACGTTCATCGTTTCGGGACGCAGTCTCGAGCGAAAATACCTTTTCGTTAAAAAAACTTCCTCCGAGCGGTAAAATAATGACTGTATTCTCAGGTCGATCATCGGCCTTGCGTCGAAAGATGCATTTTTGGACAATGGTTAATTAATAAGTCATTAAGATCTCATTATTTAATTTTTTTTTTCCTAAAACATTATTTTACCTTGAAAAGGGTTGATTAGAATGCAGTGTGTCATGCGTTGTACTATTCTATCAATCATTTTATATTTACACATTTTGATTGGCAAAATTAGGCTCTCAACATGTAAATAAAAACTTATTAAATGACTAATGAAATACCTACTTCATAGAATTTTTAAGAATTTCTCTTCCATATTTTTTTTAATAATTTACCGGAAACAGCTTAAAAATCGGCAGCTATTTTCTTTTCAAATGTAAGGAAAATAGAAAAAATAACGTGTAACGATGGCCAACGCGGCTTAGACGCAGCCGCAGCATCAACGAGCATCGGATTCAGACACATTTTTTATCCAGAAATATTAAGAATATCCGACGATTAAATTATTGCAATCGATAAATTGACAACTCATCGCGATTACTTATACGGGGAATGTGCTATGTGTGCGCTGCGTACGATACACCGAATAACATGGTTTTTTTGATCACAGTTTAAGCGATTAATCTTGTCTTGGCGATTCGCCGCGCGACGTCCAAATTATTATTATTCCCGAAATTTAAACGCGAAAAGCCCAGAACTAATGACCGTTACTGCTTTAGCTATATTTTACATTTTTATGGGGTATGCCAACCTACCGGTGTAAGCCCTACATATTATGTAGCTTTTATACACATTCATGGATTTTAATTGATTTCATGCGAATAGACTCGGGTTAAAATGTATATAAATACTACCATAAGCTTATCTTGTACACACACACACACACACATGATTCGAGCGTTTGACATTTTCATTTTCACACCGTTTACACTGTTGAAGCCATAGGTAAACTGTCTGCCCATGAGTAATCGAAATTACCCCTTCTTTGCATTAGATGTGTCCAGTAATTGTGTGTTTAGGTTTTTCTCGCAAACACACCCAGCACATTCGCTTAGTTGAGAAATTCGCCCTCGATGAAAGAGACGATCGTCGAATTTTCGAGCCGACGAGAACAAATAAAAAAGATAAACTACCCCAGGCGCGATAATGGACAACGCCAGCAAAACGACGAAGAAGAAATTATTGAAGAAAAAGTCGGCGAGTTTGCGCGAAGACAAAAGCGAGTCGTCGAGGCAGGAGGAGCACGAACTCGAGCTCGAGCCGTCGGAGCCGCCGTCGCATCCGAGGCGACGAGCTAGGTCCGACATCTTCGTGGAGACCTTCGGGATCAATCGTTGGACGAGGCCGCAACCGGACTCGGCGACGAGAGACTCGGTCGTCATCGAAATGAGCGTGAGTTTCAAAACATATCCTGTGGAACTGTGGCAGATTCGAAAAGATTTTCTTAGCTTTTTCCGAGCTTTTTCACATTTTCAAATATTTTCTAAAAGGCTCTGCGTACATATAAATATTCAGTGATGATTTCAAAATGTTCAAAATGTTTGGCTTCTGTTGCTTATCGAAATCTCAACAGTTATTGATTTTGTGCGTATAATTTTTTAATTTGTTCTGTTGCTCTAGCCCGAGGCCGATAGCTCATTGGTGAACGAAGAATCGTCAGTGAGAGATAACGACTCGTATCGACTAAAGGCCGGATTATGGTAATTAAATAATATTATTAGTGGACTGCCACATTAAGGAAGCGATCGACGAGCTTATTTTTCATCACCTTTTTTTCATGTCGTTGCTGTTACGCAGGTATAAAAAACGACGACCAAGCGTGCTCTACGTGACACTGGTGATAATGGCCTGCGTGGCCGTCTTCGTCCTTTTCTACTTGCTCTACGTCTACCTGTCCAATCAGCTCATCTATTACAAATTTGCGCCCTATGAGAACGACATAAAATGATGGAGAGGCGAGCGACAACGACAAAACTCAACCACAGCTGCTACTGAACTTTTTTTTACTCTTTTGTATCGCGCACACAACAAAACAGGCATATTTTAAAAATAACGTGTTTTTCATCTGGTTGAATCGATGAAAGGCCAAGACCGGCAATTTTTAATTGTAACGTTCACATAATTGTCATTGTAGGCACAAAAGCATAACTCGACGCAACACATGCTAGAATAAGATAAAACAATTACGTTGCCTACGTATAATGATGCTGCGCGATAGTGTATTATAGTTATGTACATATTAGTGCGTGCAAAATCATTGACCCGTAGGCCGACTCTTTTTCCCCGAGCAGCTCCACCTGTGCGGAGTCATGCATTTATTTTTACTCGTCGTATACATCGGCGGCCAAAGTAACACATAAAATGTTAATGAAAGAAAAAAGAGGTTTTATCTTTGGAACGGTAGAACCGATCGACTCGAAGATGCGATCGAGCTCGAACGCGCGCGCCTATAAAACTTTCTGTAGCAGCTGTGTGGTTTTTAATAAAATCATAAAAATACCGAAAAACATTTTTGTTGCATTAAATAGTCATTTTTACTGCCTCGCGAAAGGGAATGAGAGAGACGGAACTCGTGCCATTAGTGTATCTTCTGCTTCGACCAGACGCGTGTAGAGTAATTTTTTTTGTTCTTCTTTTTTTTATTTTCTCAAAATTGCCGACATTAATTATCATGATTCATAAAGATATCATTTTCGGCTAAAACAATTTTTCGACAGATCTCGATAGTCGCGCGCGCGAGCTCATGATTCATGGCGCATAAATGCTGAATATCCAATTGGCTTCGATTTGTCTTTTTCTCTTATTTCTCGTTGTTGCTGAGTGTATCATGTACTGTGTATATGTTATTATTCGTCGCGGCGCAGGTTTCTCGCGTCTCGTGTGCGGTACACATAATATCCCCGAGCAACGACTTTAATATATACGAGTCTTTTGAAATATCGTAATTATCGACACTGTTACAAATCGTCAAAGTCCGCGTGATATATATCGATACGTCATGTATAATACCGTAGCGATGAGTTTCGTCAATTTTTTTTTCATCTTTTTTTTCTCGATATACCATGTATAGGTATAGGTGAATCGAGCTCCTCTGCGCGGCCTGGTACGTATAGGATAGGTATAAGCCTCGCGCGTAAACAGCCGAGAGCCTTTTGACATAGATCGTCGATAGCATGTGTATATGTGTATAGAGCGACCTACGGTGTGTATATACACACACACACATGCTGAATGTGTGAAGCGTGTCGACGAGTTTCTATTCACTATATATACGTAAGAGAGCTACTTTCGACTTGACGTCCGCTGCCTGCGACGTGCATCTCTCGGGCGCGCGACAGCTTCTTCCTTATAAATATAATGCTCCGCTTGTATATGGAGAGACGCGCGCACATGTCTTTATTATACACGTGGGATCGTCTACATTAAGCGCTCGGTCACATTTTAAAAATCTATTAATCCTGCCGCGAGCGGTGCTTTGCAATGCCGGATCTCTCTTACATACTATTGCACACATTGCGCTGATTCTCCGTATATATATCAAAACTTTCATCCGCAGCTTCTAATCCTCATATTATGTGCTGGTTCGCTTTTCAAGTATCGCTCGCGTAATCCTCGATATATATATACTCTACATGACAACTTTTATACACACAGATCCGATCAGGGACGAAAGAGAAGGAGAGAGAAAGAGAGATGCCTCGTGACCACCTACGCGTGTTCTCGCGGCTAATTTCCTCCGTTCATTCAAGTTTGGAGTGACGCCGTTTTGCGCCTGTACATATTTCGCCTCTTGCATTCGTCACCCTTGACGCCTTTTTTCGACTGACTCATGCACGTGTATCAAGCGGAGGCACTTTTTATTATTTCTTTCGTTTCTATTCCCCTCCACGTGCATCCTTGAATTGCCGTTCAAGTTCCTTTTCTTCTTTTTCCTTTTTTTTTTCTCTTTTTGTTCAACGGCTTTGTTACCTGTATCGACACGTTTTTTCCGATCGCAAACGCGTACAATCATTTTTCGATCGAATTTTTTCACAAATTTTTTCACATTCCAGCAGAGCCAACCTTGGGCCCTCGCGCGCATACCTTTCATATCGTTATACGGCACGCCGTATAAAGTTCGCCGTCGTCTAGAATGTGCTTTTTTGAATTTTCCCTCATAAAGCAATTCTTTGGACATAATTCGGCGTTTTTAAACGGACCTTTAATGCCTTGATCTCGGCATAAACGTACATATAAGCTCGTAGGCGACGCGCACTTTTAAATTGGCTCATCCTGTCTCTCTTTTGTGCGTGATGCGTGCCTGCGTGAGGGCCGGATCGTCCACTTTAAATATACGCATTTAAGCCTTCGAATCCTTTTGTCGTGTCGATATTTTTTTCTCCCGCAGGTAATTACGAATGAAAGCCTGATTACTTCCCGTGCGCGCGATTGTCCCTGCGTGAGACGAGTGTGTGTGTAGTCGTCTCAAGAGTCCTTACGCACATAGAGAACTCAGCGAGGCTCTCGAGCATATTTTCGTTTCGCTCGGCTTGGCTCAATCCGTCTTACAACTGATTTATTCGCGTCTTTCATCGGAACCGTCATGCATAAATTTAGTCTTTTCATTGAATTAAATCTCTCTTTCTCGCTCAGTCTCACTGTCGAGTGAGCAGCAGCAGCAGCAGCAGCATCTTCGCGAGCGAGCTCACACACGCGCCAATAGATACCTAATACATATAATAAATCCTACATAGTTCATCGTACTCGTCAAATTCTCTATACGCTTAAACTCGTTCGCTACTTGATTTCAAATACAACTTGAGGCTAATTGACAAATGATTCGAAATGGCTTTGCGCGAATCGATTAAAAAATCGCTCGAGAGAAAGAGAGGTAATTTTTGAATCAAGAAAATTGACCATGCGTTCAGAGGCTCCCGTGCGGACGAGCTTCGTGGTATTAACACCTATGTAGGATTGTTGCGCGTGTGAAAGAGCTCACACGTCCCTTGACGCTCAATCATACATGTTATATGGAAAAAAACAAAACAAAGTTAAACAAAAAAAGGTAAAAGATATGTTTTTTTTCGGACGATTTGTCACACTATGTCAACGAAAACGACCTCTCTTTTTGTCAACTCTAGTAATTTTCTCAATTGTTTATTTAAAAATTGAATAATGCGGCAATATAACGCACCGTGGAAAAAGTAAAAAGAAAAAGAAACCACGAGCAATCATAACACGATCGAACCGGAAGATAATTTTTTTTTATTATCCTCCGGTTTCTATGAAAGTTAATATTATATGCGAGTGTGTGGAGCAAGAGCGGCTATTTGGTCGGAAAGCGCACTCAGCACGCGTTTAACACTCAAGCCAGTCAGTCGCGTCAAGCAACCGCCCAGTCGTCGTGTCAATATTGAGATTTCTGTTTTGTATTATCGCTGCTCTGTATCGTGTATATTGCTCATCTTTCTTCCATATAGCTTTGTGTGCCGAAACCTGCCGATGGCTCTTCCTACAATATAATAATCTCCGAGTCCAGAGAGACGGTGTTTGTTTAAGAGTATATGGGATATAGGCAGCTCGTAGCCATCGTCCGGACGAGCTAAATGGCCTCAAGTAGATATTGGCCGCGAGTAAATATTAAAATCGACTACAGTGAAAAAGTCGAGGCTCGAGCGCGGAGGACTTTAAATTCGTCAAGCTCGCCACACTGCTCCGAATGTATTGGCACTTGTTCGAGATGTATACAAGTAGGAGTAGTAGTGGCGTACGTCAAGCGCGACGTCGTCGACGACTGCTGTCACGCGCGCGAGCTCGTAATTTTTATTTATTTATTTTTTTCTCGCTTTATGCGCCACTAGCCGGCCATATCTCACAATCGCGCGCGCGTTGGTCGACGCGATGAAACGGTCTCACACCAGCCTGTCTTGCTCGTATAAATCCATCTCGTTTTCTAATTTCACCTTTTCGAACTTGTCTAAAATGAGAAAGCAATTAAAGATAATCCCCAAAGGATGTACGAATTGTGATATTGTGTGTATAACATGAGAATAGCGGGGCAGCGCGTATTATTATAAGCGCGTCGATATTCCTTTGTGGCCGAGCAGATATATATAATATTTTTGCGCCTAAGCTCGCGCGCGCCTCTGTTTCTTCTTCGCGCATAATCAAAAGAATATCAATTATCCACATGTGCGCCTATAAAGGCCCCATCAATACATTATGTATATTATAGACTGCTCCTCGCTCCTCGAGCAGTTGTTACATAATCCGCTCTCGGCCCAAGCGGTGTATTATTGGTTTTATAATAAGTAAGTATCGGTTCTAGGTCTCTTTCTTTCATTCTCTCTCCACTTCTTTCTCGAAGAAATTTTCGACGCTAAGAAGCAAGAAGAGGCAAGCAAGGAGAAGAAGCGACGACGTGTATCGCGCGGCTGGGCCCAGGGTGCCTCGCATAAATCAAAAAGCGTATAGGATTTTACCGAAGACATCGCAGGCAAGCACACAGACACTCGCACATTGGCAAAGAAACACGCGTTTTATAAACTCGCAGGCACACGAAGCCGCCGCGTTTGGTTCGCGCGATTCTCTGAATCGGAATCTTCCTTTTTCTCTCTCTCTCTCTCTCTCTCTTTTTCGCAGATCTCTGCTCCTTTTTCTGTACACATATATGCGTCGATATATGTATGTTTGTATGTAAGTATACACATTCACCGTATACGTATGTATAATACACGCATCCTTTTTTTTTCGAAAGTGGTTGTCTGGAATGCCGCGGCCGCAGTGAGTCTCCGAAACTTTGCCAAACGTTTCTCGATATTATAGATTATAAATTTTCTATCTCTCTCGTCTTCCTTTGTGCCGAGAGGTAGTATAGTAGAAGCAGCAGCAGCAGCAGCAGCAGCAGATGGAAGCAAAGAAAAGAGAGACTAGAGCGTGAATCGGTGCAAAATCCATCCGGTTCTAATTAGCAGCTCTCTCATTAGCATTCGAGCTCTCGATCGGCCGCACGCAAGACGCAAAATCGCCTATAATATATAAATACAAAATTGCTTCAAATACAGATCGGCAATCGGTGTATAAAACGCGAAGCGCCACTGCGGGGCCAAGGCTTTTTCCCCCCTTTTCAAACGAACTCCAATTTATCCGCACGAAGGAATCGCGTGCACGAGTCGCAATTATATACACAAGAGTTTTGGAAGCTGTGCAGCAGCGATAATGAATATTCTAAATGGTCGTCGTCGTTGCGAGCGCTCCGCGTGAAATAAATCACGCTGGCTGCTGCATATGTGTATCCGCGCTCGTATAATACAATATAACGTGTAGAACGCCGATGCGCTTTCGAATATAATGGACATGTGCCATATGTCAACACATCTGCGCGCTCCTTGAAAAATCGACTGCGTATGTATGAGCGCAGACACACGCGCTCGCGATTTCTCTCTCTCTCTCTATATATTGAAAAATCACTGGTCGCAGTCGTTCACGTCTCTTTCCTCGTCGTGCCATTCGCTCATTCATCGGACGTTCGCATACGGCAAGCTCACACCTTATATTTTGTTATGGCCGTGTAAGCTCGAGCTCGACCGTTGATGTAGTATGCTCTAATGTAATACTCTTAACTTCAATTAGATTTTTTTCCTTTTTTTGATGCCGATTCACAGAAAAAAAAACGAGCGAAGGACGAGCATGTATGTATACGAGAGAGTGGCCGGTACCTATACATACAAGAGCCATTGTGTACATCTGCCCTCTCTCTCAAACGGAATAAAGCATCTTTCGTGTGCAGTATTATATATATGTGTACGTACCTGCGCGTTATGCGCTCGCGTGCACATATCTGTGTGTGCATACATCCGCAAATTCCAAGTACATAAAGGCAAGATCACATCGCTCGAATCCCTCCTCCCTTGCCCGTATCCACTCTCTTCATTCGGAGCGTAATTTTCGCCAAGTATACGTTTCACTCGTATACGTATGTGTAAGTACGTATGTATCGGTGCTCCGCAGCTTATATATGCAGAGGTTGCACGTATATAGGATACATGTGCGCCTCGCGTATATAATACGATTTCTTCCTCCTTTTTATCCGGCCTACGCCGTGTGCCTCTCGCGTCTCTCCAAAGATTTGCAGGCGCACCAGGTAAAGTGCTCTTCTTCTTTGGTCACTGCTGCTGCTGCTGCTGCTGCTGCTGCTGCTGCGCTGTGGAATGCAGAACTTATAAGCGAGAGCCGAGCACAGCGCGTATACGTATAAGCTCTCTTTTCTCTGTCTCTCTAACATATATTTTTGCAGCAAGGCACGTGATCTCCCCTCTTGCTCCTTCTTCCGAGCTTCTTCTTCTTCATCTTCTTCTTCCACTTTTCTCATCTCGCACACAGGTAAAGCGTTGAATTTTGTGCAGTCGTATACGTGTGCGAGCGTCGGGGCCCCAATTCGCCACTCAGGTGAATGAACATCTTTCCACGATCCTCGCAAGCTTATTCGTGAGAGGCTGGCACATACACAGGCAGTGCGCGGCGGCGGCGGTGGTGGTGGTGGCGGCGGCACATTCAATAGGTTTTGCTCCTGTGCCGGTCGCCTTTACACGCATACTCACTCTCACATTACACACAAAAGAAATTCATCGGTATTGTACTCCTCTCTCTCTCTCTCATTCTCTCGTTCTCTCGTTCTCGCACACGCACGAGACCCACTCACGGCCACATGCCTGCTGCATCTATATATTATACATATGCGTTTGTATATGTAGCTGAGAGGCTGCGCGAGGGAACTATTTCCAGTTGGCACCTGGAAATTCGTGTTCCTGCCTCTCTTTCTTTTTCTCTCTTATATAGCGCTCGATTTACAAGAGGTAAATAATAATAAATCGATACATCCTCTTTGTCGTGGCTCGTGAGTTTTTATGCCGCTATTGCTCGAGCTCATATAACACGTAATAGGTATTGCATCAAGCGCAAAGAGCAGCAGCAGCAGCAGCAAAGAGATGGCGATACTCGGGTTCCGCAAAACGCGCCCGAGATGCGCCCGAGCTATATAATGGCAAAGAGAAGAAGAAGAAGAAGAAGAAGAAAGAAGGTAGGTAGGCACAGGCTGTCAGGCAGGCAAAAAAGACGAAGGTGAAAAAAGAAATCGCGGCCAGTCCACGCCGCCGTGGAAATTCCTGTTGATGACGCATTTTATAATATACCCGTCGGTACCGGTCATAACAGGTGTGTGTGCCGCTGCCGCCACTTCTCTCTACCTGTGCGCCGCGCCGTAGTGCAGATTTGCCGCTGCTGCTGCTGCTGCAAGTTTGCGGTCAGCCTTTAAATAAGCGTGCACATATAGACCTATTCTGGAAGCATATTATCCGAGCGAGGCGCAGAGCACGCGCCAACGTCCACACGCCTATATCCATACAGCACACAGCAGGCGTGCAGCAATTTCCTTTAATACACATACGCATCTATCTATACTCCATGGGTAATTCTGGAATCGACGTATAGCTGTAATGTAACGTGTATTGGATATTAGACGGTGTAGAGATAGGCATTTTTCTATAGGCTACAAATAGGATGGGTGTATTAGTATAGCGTTGATATGTATACGAGCGAGGCGTACACATACATAGCGGAGATGAGTAGGTGCTGAAAAGCTACGCGACCGGACTAGCTGCCTACATAAAATAAAATACTCGGCCAAACGCACGAGACTATCCCAAAATGATCACAAAAGCGGAGAAGCGAGAAAGAGAGTGAGAAGAGGAGGAGAGAGAGAGAAGCAATCGCAAAGCATCTCTACACCTATGGCCAAGCGTTAAACTGACTAATACTAGTTCGATATTATTGTAGGTATAGCGCTCTACAGATCTATCGTTATATGGACCGGTGTAGCGGCACACATAATAGGCTCGGCTCTGCAGGTATATATAGGTGTGTATGTATACCTGCGAGCGAAGCCGGATAAGAAAGAAAGATCGAGGAAGCGGCGATCCGCACAGTAGGGGTGGCAATTCGGTCTGCTCCGATCTCGGCCATTCATAGCTTTGCCATCTCTCTTTATTTCTTTGCTCTGTCGGCGCCTCTCATGCAGCCTATATAGCCATTTATATACTAGCCGTGTCGTTGCTGCAATCAGCGAGCCGCGGCTTATGCACGAATATAACCTGTGTACATAATGTACCGGAGCAGTGGCTCGCAGCAATTTTTCGTCATCGCGTCGTCATTTCCGTCGTCATCCTCCCTTTCGAACTTGATTCATGCTCCATAGAAGTTCGCTCGGTGCAGGTATATATGCTCCGAAATCGCAATCGTCGGTGCGCGAGTAGCTCGGCTCGGCTCGCGAGAGTACCCAAGATGTATATATCATATATATAGAGAGAGAGAGAGGAAGTAAGTACTCGGTGTAGCACGCGTATATTGCAGCGAGACGTATACACTTTGAAGCGAGATGCATAGCTGCACGTAAATAGGTATACGTGTGAGTGCAGAGAGCGAGCGAGTCGAGGGTATATGTACGTAGGCGCACTCTTGAAAGAGTAAAAAGAGCTCCCAAAGAGAGTGATCTCTCGCGAGCGATATTATGCAGCGAGCGCACGCACAAGTACCTAATATATATATGTACCGACTCGCTGCTTCTCTCTGACAGTTTGTCAACGCGCAGCGGAGTAGCCGAGCGACTTTATAATATCTTACCTACACATTCTTGTACGTACAGCTATATATGTATATGAAAAAACGTACTTTATACTTGCTATACATGGTTTTTTTACGAGCAGGCACGCGCGTGTCACGTCTATATAGCCGCTGCGTCAATCATCGAGTCGTGTCTGCCTGCATATATGCGTGCGTGTGCACGCCCGAATGCGCCACGCGTATTTTTCCGTTCAAATAAATACCTCTGGCTTTGAGATGCAAGTTACATTAGAGCTGCATCAACATCGGATGCAGCAGCAAAGCAGCAAAGCACATTGCCTTACGCTATACATGTATACATACGAATATAGGTATACACAAGTGCGGAGTCTGCATATAAGGCTGCACTCATAGCATAACATAGGATGGCTCGAGCATGGCAAAGCTACATGGCAAAGCTATAGGGCAAAGCATGGCATAGCGCGCGCGCGTGAACAAAGAGCTCGAGGTGCATGGCGAGGCGTAAGCGAGCTGCGAGCCAGCGAGAGACCAGCCGGGCGACGGCAGCACTGATTATACACGCTAAAAGCCCATATAATAAAAGGGGGCTGATGTTGGCGAAACACATATATACCTATATACATGTACAGTTTTGCAGAGCGACGCGTGTGCAGCACGAGAAAGAGAGAGAGAGAGAGAGAGAGAGAGAGAGAGAGAGAGAGAGAGAGAGGCACTACAGAGCACAGATGCAGCGTGTGCAGCACCAACGTTGCTAGAGCTTCAAGCTCTCTCTCTCTCTCTGTATGCGCCTGTGTGAGTTATGTGTACGTGATATTGTGCAGAGCGGCACGAATCGTCGTCGTAGTCGGCCATTATAAAGGCCGGACATTCCAATAACTCTCGAAGGGAGAAAAGACGCTTCTCTCTCTCACCTCCCCCTATGAGCGAAATCTCGACTTCTCTCTCTCTCTCTCTCTCTATCGCACTCGTAGTCTGCTGCTAGATTCAAAAAGCTCGGCATCGATAGTACCGCAGAGCTCTGCGTCCCAATCATAATTCATATACGGGGGATAAGCTTCGGTGCAAAGGTGAAGGTACTTTTTCGCATATCCTCGAGGAAGTACGATTCGAACTAGGTGAATTCTTCGCTCGATGCCTGTGCGCTTTGTGCATTCAAGGACAAGAGCGAACTGCCTTCGTGCACACGATTGCACCAATACGAGCGCGTCCCTGTACGTGTAAGTGTGTATATAAACGTTGAAGCGCCGCCGCCACCGCCGCCGAAGGATTTTAAGATCCTTCGCCTGCACGCTCAGCGCGTGCCACAGGTGCGAGAGAGAGAAAGAGGAAAGCGCTCGCGATTCCCTCTCTCTTCTCATATTCTGCACAGGCTCTCTCTCTCTCTCTCTGTTGCTGCTGCTGCTCCTGCTGCTATTACTGCTGCTCCAACGCACATATAGCATATATATACCTGCGCTGCGCCGTCCTTATGCCTCGCACATGTGTGTATTTCGTATGTGTGTTTGTGTGTGTAAGTGGCCTCTGTGTGCAGGTGTGCGAGCGAGACGGATGAGAAATATGCGGCGGCGCGGCGAATAGTCCGCTCAGCTCGACTGCGGTAGGTGAGATCAGAGCGCGTATACACACATACACAGCACACACATATACACTATAAGGTACACGTATAGGTACTGCGAAAGAGAGAGAGAGAGAGAGGGCAAGAGCGAGCGTGAGAGAAAGAAAGAGAATAAAAGGAGGTGGAGAGGAAGAAAGGGGTCGACGACGTTCGCGTTTCAGCACAGGCGGTGGCGGCGGCGGCGACGGCGGCTCCGTGTATACGCCGAGCCACAGCAGCCAACCATCCAGCCAGCAGCGGTGCACATTTACAGCGCAGAGATCGCGCTGAGCTGCCGAGACTCGACCGAACGTGAAACGTTACGAGCATATACATAGGTATACATAGGCACAAGTGCGCGCGGACTCTGGCCTTTCCGCGCAGTCTGTGTACTCTCTCTGCAGTGCACCGCCTCTCTCAGCCTATGTAATAAACGTTATGTACTGCATTTAAGCCTGTATAACGATATAGTGCATCCAAGTGAGTGTGTATACTGTGTATGTGTGCCTGTAACGCAGTGCTTTTACAGTGGTGCACCAAGCAATCTTTACTCTCTCTCTCTCATACGTCAGTGCCAGTGTGTATGTTATATATTATTTACCGTGAGTGTCTTGCGGAGATATTTTCTCTCCCTCATACAAAGTGCAACACTTGAATGGTGTTAGAATAGAACAACAAGTGGCGAATTGTCGTTAATTACTGTTAACCGCACCGACGGCCGTTAACTCGCTCTCGGCTTGCAGTCGTGCGTGTTAATAAGTGTGCATATGCCAATCAGTCGGACGACCTTAAATCTTGCCGCAGTTCAGCGCCCGTCAGTGTCTGTATACTACGGCTCGTGTCTTATCGAGTGCGCTCACGTATATAGGGGGGAAAAGAGTGGCTGCTGTGCCGCCTGCGCGCACCCGCAACGGCTACACTACCTAAGGGAGAAATTTCTGCATGGCGAATCGTTCTCCGTTGTCTAGCAGACATGCAGCTAGATACAGCTGCTGCTGATGCCGCTGACGACTCCATTTTACGCGGAACTCGCAGCAGCGTTACACGGCCAAGCTCGTCGACGTCGTCGCCTCTCGGATGCAACAAATTTCCGTAAGTTTGCGGCTTTGATTCTTTCTCCTACCCTCGCTATACAATCTTTCTCTCTCTCCTCTCTCTCTCACTCGCCTCTTTTAATTGCAATGCGCTCGTGCGCGCTTCCTCGCGCGTCTTGCGCGTTTATATGCCTGCGGTAGACGCTTTGTTTGATATTGTTGAGCGGCCGTTTGCTTGTCTGACGCCGACAGTCGACGCTGCGCTTCTCTTCCGTTTTGTTTATAATATCCCAACTGTTTATCTTGCGTCTGTCTCTCCCTCTCCTATACAAAAACTCTCTCTCACTCCACTGCGCGCGTCTATATAATATTATACCTTTTTGCACTCACACGCGCACGCGTTGCACACACGTATAAACGCGCTATTTTCATCTCATTGCACTTACACACACTCTCTCTCTCTCTCGCTCGCTCGGCACATAGCGATGCTGTATGTGCCTGTGTATATACACCGCCGCTACTGCTGTTCTCGTTTGGCTTTATCATTGATCTGCCAGACTGCGGTGCCGAGAGAGAGAGCGGCAGTCAAGAAAACGGCATATATGCAGCAGAATACGTGAATAAAAAAACGAGAAGTGAACGCCAAGTAGGTGGCTTTTTTTGCGAATTTCGCTTCACTTTTTTTTGTCTTTCGCGTTTCTGTATTTCTTATTTTCGTGGCCTCGTTTTTTCTTTTTTTTTTCTTTTCATATCATTGTTTGTTTGTTATAAAACCAGCGAAATTACTTTTGCATCCGCGACTCGTTAGTCCCGTGTTTGTTCTTGTCTGTCTTCTTTTTTTTTCACGCGCGTTTTTCGAGAAAAAATTTTTATCTACTTTGCGAGAAATCGTGATTCAGCGGAGAGAAACGATGACACCGGTTGAAAAGCTAGACGCGCGCTTTATTTTTTCTCGATTACTGTTTTTTGTACTGTCATCCGACTCATTTGAGCAAACGCGCCGTTGGCAATTTAATGGAATTGTAGAGCGAGAGAGAGTATATATTGCTGTAATTATTAAGGCATGCAGGTACTACTTTCCAACTCAATTATAATCTAAAATACTGCGCTTTTCTACTTGCACAGAATGCCACAGAATGTGAGTGCAGTCTGTAATTAATTTGTATCATTTTTCAGGAGATGGTGAGGCCATTAGCAGCATTATCAAGTCTACCAGAGTCTACGGACACTTATTGCTGTTTACTTTGTCAGTGCTTTCATGAACTCTCAGTGGGGTGTTGATGTATAAACAGAATTGCTTTGACAATTACATTTGATCTTTGTACTTCTCAACGTACTGTCCAGTATTATCTGCAATTTCTTCCATTGTTATTCATTTATTGAAACTGTACTTCAATAAATTTCCACAATGATTATTCCAATAATAATGTTGCTGACTCTTAGTCATGGAGCCATATCAACATTATCAGCTTCCACAGCGGTATCATCTTCCACGTTAAGCTGTGACTCTGTGAGACCTTATTTTATGTCAAAGGGCTTCCAGAGCAATGACATTCCTAAAGGGCCTGTTTCCTCTCGCGAATTAAAAACTTGCGGAGGGATCAGAAATGGTGGTGAAGTTTGCTGCTCTCCTGACATGGAGACTCGCTTACAAACATGGGCCACTAATAATTTCAACAAAGCAACCAAGGATACTCTGTTGAGATTGCAAAATATCTTTCACAACAGGGCCACCAAAGTTCATGACTTTTTCAATAATTTGTTGAAAATGAGTAAAAAGAACTTTCATGAAATGTTCAAAAAGACCTATGGTATACTTTATGAACAAAATTCTTATGTATTTTTAGATCTATTCCGAGAATTAGAAAAATATTATGTTAAGGGTGCAGTAGATTTGGATGACATTATGGATTCATTTTTCAATACCCTGTATCAAAAAATGTTTACAGTTCTAAACAGTCAGTACAAATTTGATAATAAGTACCTGGAATGCGTGGGTAATCTCATGAAAGAGATGAAGCCTTTCGGCGACGTGCCGCAAAAGTTGGGAGTGCAAATCAAGCGCTCGTTCATCGCGACTAGAGCTTTCAGTCAAGCTCTTCAAGTGGCTTCAGACGTACTCAAGAACATGCAAGAGCTGAAGACATCAAACGACTGCGCTCAAGCCCTCACGCGCATGACCGCCTGTCCGTCTTGCAGCGGCGTATCGAGCAACATTCTGGCCTGCAACGACATGTGCGAGAACGTGATGAAAGGCTGCCTGGCACAGCACGCCGCGCTCGACGTCGACTGGAATCACTTCGTCGAAGCCGTCGACAAGATCGCCGATCGATTGCTCGGGCCCTTCAACATCGAGATGCTCGTCCGGCCGATCAACTTGAAGATTTCCGAGGCCATCATGAACTTCCAGGAGAGCAGCAGCGACGTGTCGCAGCGCGTATTCAAGGGCTGCGGCCGACCGGTGCTGGGCCGACGGCGTCGACGGAGCCGTCCACAGGGCCCCCGGGACGAGCACGAGATCGACGATCTGCGATCGCTGAGCTTCGAGGAAGAGGACGAGCCGGTCGCGAGAGCCTCGAAATCTCGAGGAAGGGACCGAGGCGAGGAGCGCTCTTCGAGTGCCGTTGCCCTCGACAAGCTCGTAAAGGAGATCAAGCAGCGCATCCGTGACTCACGCCAGTTCTGGCTCTATTTGCCTTACAAGCTCTGCAACGACGGCTTGGCCTCGACTCCGAGTAACACGAATCATTGTTGGAACGGAACACACATCGACAAGTACATATATCCGGTCTCGCCCAACGGCGAAACGCAAAACATGAATCCGGAGGTGCAGGCCAAAGGTCCGCGCACGGCCATTGTGAAGGAGCAAATGTTCGCGCTGGGCAGCATCACCAATCGGCTGCGCCTGGCTTTCAATGGCAACGACGTCGACTGGATCGACAACGAGGACAGCTGGCGCGAGACCTCGGGCAGTGGCTCGGGCGCCGGCGGCATCGAGACAATAAGCGAGGAGGACGAGGACGAGGACGACAGGGAAGACGACCTGGTGGCGGTGGTGGCCGGACGCGACGACGGAAGCGGCTCCGGCAACGTCGCTACGACGGCCAAGTCACGCGAGGAGAGCGAGCTCGAGGCTACTTCGGCGGCGCCCAGACTGACGCCGGCGCCCACAACGCCCATGACGACGGAACCCACGCGACCCGAAATAATCGTCACGGTGCCGACCGATCACGGCGTGGGCAGTAGCAGCAGCGGCGGCGGCAGCAATAACAGCAGCAGCGAAAACAACGTCGTACCGCATGTGATCCTCGTCGGATCGTCGGCAACGCACTGCGAGCTGTCCTTTACGATATTGCTCGCGTGGCTCGCCGTGGCCGTTTACATGAGCCGCGGACAGGTGTAACGATCCACCATGCTTGTTACGTGTCATTATCATTAAAATTATAACAATTATTATGATCATTATCATTATTATTAGAACCGTAACGCGTATTTAATTCCGAGAACATTACTCTATCATTTGTAAATAGTTAAATAATTTGACGAAATATTTGCTAGCGAGCCTTGTGATACCTCGCTTTATTCGACGTTTCGTAGTAGTCGTAATTATATCAATTTAATCATTTCTGTATTAACGATACATTTATCATGGGGTTCAAGTATTTATTCAATTTAGTAAGTAGGAATTTTTGTATGTTCATACAAGTGATACGAACCGAGTCTAAAAAAGCTCTTTTGTAGATTTATTTTTATTTTTTTATTTAATTTTTTTTTTAATTACTCGATATGTGTCGTGTTTAATAAATGTTTCGATAGTAATGTCTTGATTTGTGAAAACAAATTATAATATATGTGTACCTGTGAAAATTGACGATTTTTTGTACGAAAAATAACGTTCTATATATTGTCGATAAAAATTAATATTTATTCGTGAAAAGTAACTAAATTTATGCCAGCTAAGCTTACGTTATAGTGCAATAAGTAAAAATATTGTATAAATGACGTAATTAGGTCTTCGGAACATCACACAATGAACACAAGCGTGATAATAGAAGCATTGAGCTCGTGGCTCGAGTAGGCCAATTTTCCGTAAATATTTTACTTCCATCTCCACTGAGTATGTAAGGCTATATTATTTCCACAAAAAAAATATTTACTTATGTTAAGAGTGCGAACTATTGTGAGAAAGAATACTTGTAAATAATTAGATTTATTTGATAATAGGTATTTGGATTAAATATAACAATATGTAAATATTTCAATAGCAAAGTTGTTGAACTAAAAGTTACGCCGGTTCAATATAAAAAGATTTATGAAAAAAAAGTAGCTGGACGAAAATTGTGTCATTGACCAAGACTGAACACAAAAATTAATAGACCACACACAATAGCTTATGCAATGTAAAATAGCTTTTTATTTATAAACTTCCATGAATTTATATTGTAAATAAATTTTGTAATAAAAAAATGTATATATCTGATAATAAATTGAAGCATCTATTGGATACCAAGACGAAGCCATGATATTTACGAATTATATAAAAAAGCGATTTTAATAATTACAAAGACACTGCCCATAAAATGTGATGCAAACCCTAACGTATTATACCTGACAAAGAGTCAACATTTGCTAGAATGCTCGATTCTAAAAGTAATTACATAATAAGATAAAATATCTGTTTGCGTATGATGAAAAAAGGCTTGTAATTTGTGGCTACGATAATTGTATATTTTTACAATTTCAATAAATTTGTCGTAATTGTTTAAACCTTACCTTAGACAATTCATTCATTACTATACCTTAAAATATAAATTATCGATGTTTCATTAAAAAATTAGAATTTTAATTTATTAATTGAACGTATTAACAATCTTCATAATAGTAATATTACAATAATTGAGTTCTTGTTATTGACGATTCTTAGGCACAATATTAATTACGCTCGAATTTTTATTTCATGCATTCATTACATTTTTCTATGAATCTCGAACTAATGCTGCCATTATAACAGTTCAGTAAATTAAATAATTTAATTCTAAACTTAATACAATTATATTGCCACGAATAAATTTCTATTTAAATTTAATGATCTATCAATATGATTCAATAATTAAACGAGAATAACTCATTCTAAAAAATTAACTTTCTATGTGTAACAATTAATATTTCGTTATATTTTTTTTAATAATGTGATATCTAAAAAGTTAATTTGCAACTATTAAAAGTTATTTAAAAAATTTTCAGCAAAAACTATGAAAATGTTAATTTAATTGATAAATGTTACAAAAAACAGCTTTTTAATGAGTATTAATGTATAAATAACAGTTCATAAAACTAAGTCAGTCATAAAAAATCTCTTCATTTGATCTTAATTTTGGTAATCAAGAATTAATCATATTCATTCATACTTCTTTGATACAAAAATATTAGTCATGAATAATTTTTATCTTTTTTCTAATCCAAGTGTTGTAAAAATAAGCAATAAAGTGAGATTTTTTTTTTTAGAACTATTTGTTATCTTGCTTCTGGTTTGGAGAATGGTTGCAACGATCCAGGTTGGACCCATGAATAACCTGTTGCTTTATGCTCATTCTCTTCCTGAAATAATTTTTTTTGTTAACATCATTTTTCTTACATGAACATAAGTAGATGTAGATACCTTTGTTTTGAAAATTTCTCTCTTAACTGGATCGTGTAGTTCTCTGTCGTAAGGACTAAATGAAATGTAATGAGGATCATCTGTTACTGGTGGGTCATAAACTACACTTAAACTATCTTTTACACACTTTTTAACTCTCTCCTTGAAACCTTCTACATTATTTTCAAATCTAAAAGTTCAAATTTTGTTCTCATGTTTAAAAATATTCAATAAATTATAAGATAAATGTATAAAAAATATATCAATTACAATGATGAGGCTTCTTCATTAAACGGAACCATCTTCGTGTCCAATTTCATAAAAATTATTGTTATATATTGCACCAGTTGCCAGATCCTATTGCTACGCTTCCAATCGTGAAAACCCCAAGCAGTATTAAGTTCTCCTGTTGCATAATTTATCAATGGATGGAATACTTTTGTTTGGAAAAACACATTCTGAAAAAATTATTGAATTAGTACAATAAAAGCAATGAGATATTTACATTCAGCATGATTATATAATAAAAGTTATAATAATTTAAACATACTGGACATTTTCCATCTGGAAAATTTGAAGGTAGTGTAATTGTAAACCTAAAAACACCACCCTGGTATAATCCTTGACGAATGAATTGCACTCCAAACCATACTACAAAAAGCATTCTGTTAATCGATTGTAATTAAAAGAGAGTAAACAATGATATACTCATAATAAAGTAGTTACAAAAAGAATTCTGTGCTGATGGTATGACATAGATTCCTCTTAAATCTTGGTTGCGCAGCATATTACTAAAACAAAATTGAAATGTAACAATTTTAATTTTTTAAGTTTCCAATTGTGTTTAAATATTCTGTAATACTCACTACTCAGCAAGAATATTATATTCTTGAAGATAAACAGCATATTCCTTGCTACTTTGTGATGAATTGGTTCGATCAATTATTTTGACAGCAGAGCCAAGTTGAGAGTCACCATTTGAATTAATTGGGACTAGTTTTCTAAAAGAACCTTGTCTTCTCAAGTTATCCTCAGAATCCATTTCACTCTGCAAAAAATTTCATTTTTATGTCGTTATCGCGAAACAAATTATAAAGTACTTTTATTCAGACAGTTACCTTTATTCCTGAAATCGATGCATTAGTCGACATTTTGGCTATGTTGGTAGAGTATTGTCGTTTTTATAAATTATTCCACAATTTGTTCATAAAAAATTTCAGCAACATTAGGACGGCTTAACTATCGTTATTAATTTTAGATATTAATATCACAATATCAGGTTATGTTAATTTACGCTCTTCGTTATTTAAACATGTTTCAATTGAAAATAAAGAAATCGAAACTATTACGAGAGAAGATAAACAGAAAAAAGTAAAAATTAACCGAAAACTTAACAATAAAATTAATCTCAAAAGTTTTTACCCCATAACTGAGAAAGTAAACAGAAAAGAAAGCCTAATTTTAGACAAACTTGATACGAATTGATGTCTATGTCACATTTGACGTAGCTATGTTTATGTTATATATAGCTATAACACCAGCTGAGTTGGTAAAACAGAATTTTTAGTGCAAAAACACACGTGGCGGTGGTAACAATACATATGCCAGTAATCATCAATTCATTATTCACAATGTCATTGCATTAACTCACTCAAAAATTAATATTCTTAATTTTTTGGAAATTTGGAAATTTTGAGTTGACTATTATGAGTTTTTTTTCGATTATAGGAAAATATGAATCTGTTCTATTGAGAAATCCATTAAAAAAAAGACTTAAGACAAATCGTCAAATACCTTATACTTGCATTAAAATTAACAAGTATATATGAAAAGAAATTAAATATATAAATTCAAAATTTCTAAAAAGTTGAAAAATTGGTAAAAATATTTGTGTTTAGAAAATTGCAGCTTAAATAAAAAGAAAGGGTGGATGATTTTTGTCCTATGGGATCAAAAATCATAAGTGATTCAACACAGTGAAACCTCGCAAACTGCTTTATGCTGATCCACATACATCATCAAAGTAATCAGATGCTAAATTACCTGGAGATCAAAGGGAAAAACAATTGAATTTAACAAAGGAAAGGATATACATTTTAGTTTAGTTCTGTTGACATGAACAAAAATAGAGGTCATATATCAAAGTATGGAAAATGAAAAACCCAATTTGAAGTCCGTAAATGTACAAAAAATAAATATAAATCAATGCACTTTTCATTTTTATCACATCTATTTTTGTACTTGATCCATCTTGACTTGAAATAAAAAAACTATTAAATGATTCTCCTACTTTGTCATTTCATTATTATGTTTGATTAACACATATCATTCCTGTTAGTCAAATAAATGATGTACAAAATAACAATAGTTTTATATTTAAAAAAAAACGTAATCAAAATTAACCTTTGTTTATTTTAATAATAATTTAATTGAAGAGCGAAAATATAAAAATGCTTCGGTTGGTTTTTTCCTTTTCTAAATATCAAGTCCCCTGGCCGAGGTGGGGATAGGTATCCAATCAGTGACGAGTTTGACGTCACGTCACTGTACAGCTCACACAAACATCTTGGATCGCTGCTGCTATTGCACTTCTTCTCCGGCACATATATATTCATAGAGGGAATATTGGCAAAGAAAAACGGGCGTACTTGTAATCTGCTGTGTAATCTTTTGCAGAACAGTGTGTTTAGTTTTTTTACCTGAAAAATAGTGCAGTGATCGCATGCACCGTGTCCACATTTACTTTGACAGATTTTACCCCCGAGCAGTGTAAACAAACATTACTCATCAACGCGGATGCGACTGCTACGCAGATGATAAAAAACTTGAAATAAGCGACTATAAAAGTGAGCTCTAGATTTTGCGAAAAATGGCAGCTGAAATAAAACCCGCACCAGGTGTCAATCAAGACAAATTCAGCAGCAACAGAAAGCCAATACTGCTACACAAGTTGGAAGGATGCAACGATGATATCAACGACGCATGCATCATACCTGGAGTCGAGGGTGTTATCAGTATTTGTGATGACAGGTAGGCTGTCAAGGTTATAGAACCTTGAATCTGTGTTATTTACATAAAAGAGTCTATTCATTCTAAATGAAACTTATTCATAATTCTTTATATAATTTTTCAATTGCATGCTAATGCAAGAATGACAGAAGGTGTACAAATGAGTAACTTATGTGGTAATATTATGAATCATTACACTGATGAGACATTGCATCAGATATTAATATTGTTTGATAAATCTGAATATAGTTTGACGTTATTTTATTATTAACTCCGCGAACTATAATGGTGTAAAATTTTATGAAATAATGATTGATTTTTGTACATTACTGGTTATTGAATTTAAAACAATATAATTGCAGAACTGTACGAATATGGTTAAAACGTGACTCTGGACAATATTGGATCAGTGTATGTAGTGATATGGGTGCTAATGTAACAGCCATGACTTACTGTGCTAATAATCGACATCTGTTTGCTGGCCTTGAGAATGGCACTATCAAAGTAAGTTTCCAAATTTGAGTTATAATATTATAAAATTTTATGGATTCTATTAATGTCCCAATGTTTTACAGGAATTTGTTGTTGAAAGTGACTTCAACCGTATGACCTTAGTAAGAGAATATGCAGCAGCTCATACAGGACGAGTAACTGGCCTGATATTTTCAGAAGAAGATGAATGGATAATCAGCATTGGTAGAGACAAAGTCTTCCAGTACCACAGTACTGAAAATGGAAAAAGAATTGGATGCTGGTTAACTGAAGCATGGTATACAGCATTACAGTATGATCATGCATCAAAGTACGCTTTTACTGGTGATTATTCTGGACAAATCCAAATGTTTCATCTTCAAAATCCTAGTTGTACTTTAGTAACAACATTAAAAACTCATACTGGAAGTATACGCTCTTTAGCTTGGGACAGCGACAAACAATTGTTGTTTTCGGGTAGTTTTGATCAAAGTATCATTGTATGGGATATTGGTGGTCGCCAAGGAACTGCTTATGAACTACAAGGTCATCAGTACGTAATTTAATCAAATTTATCAAATTAGTTTACAGCAATGAATAATTATTAACACACAAAGTAATAAATTTTGTCTACTTTATAGTAACAAAGTAACAGCACTTTGCTACACTAGTACAGAACGTTTGCTATTTTCTGGTGGAGAAGATGGAGTTATTGTTTGTTGGGATATGGCAGCAAATAGAAAAGAAACAGCGAAATGGATTGAGTCAAACATATGCCAAGTAAATTTCAAATTACTGATAAAATGACTAAATTAATTCATTTAATGAAAATGAACTTTATTTTAAATAAAATTAATTCTAGGCTTGCAGTAGACCATTCTTTTGGAATATAAAATCTATGATAGACCAACGTCAATTAGGGCTTAGACAACACCACTGCCGTTATTGTGGCCAAGCTTTGTGTGCTAATTGCTCATCTCAGCGCATTCCTATTCCATCCATGGGTTTTGAATTTGAAGTAAGAGTTTGCGATGCTTGCCATGTCCAATTAAAAGCAGCCAAGTAAGTACTTATTGAAAGTTTTTGTTATATTAAATAATTGACATTACATTATAAAAAATTATTATATTGCAGTCAAACACCATTAGCATCATTTCATGATGCTAAACATAGCATTGTAGCCATGGACTTGGATGTTTCCAAAAAAAGGCTGTTAACAGTTGGTCAAGACAGAGTGATTAAAATCTGGGATGTAACTGCCTTGCTTCAGTAAAATGACAAGGTATTTTTCTTGAAAAGTTTTAGGAAAAAAATCAAGATACTCAAAGCCTTTTTGGTAACAAATTACTGCATTAAATTGCATAGATTATTTTTATTATTTTTAATGGAGTTTAAAATGCGCTTGTTCTAAAAAAAAAAAGAATCAGTAATTAAATTTTATGAACTCAGCCTTTAAGTGATAACCAGATACGTTGAAGTTATATGAGATACGAAGATATACTTTATAATAATCCCTAGTCGTTCTAATTGCTAATTTTACTCATTTAATTTTACTTATTAAATTTTCACTAACAATCAAATATGGGTACAAAAAATATATGAATTTTTTTGTATCTGTTCTATTGCTTCCCGATAAATTTATCTATAAAGTTAAAACAATCTTCCTAGTTTTATCTTCAAAACTTTATTAAGAAACAAGCAAATTATATATTTTTTTTTGTACCAAAAATATCTTGTGAAAGTACGCAAAAAGTAATTTATTCTTCTCATGGTAAAATTTGCGTTTCAATACGAAGTCCATACATTTTTTTAAACCACATAATTTTGAATAATTAAATTTTTTGCCCTTTTAAAAATGAATTTTTTTCACAGTAAATTTTACAATGCAGTGCGTTACAAAAACAGAGATGTCGGTTGATTGTTACTATAGTGTTATTTAGTTTTCTATACAAGCCAAAAGCGAGTTAAGCCTGCACCAGTTAAAAAATTCTATTATGAGTGGCAATAGATAGAGTATATTTTTAATTTTAATACCTTTATGAGTAAATTCTACTTATTATCTTTTTCAACATATTATTATTCCATTGTTGATTGTATTTTGTTTTTATGAATCAAGTTTAAAATGAAATTTGCATATTCTTATGTGATTTTTAATTCTATCGGAAAACGAGTAACACCAATCTGTAAAGCATCTAATGCGTTCAGCATTTGTCCATTAAAAAAGAATTTTCTCTAATTCGTTTCTTTTACACGCTTTGATCTATTGTCAGTTAGATGAATAAAAATACTAAATATTCGGACAAATATAATTTTGTATTTGGGATTTTTTAAATATCTATGAATAATTATCATGATTTATGATCACATTAAACGATATTTTTATCGTATTAAGCGATCTAAAATCACTGTAAATATATACAAATGATTTGGAATCGGAGAATTCGATTATATATAGCGTTTGGCCACAGTAAGCGTGATCGTAATATGCGAATTGCACTATATTATACATAATAACTTTTGTTCAAGTTATATATTTGTTAACATTTTAAAATTGAAATTAAAGTTCATATAACACAATTTATAAATAATACGATTAATCAATTTGTTTATTATAAGATTGTTTCCATTATTGCACGTGTTAACTCTTTTAAGTTTTAAAAATACTTCATTTGTACATACATGCAAGTGCAATCTTTTAGCATTTCAAGAATAACATATAATAAGTATATTTAAGTTTCTTACAGTAATGATTAGGTTTTGGATTGTTCAAATAAATGATATGTGTTATAAAATTTTTAGTTTTTCACTATCTATAGGCCTTGATAAACAATATTTATTTATTTCAAAATAAAATTTTTAAATCAATTCCAATTTTTAAGTTTAGTTAACATGTGAACATATTTTATTCTATCGAAATATTCAAATGAAAATGCATATTGTACATCTTGTTTGACAAAACTATGTCTGTATGAAACAAGCTTTTAATCAAACTTGTATTTATTCTGGAAAATAAAATGAAAAAAACATAAAAATATATTTTCAGTGCAATGAGGTCGATTAAAATATTGAATGAATTAATGTATATGCGTCGTATTCGAGTGAAAATTAAATTACGTGTACACGTGTAAAGCCCAAGTACATGTCATATGCAATGAACCACTTTCTAAAGGTCACTTTGTCTCAATCCAGAGGCAATTTTCCCAACAAAGTAATTAAAACAAAATAAAAATCAACGAAATTATCGACTGCACATCGATAGACTGTAATATATATTCATATATGAATCGTTTTAATTTATATATATATAAATTGTAACATGTAATCATTCTAAAGAAAGCAATTTTGTTGTTTGTTTTGCATGACTCGATAAATGCTTACAAAAATGTTCAGGATCATGTTTAACTTAAAGTTGTAAACTTTTCGTCTTTGAGCAAACGTCAGAGTCGAAAAAATCGACTCATTTGACCGACGAAAGGTCGAGCTTAGCTATAATTGTGTATTAAATGCGATGCAGTAAAGTGGCGAACTACTGCTTGCGTGCATATTTGAGATATAAACATAAATATTATGATGTACAAAAAAAGTTTAAAATTTTTAAATAAATGTTTTGAAAAATTAAACAATTGGTTGTTTATTGCAAATAATTATTATACGCGGTAAGCGTAAAATTTGTTATCAGAAGCGATTATCAATGAAAACGGAGTCGATAAAGAAGATATTATCGAAGCAACAGGTGCTATAGTTAGAGGTGCGTGGAAAACCTGCCGCTCGAATCTTTTTACCTATTCAAGAGACTCGTACAAATTTCGGTTATAATTCGTAGGGGATATTTTGATGCGCATCAATGGAAAAAAGCAGCTAGATAACGATCATCGTGCGGTCTCGCGAGAGTCCCAAGCTCGATCGTTTCGGAGCGATCGGTGACAACTTGCGCGACATTCGACGATCGACCGAGCCAACGCTGCGAGTCCATTTTTCGTCGCTGTCATTCGAAAGACATTTAAATGCCGCTGGCACACGAGACTCTCGAGAGTTGTGTACACTGACAGAAGGACAGCGGCGAGGCGAGTGTAGGTATATACCGGTAAACAGAATACTCGGCAAAGTTGCCCTCGCGATATAGAGGTATGTAGGTACTCGCGTCATACTTTGGAGCTGAGACAGCACACAAGTGCTGTAGCTCTCTTGCTATAGTGTTGCGTGCCGTGCAGTCGCAGAGTCCTCCCTCTCTTTTCGACGAACATCGACGTTGTATACATAACAGCAGTGCGGAGAGCGCAGAATATATAGCGCCTGTACATAGGTAGGAGCTCTCGGCGCTTTGCGGCCACACGGCAAGAGGTAGGTAGGTAGGTTTGTGTGCGCCAACTTGTACACAGGAGGTAGAGCCACGCTCGACTCGTTTCGGACTGTTCAGTTTAGCGAGCGAGACGTGCAGAGCCGAACATCATCGGCCGCCGGCGTGTAGCTTCTATATTATATATAGTGTGCTGTGGTGCAGTGCAGTGCTGCGAGATAGCGAGAGCGAGAGAGAGAGAGAGAGAGAGAGAGAAAGAGTCGCTCGAGTGCAGTGCAGTGCGCGGTGCGAGAAAGGTTGCGTCGGTCTTCCTTGACGCCCCTCTCGATCCTTTTTTTTTCTCACTCGTAAATCGTAACAAACCTCGTTCGTTTCTTCGTCCTTTTCGTACAAAACGTGGATAAGCAGCCTATAACCAGCGACGAGTCAACGCACCGATCAGTAAAAGGGAGAAATCCTGCGTGTCGTGGATCGGCTGCCGCCGATTCGAACGTTTCGAACGCGTAGGCCCAGCGACTCACCTGGTACCGGCTTATGCTATCGTCCACGCACCTGTGTGAGTGTGTGCGAGTCCGTGCAAGACTCGGAAATGTTCGTTGCAGCCGAAGCAGCAGCAGCGGCGACACGTGAACACACCGAGGCTCGCGATTAAACGAGCCAACGAAAACAATCGAAGAAAATAATAATTAGCCAGCGGCGAAAGGGGGTTGAATCGCCAAAAAGAAAGAAGGTCGCACATAGATGTTGTTACCAGTGCTTGGCTCAACGGCAACAGCTAGCAGTCGCGATCGTTGCAGTTTCGTCGGTGATGCCCTCGAGGAGGAAGTAGGAAGAAGCAGCTCGGGCAGGAAAAAGAAATTCAAAGGAACGAGAGCTTGAGAATCTCTGCGCTACGACGAGTACAAAAAGAGAGGCGTATTCTGCGCGTGCATGTGTCGTCGTCCTGTGTGAATCGCCAATTCCTGTACAGTGTGTTTGTGTGCCCTTATAATACAGCCTCGAGAGTACAGAGCTGCTCCACGAGTATAGCTAGGCACTCTTTCAAGCACAACGCGTTCACATTTATGCTGTACGAGTGCGCGTACGGCCGGTTCACCATCTCACCAACTGATATACGCATTCGGCATCCTGAGCTGCCCATCGTACTATCGTCGACTCTCGCCTCAACAGGTAAGCCCTTTGTCGAGTGCGTTGCACCTTTCTGCAGATGCGATTTCGAGAGCGTCGCTCATAAAAGTCGCTGCCCTTCATTCATTAAAATGAAAAAATGTGCGCACACCCTCCCAATGAAAATGTCAAGTTTGCGATTGCGCACGTACACAGCTCTGGCTTTTATCGGCGACAAACATCAAGCAAAAAAGTAGCGTGTCGCGCTCTCGTGTACGTTACATTCGCGTCCGAGCTAAAAAGGCATACAATTATGAATCGCACAGACATACGTTGTATGGCACATAGAGTGCACAGGCCAGCGTGGCGCGCACACACACACACCCACGGATCGGAGCAGCTCGAGGAATGATACCGACAGCTCTGCGAGGAGTATGCGTGCCATAATATACCGAGGGGGGTGTTACGGAACACGGAGCACAAAGCAGTTGCTCGATCCGTGTGCAGCTTGTGTGCCTCCGACTCCTGTTTGTCCGTAGTCCGTCTGTCCGAGTGTCTGTATCGTGTGTACGAGTGTACGTAATTTTTTTTTTTCGTCCAAGTATGCACACACGGTGCACACGAGCTGTCTTTCGAGTTCAACCCGTACTCGAGAAATTAATTTGAGCGAGCCTTGCGTGCTTTTTTTGCATACATTTGCGAGAATTAAAAGCGAGTCCCCGTCGTTTACGAGTCAGCTGCGCGCAAAGAAATAGCATATAGTCCTGTACGAGTAGTCTGCGTGTGGTTTCGGTATGCCTGTCTGCGCATTATAATACACCTCGTTATTACCGCGACGAGTCGATGAGTTAGGCGATTTTTCCGAGAAGCAGTAGATCAACGCGCACTTTTAGACTTTTGAAGGTAACGAGCCGATCGAGGCAGAAGAAAGCTCGACACGAGGACTAACTTTACCATCGTCTTTGTGCCCGATAATTTGCAGCTGTCAATTTATGCGCATGAGAAAAAGTCCGCGCTATATGCAAGACCCGTGCGAAGACGCGAATCCTAATCATGAATATCAAGCTGTGGTCAAAAGTAAAAGGACTAGAGTTTATTATACACGACAGCCCGTCGATTCGAAGCCGATATAAGCGTCGAGTCATTGAATAATTATCCTGTTTTATACGAGCGGCTGGGTCGTGAACTCTTTTTGCCCTTCACGTTGGCCAGTCACATCCTCCAAGTTTCGCCTCTAATTTCCATCCTCGCGGCCTATTTGATTTTTCTACCCGCACAGTTGGCGTAAACACAATCCAGCCGACTACATCCCATAGAAAACGTGCGTATACGTGTGCGCGAGGCAGGACTGCAGGCGGTGCGCGCGTGCGGCTCCGAGCTAGAATGACCGGCGCACCTGTTGCGTTACGTTTTCCCGTTTTTCTCTTCATCAGAGGGGGAGAAGTGCGCCGCGCGATCCTCTTCCTTTGCCTCTATGGACATTGACTGCTATATAGTCTACGCTGGCAATGATGGTATGTGTCTGCTGCTTGCCCTGCTCCTGCTGCGGCTGCACTGCTTTTGCTTATGGCCATATAATGTATACCTGCTACTCTCTCGAGCGTGATATTCTCCTGTATTATATATAGAGTCGGAGCCCAACGCGTAGCGTGTAACACACGCGTATCAGGAAAAAAAGGAAGAAAAAAAAACACGACACGATACGATACACATATCAATTGCGCGCGACGCTTCGGCGGCGACAGCGGCAACAGTTGTCGCCGATTTTTGTTGCTGCAGAGCGATCTTCGTTTTAGAATATTTCACGCGGCAGAATATAATACAAAATTGACGATGTGGGTCATCGCCTCGTACACGTACGACGTTCGCGAGAGCTTGTAATGTACGTAGGATATAGAAGAGCTCGGCAGGCTATTACACATTATATATATAAACCTCTCCGCGAGTGTGTACGTGCTCGTATCCTGGTTCGTATTCATTCGCGCGCAGGTTTCTTTTGACGAGTGCAAATAGCGTACACGTAGTACACTTGTGTTGTACGTGGGGTGCTGCTGCTGCAGCTCGCATGCGGGCTTTGTGTATATAATACTCGCAGACGCACACCCACGCACGCGCGTATTAATTGAATGAAACGTCCGAGATTTAATTGTTCTCTTTGCCGCGCGAGTTCAGGATTATATTATGTATACGTTGATGCTCTTTTGCGTGTGCCAGTCGTCCTTCGCTTTCAATCTTGTTAGCTTGCATTACTGGATTCGGATGAAAATTAATCTCGAGAGATTTTTCATTGCTAGAAAACTCGACCTGTGAATGAAAAATTCTGCAAACGACCGTTCGGATATTATTATAAATGGTCTAGCGTGAGAGAGAGAAAAGTATCGAAGCGAATTAGCGCTCTGCTCGTCTAAAACGCAGCGGATGATTAATCGCGCATTGACTCCGGTCTCGAGAAAAGAGAAATTGGAAAAAATAATTTTCATTTCCTTTTCTTTTTTTCTCTTAGCCTACGCGACAGCAAATCTTGTCTACGCGTATACATTAGTATTTTGATACGAACAACAGTTGTGCAAACACTAGCGACGATCAGCACGCGCGAATTGGGTCAAGTTCGATGTAAACATTGCTTACGATCATCCACTCAATCACAGTCCACATCGTATATTTTAAACAAGTACAAACTCCGTAGTTCCAAAAAAGTCACGAAAATGGACCCTTTGCTATGCCATAGCCACTTGCTCCTCAATAGTACCTATTATTATGTGCAATACTATAAGCTTGGTGCACAAAACGATGGCACGCCAGGAATCCGGCGTAAACGCTCGAGTTCATACAAGAGCCTCTCCGCGCGTCGCGTGCAGTCTGCTGTGCTGTTTCTGCTGCTGCTGCTGCTGCATCGGCTTCGGAATCCCGTCGAGCGAGCTATAACTAAAACCCGCGCTCGTGATCTTCTCTCCAACTTCTTCTCTCTATGTCTCTCTATGCCTCTCTATATGTCGGCAAAGCTACCAAATGCACTTGGCGTCGTGTATCATTGAAATTTCGAAGCCGTAGCTCAAGCAGTGTAACATATATCGTTTCCTGTTGGAACACGTGAGATCATCGGCAGCGATCATCGTCGTCGAAAAAACAATGAAAAAAGATTTCTAACTTACGAATTACACGGAACGAACGTGAGTTTATCGCTACTTATATTCGCGCGTCGCGTCTCCCGCTGTTTGCCCAGCTATCTCAATATTGATTCTAAATAAGGCACATGTACAATACAGCGGCTCGATCGCGTAACTCGATGTTTTTTTTTCGCCACACGCACGCGATGCGAAGAAATGTTACACCTTGGTGTCTTCTTTCTCTTTGAATGTATACATAATAATTGCTGCTTATATAAAATTGAACTCGCTCGCAAAACTCGACAATTAAAGGCGGCATTATATTCCAGGCTCGATACCACGTTAGATCAATTATTTCTCTCTCATTTTTCACCTACTAATGATGCACCAATAATTGTTGGTTGTGTCTGTGTACAAAAAAAAATTAAATAATGCCTAAACAGGCTTTGAGAGCGCGATTAAATTTATCGAACGATTGTTTTTATGAACCAATTAAAAAATATCCTCGTCGTCGCGATCCCACGCAATAATTAAATCGGTGACTCGAGCAAGATACAAAAAACCGGCAAATATATTGCCTAATATCCAGAAAGTATGTTTGTGCTCTCTAAGCCATAAAATAGCCTTTGTAGTGCAGTATAATACACAAGTGCGGCGACGCGTCGGCGGCCATCGAATAAAATAACGAGCTTATATATCTACGTACATATATACAAGAGAACACTGCAGGCGTACACACTTTCAGTGCTGCTGTAATTTAACGGATCTTATGATACCGCTTGCTAGTTCTCCATCTTTCTTTCTCTTTCTCGCTCCTTAGACTCATGCTCGATCTCTTTCGACCAACACGATGAAGATATACACGGGACGAAATGGTAAATTAGAAACATATCCTGGGAGGCTTCTTAGCGTTGTAAAATAAAAATTAGAAGGGACACGGAGCATTTTGATATCGATGGGTGTCTTTCTAACATGCCAAGATAATGCATCATATAAAATTATTTTGTCGAGTCAAATAAAATTTTAATCTGAGCATCACAAGAAATTGTATTATAAAAAACAAAATGGTTTTTATAAACAGTTGAACATTTCTTTTTATCAAAACATGTATAAAGATCCACAGCGAAGTCATCATAATGAAGTCACCAAGTAATTTCCATTCAATTTACAATGCAATGTCGCTATGAATTGTATAGTCAACTTTTTTCATCCGACCCACGAACTCTTGAAAAACAAACAAACAAATTTCCTTCAGAGTATAGCTTAATTTATTCGTCCTGGTCGAATTGTGTTGTACATAAAAAAATATCGTTTCGTTCAAGAGAGAGGAAGAGAGGAGAAGCACTTTTTTGGCTTTAGAAGTCGAGAAACTGCTTACATGTAGATAGGAGTTCTCTATGGGCGCGTGCACTCGTCAAGGACACGGCATTGCGCATTCGACGGCGCAAGAGCTGTTGTTGCGCTTCTGCGTGGGTGTAACATTCACGGCTCGAGGATTTACTTTTGTCGAGCTACGGCGGCACATAATACAGACGTCACGAGTTGACCAGATGGACGGGCAAAGCGCACGAACGAGAGTACGAGGCAATAACTCGAAGAGTCGATTCGGCAAATTATTACAGCTGGCGCGGCACAATATGCAAAAGATCCTCCCGCGGATCGTAAATTCATTAATTAGCATTGCTCGGATGTGCATGTACACATGTACAGAGATCGGCGTACACGCTGCGGGTATATATCGTGTGTAGGAGCGATTTGGCCGCGCGAGCGTGCGCTGGTAATGGGGCCCCGCGCGAGCGCCGATATCGACTCAATGGGTCCATCAATTTCACCGAAGCCGTATAAGCGTACGCTCGGCAACAGCAGCAGCATCGGCAGAAGCGGCAACAGCAGCGCGCCGTCTCATTAACTTGTAAAACTGCATTTGCGGGCGCTCGGTGCAGCATTACCGCCGCCGCGAGATATTCGCCATAAGATAAGCGCGTGCACCGCGAGAGAGACACAGACAAATTTTCCCTTCACTGTAATACGTGTAGCATATATACGACGAGGATAATGCATACAAACGGATTGACGCAGCAGCAGCAGCAGCAGCAGCAGCAAAAGCTAAAGTAGCAACGGCAGCTTTTTGCATCATCGGCGTATAAGTGCAGTGCCTCTCTCTCTTTCTCGTGTCGTCGTCCCTGCCATTGACCGCTTGTGCGAGCATGTGTACATACACCGCGCGTGTCTATTACGCCAAAGACCGAGGTATTTTCAAAGTCATTGCCTCCTATATGCAATATCGCGCGCTATTAGTATACAGTGCAATATAGCACTGCAGGTACATGCATATGCAGAAAGAGAGAAAAAGCCGAGGACGACGATTAAGCCAAGATACGGGTGGCGCGAGCTGCGCCGAGTGTCTCCATTGCAATGTACGTGGTACATCGCGCCAGAGCTGCCTGTATATAGAAGCCAATGAGGAATAAAATGTCAACTCGATCGTGGAGTTTGTTGACCCGCGGATATGAGCGTATAAATGTTCGCGGTCATCGACAATCTTTCGATTTGGATTATTCGAGATTACTGCGACCAATAAATCAGCTTCGACTACTATATCCGTGTAAAACGATAGATTAAAATGTATCACTTAGATTTACGAGAATATACTTGCATTAAATCACGAATTTATGACGATTCAAGTTCCTGCCTTGCTGTTATCGCTTGATTGCTAAATTGTCACTGAATGCCGATAAAGAATAATGGCACGTCATAATCGCACCAGACGGCTCAATAATTTTCGAGACTGTTCTTATCATTTTTGATTGATCTATCGTCACCTGTCTTAACTGCTTTATAAAACGAAAAATTGAAGATTAGTTTTCTTATGTTTCACAAGCTCGCGTGCACAAAAACATGGCTCAGTTATTTATCCTACTGCTTGAAAGAGTAGATCCTAACGAGAGCAAGATTGTCTCGACTGCAGGTCGCGGATTGTCGTGCAGCCGCACGCCTCATTGTCTTACATTATGCAGCTTGCTACACTGTGTCAAGAGAGTCTGCTGGTGCGCGGGCGAGCAGGCGGCAAAACACGAAACTCCTTCAGATCTTCAACTGTGCACTTCGTATACTGCGTGGCGCGCACACGCCACGTAAATATTAATCCAACTGGGCAATTACACTTTCTTTCCTATAATTTACTCTCGTTAGTACAGCGTAATAATAAGCCGTGTTATTGCACCACTTGCATACTTGCGCCTGTGTAGCCGCTCGTGGTCTTAGTTGTCGTCATTGTGTTTTTTTTTCATTTAGAGCTCTTTTGAGTCGTTAGAAACGTTTGCAGACATTTTTCTCTCGATCGTCATCGCGTTTTCTGGTTTTTATCAAAATTCGAATGATCAACAACATGATTTTTCTACACTTTTTCAACAATTGTATATGTCAAATTAACAATGTTGAAATAAATCTCCGACGCTCAAGTATTTTTCGAAATACTCCAAAGCTCTGATCATCCGACAATCGTAGCGCCCGCTCGTGATCGGTAAATAAATCCAATTACAAATTCCGTTTCGTTTTTCGCGTCGTTATTCAAAGCCAGCGAGCTTCCAATCACGGGGCAAGGATACTCGATTTTCCCGCGAATGTCAAGTGTATACACGCATACACGGGCACGTTTAAATTCCATCCGAAGCATTCGTAATACATCATCAGGCGTTTGTACTCTTGACGAGCGTAAAATCGTCGTAAGACAAAATTGGATTACAGAGCAGCGCCTGCGTCCTACGTAGCATTGTTTTCTCTCACAGACAGCCTATGTTGTTGTTGTTGTTGTTGTTGTTGTTGTTGTTGTTGTTGTGATACATGGTAAAACCAAAGCTGATGCAATTTAAACTCCATGAGCTGTGCCATGCTCCACAAGCATAGCTTTTCTTTTTCATATATCTTATACTGCTGCATGCAGTGCGTTTATCTATATAAATAAGCGTCGCGGCGTCGTTCCGGCTTCCGACTAGGAATTTGCACTACTTTTCACGTGTTTTCTCTTCCATACGTTTGTGCGCGAGAGTATGTATAGGTGCGTTTATGTGAGCTACGGGAGAAATGAGACTCTATATATGCAAAATTGGTGCATCGACATTTTTATAAGCGACCATATTTTCATATTTTATCCGTAATTATGCCCAATATCGTTTGCATCGAGAACGCACAACATTATATGCATAGGAATTCTTGCGATCGCTTTCCCAAGCGTCGGAAAATCATATTTGCTGCGTATAGGCACATAACGCAGAAGAGAAAAAAGCTGCGACCGATACATAAAGTGATGTAGAAATTTTACGAGAAAACCTGCGAAGAAAAAACACGTAAGCAGACGTTAGAATTCAATTGCTACTTAAACGCTTGGCGGATCGTTCAATTATAACGCTGATAATAGATTAATTGTGTTTTAGCGGAGAATTTTGATTTGTTAACGGATTAAAGTAGTGCGCACGCGGTGGCGGCGTCGGCGGCGTTGTGCACATTTCAATTTCTACGTTAATCATTGCGCATTGCGTGACGCTAATTGGCCGAGATTCGTTGCATTACGTTATATCGCACAGCTACACGTAATTGTTGTTTGTTTTCGGTTCTATACGTTCTGCACGTGTAAGTGGATACTCGAACGGGTGGCGAGTATAAAAAAGTTAAGGGTCCGACCAATGGCTGATCGATACTTTTTAGACTTAGTTGCGCGCGCGCGATCGAAAGCTTCGAGAGTGCTCGAATAGCGAAAGTATATCGAAACTACTCGCAATTTCTCAAATCGCAGCGCCGATCGGTCGAGTTAAATTATAAGCCTCGGTCGCTCACGAGACATTTTAATTCGTCGCACTCGCCGCCGCCGCCGTAGTCTCGCGACCCAAATCCCCCGTTGAAAAAATCTTCACTTTTACATTCGCTCTCGTGCGCCGCTTACGCGTCTGCATTCCCCAGTCACGCGCGTTTGGTCTTTGCATTAGTACATACGCGAGAAGGGATAACGGAAAATCGCTAAAACTCAATTTTCTGCCAATTTCTCGAGTCGTTTTTTATAGCTCGTGTGAATGACTTATTCCGAACTAAACTTTCAAAATTAGCATTTGCGTTTGTGCTTTAGCCTAGTACTTCATGGCTGAGATCGAAACCCGAGTTTTATCCGAATCACGTATGAAAAGCTATCATGTGGAATATTCCGAATGTTTCCAGGCGTTGTTGTTGCAGCTCGCAGATCGGTCGTCGTTATATTACCGCGTGCTACAGATATCCTCTCTTTCTTTCACTGCTTTATATGTAGGATACTCGTTACCTATATTATAACCCACTTGGTGAACAGGTTTTGCACTGCTGCGGCTGCTGCTGCTGCAGCTCAGCGATCCTCTTCGGAAGACACGACGATACTCGCGGCGGCGGCAGTGCAGCGATCCTATGTCTATAACGGTGATCGGCCTCGCAGATAAGGCAATCCATGCAACCGCGAGATCTACTATTCGAGTTTCAACGTACTCGATCTAATAATATTTTACATTGGAAAAAATCTGGCCGTGACGCGACACCGGGCGAATCTTTTTCTCTTCTTTTTCGCGTCTCGTATATAATCCATCGAACGAGAGACGAGCGCAGTCGCACAAAAACTCGATTCGGAGCTCAACAGGCGCGACAAAGAGAATAATTATTTAATCGTCGTTTGTCTGCCGTTCGCGCCGTGGGATTGATGAATGATTCGAATCGCGCGACTTTACGCGCAGTCACGCGGCCGCTCGTGGGACGATATCGTGGCCGCCTGAGCGCATTAAAAAGCTCGTTTATATATAAGCCCGCGTTTAAATACATTATCCAAAGCTCGTCCTGCATAAATAGACTGTGAAACGGTTTGGAATTTTGCAAGTAGGCGGTCGCTCTCGATGCTTGCTATGTGTTTTATACACCCGACAAATAGACTATTCGAGCATTATACAAGAGGGAAAATCGACCATTTGTCCGCGGAACAAGGTGTACCATGAGGAAACGTCTTTTTAACGATTTCCAAGCCTTGATAGTCTAAAATATAATGCCGCGATGTTGAGAAAACAATTCACCTCGGCACGTGTATAATATCGACATGTGCATATGTGTAACGGCACAAGCTATCACAAATACAAATCGTAGAAACTAAACAATTGAAACTCCGGCGTAAAGGGCATCTTACGCTTGGAATATAACGCAACACGGTTCTAAGCGTTTCCCTATTGTGGCGGAGAGTATTTAAAATACGATTTCAAAATTAAGCGATGTTATCAGCATTGATCCGTAATTTGTGTGCGCGGGATTGAGAAATTTTGCGCGCTCGCCGCACAATCGTTGTGCCTGGCGTCTACGTATACACGTGCTTTTTTTTCTTATCTGCGTATGCGGTTATTTAGTTTTGAAATGCGCGTAGGATTCGATACGCTATGCTAATGATCATTGGGAAAAATTTACTTTGCCATTTTTAATTGGATCCGAGAGTGAATTTGTACGATGAACGATTTGAAAAGTACATATAGTCCAACGTGCACAAACACAAACACACAAGGATATTACTTGGATTTTTTACCTTGATCATAAATCACGACTCGGGTAACGAGGTTTTTTTTTGTCAGCAATTTTACGCGATATAATTAGACAGATATGTAAATTTGCTATAGCCACAGAAAATAATTATTAATAGCCAGAAACTCTTCGACACTTTAACTGGCACTGAAATGAATGCGCGATAAGTATAATGCACGGATATACGAGCGTTCTAATATTGGATTTTATCAATTTTGCAGGTTGCGAGCCGACAACTGCAGCTTGAGAGATGGTCATCGTTACTCGGGTAAGTTTCTTTTCAGGGATCATTTTATGTGCGTTGAAAAAACCTCATACTGCTGTCAATTTAACGGAATGTGAGATGAATTCTTTGTTGGGAAAATTGTTGTGAATTTTTTGAAATAAAAGTAAATTTTAGTCGTTGGATATGGCTAGAGTAGTGTAGGATATAAATTTTCTCACACAATTGGGAAAAACTTTCGCACGCGGGTGCCCGTGGCCTGGTGACAGGTGAAAATTTCATTCGTTACGTTGCAATCATATCAGTGGGATACGCGTGCGCGTGAGCTCGAAAGGAAAAAAAGCTCCACGAACTCGCCGACTGGCCCGCGTGCTGAATCATCATTCAGCGCATTTTTTCTCGCGATCGCGCGGCGTTGGCAAGTTGGTCGCGCGCCGAGCACAAAAGCTTTCCAAATACGTTTTTCATACGAATCAGAGTAGTGGCCTCACTCGAGCACACGCGATGACAAAGAAAACGAAAGTCTTTGCAATTGTCAACACGTTGTAATTAGCTAAAATGAAAGTCAATCAATTTTACAATATATTTACGTAAATCAGAAGGAAGACAAAAACGCCATTTCGTACTCGCAATGATCAATCAATCATATGCATTATGTTTACAAGTACAGAGTTGCTTCGTTCGAAATGGAAAACTAGCAGCGAGTTGTAAGTAACGATAATAATCGTAAAAATTGCGCTTAAACGTTGCTACGTAGCATTATTTGTGCGGCCACTATACTTTTCTGGTTGTTTTCAGCAACAGACAAACGCTCATCCATTTATACGATCCTTCTGCATACGTACGTGTATTCTTAAACTGTGTACAAGTGTGCGTATGAGGTAAGGCGAGCGAGAAAAGATAAAAAGAGAAAATACTTCCTGCGGCTTATTAGTACGTATTCTTGTACATACAGTTAGGGATAGTATAAGAAATTTCTAGCTTATTTGCCGCCGTGTAGATTTTAGCCTATTGATTTGTAACGAGACTTGGATTACGCGCGTTTTAATCGAGCAAAACTTCTCTTGTCATCCTTACGAGAGCGAGACGAATCTCTTGAGAAACCGATCCCCGATTTGCGATCGGCACCTCGGTATCGGACTTCACACTCGATTATATTATACGTATAGCGCAGAGACTCGCAGTGAATATAAATGTATATCGAGGCGATATTTTTCTCTTGGTCGCGCGAGATTGACTCGAAAGAAATCTAGATCAGTCGCTCGTATCGAACCTTCGTGGCGCGCACGAATAGGGACTTGGCCGCCGAGTGGAAAACTGTATTGATACGTGCCCGCGGACGCGGACAAGATTTCTATGCTCGATCGAACACGTCGTATCCGAGTACTTTTGATTCGTTGCTTCGTAACAGGCATGCAGAGGTTAAATGTATCGCGACTCGGGGGATATTATTTTCATCGCGCGCCACATTCGACGTTTTGATGATGATGGCAAAAAAAACGCATCGAAAACACGAAAAAATGCACTTGTCTCACAGTACAGTCGGTAATTTTTTACTATCGCGTCTATTCTTTTTTATTATCTAGCATTAGCTCGAAGTGACATTGACGAAATGCCCGATGTCCCCATTAATACACGTGAACATTAGGCTCGAGTGCAAATAATAAGTATGCGTCAACTTTTAACGTCCGAACGATCACGTGTACAATATGCATACACAAGTATTACAATATAGACTCGTTAAAGCAACCGATAATAAGTATAGCCGCACGAAGAAGCGTGAGCGTCTGCGTTGCAGCTAATATGGTATCTCATACACAGGTGAAGAGGCGCATGTACACAAATACCTATATAGCACGTATGTACCGTTTCGCGCGCGTGTCAAATGTTATTTATTCGTGACGAGAGATAAATCTATAGTAGCTGGCTTATGCCCGGTAGCGAAGCTCGGGCTAATAAAATTAATTAGACGAAGTAAAAAGCCGCGCACACGTGTTTCGCTTCTATTATGCGCTATTTCTATATACGCGCGGCGGCTCCTAATGATTTAAACAGAAAAAAAGCGCAACGATTAATTTGCTGATTTACTGTAAAATATTTTTACTCGGCGCGCGCGCGCCTGCACTAGCGAGGCGACGAGCAGTAATTGTTGAGCCTCGCTCGTGTGCCTTACTCGTGCATGCATAAAGATTCACACGAGCCCGCGCTACGTAAAGAGAGAGGACCAAAGCTCGATACCTCTCGACGACGCGCAGCGAATTTGCGTAAATTCAACCTCTTTTTTTCTCCTATAAAACGTAAATTTAGTATAGCCATAGTCCGAGGGCAAAAACACACACGTATGTAGACAGAAGCGAGCGCGCACGCATGGTAAATTCAAAGAGCGGAAGAGCTCTTCCGATGTTTCGCTATGTTGAACAATCAGGCCGCGTTCAAACGGGCCCCGTTTTATCGTCATTATCATGATTATTATGAGCCAGGACCGTGCGTGTAAGTGTGTGAGTATGTGTGTGTGTGTATTCTTTTGACCAGCTCGCGTATGTATATGCAGGTAAAGGAGCAACAGTAACAGACTGGCGCAAACGCGTTAACGCTCGGCATTTTCTACGAAACTTGCGGATCTCTTCTTCTTGCTCACTTGTTGCCTTATACTCGCGCCGTCTTTTTCGCTAAATCGCTTCTTGAAAGCCGCCTGCATGTGTGTAGGATACATACATATATGCGTGTGTATTCGAGCCCGAGTACTGCTGCTCGACGCGCGCCTATGTATACGTTTTATAGCCTCTGGCAAAATCCTATGCGTGTGAGTGTGTGTACGTTTTTTCCTCCTCTGCATTATATATGGGATGTCAGAGTTGCGCGCGGTATGTGTGTTTCTACGCCAATGCCGGAGAGGAGTGGATGAACCATTTGAGTCTTCTCTGCGTTTTTTTCAGCTTTAAAAAGTCGCTGTGGAATCGAGCGGAATGATAACCGCTCCTAGGCTCGGCCGATCGATAAATAAATGTGAAAATTCTAACGCCGATGCTTTACATTTCACGCTAGCGGTCATTATGTACATCTTGCACTAGTTCCTACACTGGCCTTACGTATTGCATTCATCAACGCATTTCTTCGTGATCTTTGGCAAAGGCATTGAAAGGTTTTTTTGTCCAAGCGAATCGATTCTGTCGCACCGCAGCTAGCTCCGTATACTCATTTACTCTGTTTTTGCCTCGAGCATTATTTTCCGCAGGCTCGTTTGCAGGACACTTAAATTTATACACCAGAGAAATTACCTTTTCCATTGGTACTGTACTAATGGCATAATTGTTTCAAATTGTTTAAAATCTTCTTCTCTCTGCTCTTCTTCAGAGCTCAATTGTCTCTGTTCTCGGACACATAACCCGTTGACTTGGCCTGTTACTTGAATCAGACGTTTGTCTAACTCAAAGAGCGTTCAAAATTAATATATACTTTTTCTAATTACAGGGCGATTACATATGGATTGAACCCGTTTCCGGCAGAGAGTTTGATGTAGCTATTGGCGCCCGAGTCGTGTCGGCGGAAGGTAGACGCATCCAAGTTAAAGACGACGACAACAAGGTAATTGAACCGATAAAATCGCTCGTTTTCCGCCTCGCGTTTCATTACTTTTTCTTCCTTCGAGCTAATACGGTTGGACATAAAAATTATTATAAACTAGTCCACGGGCAATTTATAATTTCACGCGCCTTTATTTTTTTCTTGCTTGGAAAATTCTTGCAGGAACAATGGCTGACTCCGGAAAGACGAATAAAGGCGATGCACGCGACGTCGGTGCAGGGCGTCGAGGACATGATAAGCCTTGGCGATCTGCACGAGGCCGGTATACTCAGAAATCTTCTCATACGTTACAACGAGAATCTCATCTACGTGAGTATTTATGTTCTATGTGAAACTAGAAGAAATAAAAGGAAAATAAAGAATAAAATCAATCAAAATTTAACGTTTTTTTTTATCAGACGTACACGGGCTCGATCCTGGTAGCTGTGAATCCCTATCAGATCTTACCGATCTACACCGCCGAACAAATCAAACTGTACAAAGATCGAAAAATCGGCGAATTGCCACCGCACATATTTGCCATCGGTGACAACGCCTACGCCCACATGAATCGCTATGGTCAAGATCAGTGCATTGTCATTAGGTACACAAGTCAATTGACTATTTTTCATCACTTTCCGTCGAATCAATTCATGATTTTTGAATTTCTATTTTCGATAACGCTCTCATCTTATTGACAGTGGTGAAAGCGGAGCCGGTAAAACGGAAAGCACCAAACTCATCCTGCAATACTTGGCCGCCATCAGTGGTAAACACTCGTGGATCGAGCAACAAATACTCGAGGCCAATCCGATCCTCGAGGCCTTCGGCAACGCCAAAACCGTGAGGAACGACAACTCGTCGAGATTCGGCAAGTACATCGACATACACTTCAACAAAGCCGGAGTCATCGAGGGCGCCAAGATCGAGCAATACCTGCTGGAAAAGTCGAGAATCGTCTCGCAAAGTTTGGATGAGCGAAATTATCATATATTTTATTGTATGCTGGCTGGATTATCGAAGGAGGAAAAACAAAAATTAGAACTGGAAGAAGCTTCGACTTATAAATATTTGACGGGCGTAAGTAATTTTTGTAAATATTGAGCTTCGAATTGTACCTTTTATGACATTTATGAGAATTCTTTTTTGCCTACCATAGGGTAATAGCATTACTTGCGAAGGCCGCGACGACGCAGCTGAATTTTCCGACATTCGATCGGCGATGAAAGTTTTGCTGTTCACCGACAGCGAAATTTGGGAAATTTTGAAACTACTTGCGGCGGTACTGCACATGGGCAACGTCAAATACAAAGCCACTGTCATAGGTAAGCCAAACGTCAAAAACATTTGAGACATCGTCCAAATCAATGAAACGTTAATAATCTCGTCATCTCTCACCTCGGCAGATAATCTCGACGCGACGGAGATCCCGGAACAGACGAACGTGAAGCGAGTGGCACAGTTGCTCGGCGTGCCGGTGCAATCGCTCATCGACGCGCTGACCCGTCGCACGATATTCGCCAGCGGTGAGACGGTCGTGTCGACCCTGTCGCGCGATCAGTCGGTAGATATAAGGGATGCCTTCGTCAAAGGCATCTACGGCCGATTATTCGTGCACATAGTCAAAAAAATCAACGAAGCCATATACAAGCCCAAGTACAAGTCGCGCAGCACCATCGGCGTCCTCGACATTTTCGGCTTCGAGAACTTCAATCACAACAGCTTCGAGCAGTTCTGCATCAATTACGCCAACGAGAACCTCCAGCAGTTCTTCGTGCAGCACATCTTCAAGCTCGAGCAGGAGGAGTACAATCACGAGGGCATCAATTGGCAGCACATCGAATTCGTGGACAATCAGGACGCCCTCGATCTCATAGCCATCAAGCAGCTCAACATCATGGCGCTCATCGACGAGGAGTCCAAGTTCCCCAAGGGCACGGACCAGACGATGCTGGCCAAAATACACAAAACCCACGGTGGCCATCGCAATTATCTCAAGCCCAAATCCGACATCAATACGTCCTTCGGCCTGAATCACTTTGCCGGCGTCGTGTTCTACGACACGCGCAGTTTCTTGGAGAAGAATCGCGACACCTTCAGTGCCGATCTGCTACAGCTCATACACATATCGGCCAACAAGTTTTTGCAGACTTGCTTCGTCGAGGACATTGGCATGGGCTCGGAGACGCGCAAGAGGACGCCTACTCTGTCGACGCAATTCAAAAAGTCATTGGACAGTCTGATGAAAACGTTGGCCAACTGTCAGCCGTTTTTCATCAGGTGTATCAAGCCAAACGAGTATAAAAAACCGATGGTGAGTTGTAAAATTTGAAGAAAATATTCGTCTTTCATGAACCTTGATTTTTCAATATGAACTCTATGAATTACAGATGTTCGATAGAGGTTTGTGCTGTCGCCAACTGAGGTACTCGGGAATGATGGAAACCATTAGAATAAGAAGGGCCGGATATCCCATTCGACACTCGTTCCCGGAATTCGTCGAGAGATATCGCTTCCTCATACCCGGTATACCTCCCGCGCACAAGGTTAGCTCGAAATACATACAATAATGCTTTTAATTAACGCTCGACGCATAGTGCAAACGTGATAATTCGAGCGGCAATTTAACAGATCGACTGCCTGTACGCAACGACGAAGATCTGCCACGCAGTTCTCGGCAGATCGGACTACCAGCTCGGCCACACCAAAGTCTTCCTGAAGGACGCGCACGACCTGTTCCTCGAGCAGGAGCGAGATCGCGTGCTCACCCGCAAGATCCTCATACTGCAGAAGAACATACGCGGCTGGGTGTATCGACGGAGATTCCTGCGAATGCGCGAGGCAGCCGTCAAGATCCAGAAGTACTGGCGCGGCTACGCCCAGCGCCAGCGCTACAAGAGGATGCGAAGCGGCTACATGCGATTGCAGGCGCTCATCAGGTCGAGGGTCCTGTCGCATAGGTTCCGCCACTTGAGGGGTCACATTGTGGCGCTTCAAGCTCGGGCTCGAGGACATCTCGTGCGGCGAGCTTTCCGCAAGAAGATGTGGGCCATCGTCAAGATTCAGGCTCACGTCAGGCGCCTCATAGCCCAGCGAAGGTTCAAGAAGCTCAAGTACGAGTATCGCTTGCATTTGGAAGCGTTGAAGCTCAGAAAGAAGGAGGAACACGACCTCAAAAATCAAGGCAATAAGAGAGCTAAAGAAATAGCCGATCAGCACTTCAGAGTACGTGTTTGGAATTTTATTCTCTGGAGATGATGCCAAAAAATTACATTATTTGTTTTTGTTACATTTAGGAACGTATGCAAGAGCTAGAGAGAAAAGAAATTGAGATGGAGATCGAAGATCGTAGAAGAATGGAAATAAAGAAGAATCTTATAAATGACGCAGCCAAAAAGCAAGATGAACCTGTAGACGATAGCAAACTCGTAGAAGCGATGTTTGATTTCCTACCAGATTCCAGTAGTGAAGCTCCTACGCCCGCTAGAGAAACGTCGATATTCAATGTAAGTATCAACTTGAACAATTTGGCAAGAGTAATGATTAAAATCGGTTACGTTGTTAACAGGATCTACCAGCACCCAAAGCCGATCAGCAAGAGATCATAAGTCCGATTCAAACAGCTTCGGAGGACGAAGAAGACCTATCGGAGTTTAAATTCCAAAAATTCGCTGCGACGTACTTTCAAGGAAATATCACTCATTCGTATTCGCGTAAACCACTGAAGCATCCCCTGTTACCGTTACACACGCAAGGAGACCAACTGGTAATTGCCGTCGACTTGACGTACACTTAATATAACGAAGAAAAAAAAAACGTAAAACGATGTTTATTTTTTTCTCTTTCGATGCGCAGGCTGCTCAAGCTCTGTGGATAACAATTCTACGCTTCACTGGTGACTTGCCGGAGCCTCGATTCAACACAATGGATCGAGATAATACATCGGTAATGTCAAAAGTCACCGCGACGCTTGGCAGAAATTTTATTCGCAGCAAAGAGTTCCAAGAGGCCCAACTCATGGGAATGGATCCAGTAGCTTATTCCGTCAGTTGAAATATCGTTAAAATACTTCAATCACGCAGTTGCAACAAATTGTCACGGATGAATTATTGATTTTTCAGGAATCGTACCTTAAACAACCGAAGCCCCGCTCCATCCGTCACAAATTGGTGTCGCTGACTTTGAAGCGCAAGAACAAGCTCGGCGAGGACGTGAGACGTCGCCTCCAAGAGGACGAATACACCGCCGACAGTTATCAATCTTGGCTGGAAGCCCGACCGACGTCGAATCTCGAAAAACTCCACTTTATCATCGGTCATGGTATCCTGCGCGCCGAGTTGCGCGACGAAATCTACTGTCAAATCTGCAAGCAACTGTCGAACAATCCGTCGAAATCTTCGCACGCCCGGGGTTGGATTCTCCTGTCGCTGTGCGTGGGCTGCTTCGCGCCGTCGGAAAAGTTCGTCAACTACCTGCGGGCCTTCATTCGAGAAGGGCCGCCCGGATACGCGCCTTACTGCGAAGACAGGCTGAAGAGGACTTTCAAGAACGGAACGCGTAATCAGCCGCCCAGCTGGTTGGAGCTGCAAGCGACCAAGTCGAAAAAACCGATCATGCTGCCGATCACCTTCATGGACGGCAACACGAAGACGCTGCTGGCCGACTCGGCTACCACGGCCCGCGAGCTCTGCAATCAGCTGTCGGACAAAATTTCTCTGCGCGATCAGTTTGGTTTCTCCTTGTACATCGCCCTGTTCGACAAGGTATCCTCTCTGGGCAGCGGCGGCGACCACGTGATGGACGCCATCTCGCAGTGCGAGCAGTACGCCAAAGAGCAGGGCGCCCAGGAGCGCAACGCACCCTGGCGTTTATTCTTCCGCAAGGAGATATTCGCCCCTTGGCACGAGCCAACCGAAGATCAGGTGGCAACCAACCTGATCTATCAGCAGGTCGTCCGAGGTGTCAAATTCGGCGAGTACCGATGCGACAAGGAGGAGGATCTGGCCATGATAGCGGCTCAGCAGTACTACATCGATTATCACACGGACATGAACGTCGATAGACTGCTGACTTTGCTGCCAAATTACATACCGGATTATTGTCTCACCGATGTTGACAAGGCTATAGAACGCTGGGGTCATCTTGTTTTGCAGGCTTACAAAAAGGTTCGACATTCATTTTTTTGATTTTGTTAATACCCATTTTTCGACAATTTTTCCACTCCGTCATTTAACGTTTCAGAGCTATTATTTGAAAGAAAAGGTGCCTGCATTGCGAGTTAAAGAAGACATCGTAGGTTACGCTAAATTCAAATGGCCTCTGCTATTTTCCCGATTCTACGAAGCTTACCGAAATTCAGGCCCGAATCTACCGAAAAACGACGTCATCATTGCGGTCAATTGGACTGGCGTCTATGTGGTGGACGATCAAGAACAAGTTTTGCTTGAATTATCTTTTCCTGAAATTACCACCGTATCTAGTCAAAAGTAAGTGCAGACTGTTCATACAAGTTTTTCAGTTCAAAATAATCATCATCGATATAATTCACTTTTTTGCTTGATTTATTGTAAAACATTCATGCTTTGTCATTTTATTCATTTCATGTATGGTTAATATCCAATGAGGTGAACCTTGTTACCTGCTGTTGGAATTGGCATCGAACCATAAACACCATTCATATAAAAATTTTAGAAAATTAAGAGCACTTGTAAAATAAAAATTTAATTCCCTTGCAGATCGTTGAGAAAACAAACAAATACAATTTTTTGCAGAACAAACAAGATGTTCACACAAACGTTCAGTCTCTCGACTGTACGCGGCGAGGAGTTCACCTTCCAGAGTCCGAGCGCCGAGGACATCCGAGATCTGGTCGTTTACTTTTTGGAAGGCCTGAAGAAACGCAGCAAATTCGTCATTGCGCTGCAAGATTACAACGGCGCCGCGGAAAACTCGCAATTTCTCAGTTTCCACAAGGGCGATTTGATATCGCTCGACGACGACGCCGGCGACGAGAACACCTACCAGTCCGGCTGGTACATCGGCGTGAACGAGCGCACCGGCGAAAAAGGAGATTTCCCAGCTGAGACGGTCTACGTTTTACCGACATTAAGCAAGCCTCCGAACGATATTTTGGTTTGTAGATTTATAAGGGTACTTTTATGCTACGCATCTGAGTGACTGAAGCAGCTTACTTATTATTCACTTTCTATTCCAGTCGTTATTTAGCGTAAACGGCAGCGAAAACGGACGGAGACTGTATCCCCAACAAGTGAACGGCGTCGAAACGCGCGACAAGCCTCATACGTTGATGGAGTACGCGATAGATCATTTTCGGCCACCGGCCAAGAAAACGATGTCAAAGGCTCTGACGTTGACGACGGCCCGCCGTGGTCACGCCGATGATCTTTGGCGGCACTCGCGTGAACCGATCAAGCTGCCTTTGCTGCGCAAGCTCATTTCGAAAGATGAGCTTGCCGATGAGGCCTGTTTCGCCTTCAATGCCATTCTCAAGTACATGGGTGATTTGCCGACCAAGAGGCCCCGGATCGGTAACGAGTACACCGATCTCATATTCGACGGACCCCTAAAGAACGAGATTCTCCGCGATGAGATCTACTGTCAAATAATGAAACAATTGACTGACAATAGAAACAGACTGAGCGAGGAAAGAGGCTGGGAGTTGATGTGGCTAGCCACTGGTCTCTTCACTTGCAGCCAGAGCTTACTGAAGGAACTGACTTTGTTTTTACGAACGCGGAGGCATCGCATATCACAGGACTCACTGCAGAGGCTGCAGAAGACCCTGCGTAACGGGCAGCGAAAGTATCCTCCTCATCAAGTCGAAGTCGAGGCGATCCAGCACAAGACCACTCAAATCTTTCACAAAGTTTATTTCCCCGACGACACCGATGAGGCCTTCGAGGTCGACTCTTCCACGAGAGCCAAGGATTTCTGCCAAAACATAGCACAGAGGCTGAATCTAAGGTCTTCCGAAGGCTTCAGCTTGTTTGTGAAGATAGCCGATAAGGTGATTTCAGTGCCGGAGGGTGATTTCTTCTTTGATTTCGTAAGACATTTGACTGACTGGATGAGGAAGGCACATCCTGCGAGAGATGGTTTGCGCTTTTTTTATAATACAAAACGAGATTCTTATTGAGATACATACATTACAATTTGATATTCACTTTTTTAGGTTTATCGCCACAATTTACATACCAAGTGTTTTTTATGAAGAAGTTGTGGACGAACACAGTACCTGGCAAAGATAGAAATGCCGATTTAATATTCCATTTCCATCAAGAGCTACCAAAACTTTTGAGAGGTAATTTTTTTTTATATTTTATAAAAAAATTTGCTCCTACAATTAAATTATCATGCTTTTTCGATTAGGTTATCATAAGTGCACCAAGGAGGAAGCTTCACGACTGGCAGCTTTGGTATACAGAGTTAGGTTCGGAGAAAGTAAACAAGAATTGCAAGCAATACCGTAAGTAGCTCAACGATAGGAAGCATTTATAACTTGATATGATCAAGTTCATTGCATTTTAAAATTTTTTAGGCAAATGTTGAGAGAATTGATACCTGGTGACTTGGTAAAGACACAAAATGCAAATGAGTGGAAGCGTTCGATAGTCGCTGCCTACAATCATGACGCTGGTAATTACAATTATTCTATACGAAAAAAGACTTCAGAGCAAAGTTTAAGAGCTCTAAAGTGATTAATTTATTTCCAGGAATGAGTCCAGAGGAAGCAAAAATCACATTTTTAAAGATAGTGTATCGTTGGCCCACATTCGGATCGGCATTCTTCGAAGTTAAGCAAAGTACCGAGCCAGATTATCCTGAACTACTCTTAATCGCTATCAACAAACACGGAGTCAGTTTAATTCACCCTCAGTCGAAGGCAAGTATACGATTGTTATGTTTCTTAATGTTTACTTTACGTAGCTCATGTGAAATGTCAAATTTCAGGAAATTTTCGTAACGCATCCCTTTACTCGAATATCCAACTGGTCTTCCGGCAATACTTACTTCCATATGACAATCGGTAACTTGGTTAGAGGTTCGAAGTTGCTGTGCGAGACATCCCTTGGCTACAAAATGGACGACTTACTGACTTCCTACATTTCACTTATGCTCACGAATATGAATAAACAACGCACGATAAGGATAAAGTAAATTGTAATAGGAAAAAACGTACATAATTTTTAATGAATTTTTATAAAAAGAAACAAAATAATAACTAAAACATGTGCAGACAATCAAGAATTGCCTTATTATGAAATTGTATACTATTTAAAAATATTATTGTTTATCGAGTTTATGGGAAGAAAAAACTGCATGAATTAAACATGAAGTTTCGCATTTGTAATATTAAAAATTTATTATATATAAAAATGGTTGAGTTGTTGAAAACTTGTAAAAAAGTGTTATACTTGTCATTTAAGGTACTGTAAAATTACCTAAAATAGTTTTGAACTAACTCATTAAATTAACAATTGTTTATAAATGCCACGTATTTATGAATAATGAGAATAAAGGAATTCAATACAAAAATATTTGGTAAAGTTATTTTCAATCGTTGAATGAGTTTCGGTATTATAATTCAGGAAAATAAATTGATCAACAAAACGTAGTAGAAATGCCGTTATTTTTTTATGCGCGCGCTTAAACTCATCAAAGTCATGCGTTCGCTTTGTACTTCGTACCCGTGCGACTTATGAAAAGAATTTCATTTTGTCCTCATTAATACACAAAAGTCAGATATGCCGCGGCAGAATAAAAAATGAAGGATAACCCCATTTGTCGCCTAAATATGTAGATATAGGTATACGCATTACGTACAGAGAGTCGCGCGAGTACACGAGTCTCGGATTTTAATTGTGGGTAAATTCTCATGCTGCGTACCTACGCTCGGTTCAACTCTACCGACACATTCCTCAGTAACAATAGATGTGTCTTGTAAGAAGGCGAAATTCTTAAGTTGATGTTATCTCATTTCCCCTCGTAGACTACTCTCTTTGATTATCTTTTTTTTCGTCGAGAAAATACGTATAACGCATAAGATCCTGCTTGACTTGCTCAGGTAATTTAGCTAAAGAAACCAACTCCAATTTTTGCGATTTCGGAGTAAACGATGCGTTTGCACAATTTTTTCGTGCGCTCTAAAAATCCATAACAGAAATTATTCGTTCAAAACTAAAGGTAAAAGAGGATTGAAAAAATATCACATAATCACATTCATTTAAAATATTTCATCGTTGTTATTTATTCTATAAAGTTTATACATTAATTTTCTTCATTTAAATAAATATATACTTTTTGGGATAGAATTTTTTCAAAATAATATCTTATCTTACGTATTATTAGGATTTCATATGTTAATACTTTACAATTTTCTTTCAAAAAAATTATTAAATTAATATGCACGGATAAATTTTGGCAAATGTATTAATTATTAATTTAAACCTAAATATAAAATGAAACACTACTGATCGGTAGGATAATAAAGCTTAATGGGAGTGGTTTTTTACATGAATTAACTAACAGTTTTTCAAATTTTGACAAACGAAAGTAAAGCATTGATGGAGAGTAAATTACACTGACAGATGATTATGAGAAACAATTATCATTTTGTGATGTGAAAGATTTTAGACTTCTAATTAAATCTGTTGACGTATTTTCAAAGACATAAAAAGTGTAATTTTTTCTCGACTTTATCGCTTAAAACTAAGAATCTTAAATGAATAAAAACCCTTTTCCGTTATTTTAAGGATATTTACGAGACCTTTAAAATAAACTTTTATACAAATTCCCTGTTTTGAAAATGTTCATTTTTTTGCGTTACTTCTATTTATTGAGAATGACGTGAGTCTTAGTATCACAAAAATAACAATTAGTTTTGCGCAGTTGACGTATACTACAGATAGTTATTTACATACAAAATTGTAAAACGATTCATTCTCAGTCATGCAATAATTGCATTTTCGATATGGCGAATGTTCATTGGTTGTTTTTACTGATTGAAATACAAAATTATTTTAGAAATATTCAGTTTTCTAATAGGGCTCTAGGGTTCATCTACCTCAATAAAATAAAAACAACGAATGAAGCATTGGACTCAAATTTCATGTTAAAAAATGTTTGTATTGACTTATAGATGAATAATTTATAATGACAACTACATACATCTATCATAAATAGATAGTTCATTGCATTTTCCACATCACACTCGAATTTATTTCTATTACCTACTAGTTTGAGTTTTTTCTTTATATTTGCAATAGTTTGTAGGCTTTATCTTAAAGATACTGCTGATTTCACAAAACCATTTCTATACAATCTTCGATGTATTTATGAAAATTTATATTCCACTTTGACGAGTTTAAAAGTATTTTCATTGTATCAAAAGATACAAATATAATCTTTAAAGTTATTCGTAATATATTTATATAAATATATATCCCTTTTAAAGATCATTAAAAAATTATACATTCAACATTAATTACACAAGTTCTCTTTAGAAATACGACGTCACTTTAAATATATGTCATGTACATTGCTAATATACTTATAAAATCTCAAATTGAAACATCTTGGACTGATACACATTCATCTGTTATGAGCACATAGCAGATGTTTGCGTTATTTTCCCGATATACATATAATTGAAGATTAAATTGATATTGCTCTATCCACATCTCGATATTGCAAGATAAATATTAAATGCAGTACACAGAGTTTGCACTGCGCCAGTATTTAGAAATTCTAAACGACGGTCTGTACAACTGAAAGATTGTCAATCTAATCATTGGGCTCAGTCGCACTCAGGACTCATTTGCTGCTCAACTTTCATAACATTGACCGACGGTCCGGCTACGTCGACATCCGCAGCCGGCCAACCGTCGTCGTTAGGCTCGTATCAAAGGCCCTGCTGCGGAGGCTGATGATGGCTGTTCCAGGCAACGTCGGCTATGGCTGGTTGCATGGATTGCTGATTGTGTGCCAAGTTGCGTTGGTGCCTCATGACCTCGCTAGCAGGCATACAGTGCGGCCTTGGACCGGGCTCGGGCGTGTACGTAAACGTCAGGCCGGTCGCGTAGATAATGCCGTCGTTGCGAACGAGCGAGACCGGCACCTGCGTGGGCTGATGAATCCAGAGCCACTCGCCGCGGAACTGCGATATATCTGGCACGACGCAGAGCATGCTCTCTTGGCATCTGTACATGGTCTCGGCTTCGACGTCACCGAACCACACTTGCAGATTGGGAGTGAAGTTATCGCCCGTGAGCTCGAGCATAGCCACGTCGCCACCCCCGTTTAGATTGAGACTGTGTACCAGCGGAACTGGCGTTACCGGCGATCGAACGGGACCCATGCCTTCGTAAAAAGTGTACTCTGCTCGATCGGTACTGATGATGGTCCAGCAGGCGCCGTCATTTATCATCTCCTTATTGGCCTCCTTCGGACAAGGCGTCGCCTGGAACTGTATTATTCGTTCTTGTGACAAACAAAGGTACATGTGATCTGTGTCCTTCATGTAGAAGGCGCATTTGTGGAGTTGCGAGACGGGATCGTCAGCTTCCAGACTCGCCATTTGTTTGTCAACTTTGCGAATGACCAGGCGTGGCAGTGCCATACCGGTCTCCGAACAGACGAGCTTCACAGTGCTGCCGTAGTGCACGTAGCCGTCGCGCACCTGAAACTCCTCGCTCTCGCTCTCGTTGTCGTCGAGCAAATGTATGGTGAAAGCACCCCACTGCGTCGAGCTCGCGTGGAAGTTATTGTTGTCTACGTGCAGATATCGTGTACTGACGGTCTGTGAGCGCAGCCTGTTGAAGAGGGCAACTCGCGTGCCCGAGGCTATGCAGAGATCGGCATTCTTCAGACTCTGTTTCTTCTTCGACGGTTTCGATATGACTTTGATGCGTTTGCTATGAAACACCCCGATATCGTGACCATTGCCGTAAAACATCTTCACCGACAGCATGAAATGCTTGCGTTTGTCCGAGTCGGATATGTACAGGGTTTTAGCGGCGCAGTACTGCTTTCCGTTGTTGAGATCGAGCTGCTGCATGTCCTGATCGCTGTTGCCGATGCCGATAAAGGCGCACAGCTGCGACGACTGCTCGGACTCGCCGTCGCGACGCATCTGCTCCTGGCGCATCGCCCAAGCGGCGCCCTTCAGGTAGATGCACGGCGGCGGACAGAAGAAACGCTTCTCGTTGCCGTAAGACTTTTGCGCCACCTTGGCGTGCAGAATCACGACGACCATATCGGCCTTGCCCTGGGTGCGCTTGTGCTCGGCCAGGTAGTGCTTCATGGCCTCGCGCGTCAGGCGCTGCTCGCCTGACAGTCCGTGCGGCGCCATGGCCGAAGACGCCGAGACCGGCACCGGCGGCAGAGGAGGTCCCACGACCTGGTGCGACGGCGGCGGAGTCGGCTGCATCGCCGCGTAGCGCGGGTACGCCGACATGACTGCCGCGGCCGTGGGCGACGGCGGCGACTGCAGACCGTGTGCCATGGGCGCCGGCAGTCCGTACTGGCTGTGCGGCATCGTGGCCGTTGGCCCGCCTGACTTGAGCTCACCTAGCGAAGGACTCGCGTCACTGGGCATCTAAATGTGCCTGATGATTTTGCTGCTCGAGAATGGAGACGACGGCGATGAAGCAACTTGGCCCGCTGTAGCTGCTTTCCAACAAATTATTGTCAACGTCATTGTGGGCTTAGAGGACACTCTGAAATAGTAAAAAAATATGTTTTAGTCATTGAGAACTACATAAGTAATGATCAATTCAAAATTTTTAGTCAGTAAAGTTATAAATGACATGTTAATGTTACTAATAACATCTTTTAGATCATTAAATTGAGTAATTATACTCTTTTTCATAGTGTAAAACAAGTATGAGTATAACAACATGAGAAATTAATCTAATGTTCATAATACCTGAATAGTTATGGAATAATTACTGTAAATTCTCAACATATGGCAATGGTAATTTGTGCAATATGCATATTTGTTCATTAAATATATCAATATTAGATTTTATAATAAACTAGAAATTTCTTTTCTCAAGGCATTTTTATTATATATTTGCTTTATTAGCTAAATTTAACAATGCATCGAGTAGTGCATTATATGCTTCTGAAATACGTGGGAAGAGTTTTTATTATCTCCTAGTAGACAATTAAGCTAAGATATCTCGCTTCAAAATAAGTGGCTGAGAATTACAGCTCTGTGCACAGGAAAGAGGAAACACATATAAGCCGTGGGAATAAAGTCAAGCTCATTTTTGTTGCATGAATTAAGATACAGTACTGTTGCTTCTCTCGATATAGCAAACATAGATTTCTACAGCAAAAGTTTAATTTATTCAAAGAATTCTGCTAGACCCAATACTAATTATGTATTGAAAATTTTAATTTTAACTAAAAGTCAATTCCTATAAAAACCAAAGATTGATTATGGCTAAAAACAAAATTTAGATGTCTTTGAATGAAAATCACAAATGTCTAAGCGGATAGAATTGAAACACATTTAGCTAGTGATAAAAGAGCTCCAGACTTTATTTGCATATTCATGATATTAGATTTAGCAAAACAATGAGTTTGAATGGCTATAGTTTGAGGAAGCTTCTAATCAGTTCTAATGCATTCGTTTTTAAATTTTCATTAGTACATTTTAAAATTGAAATAAGGCATTCATTTCATTGAAAAAAAAAATGTATAAATAAAAAATACCACAGGAAAAGCGCAATTGTTAAGCTTGGTAACCATTAAATTTGGAAACTAGAATGAAATTAAGAACATAAAAAAAAGAATCGCAAGGAATAAAAACTTACGCGAGCGAAAGAATAACAATGCTAATTCACATTTTGCAAAAAAATATTAAGGGCGAAAAATTCGCATACGTAAACACGTATCACAACATTGGAAGAGTAACGATTCTTCGAGGTTAAGCGCAGTTTACATGCAGCTTGCATCCACGACAGCAGAGGCAGAGCATCGTTCCGATGGCAAATAAATAGTGAGACCAGCAGGCAGGCAGTACCATAATGCGAAAAACATACCTATATATTCGCAACTCTGCACCGTGATGCAGAGCACGGGCAGGCATAGGATAAGGTACGCTTAGCAAGCAAAGCAAAAAAGAGCCGGCATCTCTCTGTCTCTGTCTGGTGCATCATCATCGTCGTCGTTTAGCATGTTTTTATCTTCCATATATACACGGAGGTATATACGATCGTGTATACATATACGTGCAGCGAAAAAACAACTAACGTAACAACAACACAACAGCAGCAGCACCACCACCAGAACTTAACCTCACTCGCGTTTGCACTTGTAAATAGTGCATAAACGCACAGGCTGCATCGTACCTTACCTTTATTTCAATTGTTAAAGATGCACCGCGGATTTCGTCGATGGCTGAAGAATGATTAAATGACTGGTCCCGGAGTCACGAAGAGTAATAGCTTCTGCTAGTCCCTAGCTGCAGCTCGTCATCTTGGGGACACCAGCAATAGCAGCAGCAACAACGATGATGATACCATTTCTTCATCATGGCAGACACATGCAACAAAACACGCAGAGCACTGACACATACACATGCAAAAACACGGGCACAGAGCAGTTCAGCGCGCGCTTTTTCGCGCTTCGAGATTTCACCGTCCAACAACAACACTGCAGGCCGATGCTCGAGCCTGATTTTCCATGCAGCGGTACAACATCCGATTTTCTCGCCGCGAGCTTTTCCCGTTGGGCAGCAGTTCGGTTGCTGTGGCGCTTTGCCGGTGCGTCGCCGATTTTCACTCGGCTGTCTCAGCGCGCGACTGTACGCTGTATCGCCGAATGCAATCGCCGCGATCCTGCGCGTGCTGCTGGCTGCGGCTTATTGACGAGCCAGCGTATTATTATGAGGCGCTCGCGCGCGCGCAAGTCTGCCTCGGAATCGGAGCGCAGTTCAAAAAACACCGGTTCGATTCTGCTTGCGTTGGCGTCTTGCAATTAGGAGCTTCAGTTGCACTCTCTATCCATCGATTTTGGCAGAAAGCGGGTGGATATCTGATTTTGACAACTGCACGCAATGTATACGATGCATACAATCGGCGCCGAATTCGAAAATGAAGAACAGCACTCTGAACTTTTTATGCAATCGCGGAACTCATAAATCTCGATGCAGCAGTATACACAAGCACGAGTAGTCGCAGGGAATTGAGTAAGAATAAAACTAATAAATCTTTGGTACGTCAAATCACTATGAACTGGTATCGAAACGTCAATCGATGATCTTTTCTATATCTGTCGAATCAGTTTGAAGGAGAGAAAGAAGATAAAGTTAAAAACTGAATCGATATTAATCTATTTATAATGTAATATTGCACGTGTCACGGAAGCGCGAGATGTACATATAATGATAATAAATATGTGTGCGTAAAAATTAGAGACGAGATGACACTCGAGCGATGGACTCGATTAAAAATATATTATGTGCAGCCCGCGGCCTCGTAAGTGCAAGCAAGGCGCGAGCTCCGGACGCACCCTGCAACCGACTGAACTCGGCGAGTCTCGGCGACGTCTGTGCAGCAGCAGCAGAAGCAGCCAAACCCGAGCTAAGAGAGAGAGACAGTACACGCACGTGCACCAATGTGTAATCGCAAAAAAAGTACAGTAGAGGGGAAAACTAGTGTGCCCGCCGCGCGTTGTCGTCTATATAGTAGCTATTGTTTCTCTCTCTCTCTCTCACTCGCTCACAGCGAAGCACTGGTATACATATACATGCAGACTCCCGTGTGACGGTATAATATTGTTCAGCGCATATACGAATGTGCATGTATATATAAAAAGTATATACATACACTTGTAGTCTGTCTCAGTCACACGCGAGAATCAGATATATATTTGCGTGCGACTGTCTGTGTGAGTGTGTACATGTGAGCGCTCGGCTTCTACACGGCTATGTACACACTTACACCACAGCAAGCGTACGTATATTGTATCTCTGTCTATCTTTCGCAAAGTTCCTACATGGGATTGCTTGAGCGCCGCAAAAGGATGTTGGGGTTAGGCCAGAGAGCCGAGCGCAAGAGAGAGAGAGAGAGAGAGAGAGAGAGAGAGAGAGAGAAAGAGAGACGAAGACGAAGTGAAAAAGGGAGGGGGCGTGGGAAAAACCTGCTGTGGGAAAGAGTGGGTGGCCTTTACTGCGCTGCTGCTCTCTATGTGCGTTTGTATGTGTGCTGGGCCCTATGCACCACATAATATGACGACCCAAGCAGAGACTTTATATGTGTAAGTAAGTAACGCGTATGTGTACACACGTATATGTAGCCGAGTAGTTATCGCCGCGTGAAAGTGTGCGAGAAGATGCGCGAGAAAGAGAAGCAGAGAGTATTATTATACGTACGTGTATGTGTGTATGTGCATGTAGTCGTACACATATAAATATAATAGGGCCCGTGTGAATTTTTTCCTTCGCGCCGCGACGCGACGATGTGATGAAGCGAAGTACGCGGTAGCGACCCGACCATGTAGTTGTTGTATGCGCGAGTGCAACTTACCGCTACTATTATATTCGCCTCCTTTTTGGCTCTCTCAGTAGCTTTTTTTCCAACTTTTTTCCAGAAAAAGAGATTATGTAGGTATACTATGCAGCTATGTTTACGCAGGTATATAGCCTCGTACACTCAATACGTGTGAGCGTTCGAGAATTTTTTTGAAAAATTTGCGCGCAGCAAAGATCTGCGAAGCAGCGAGAGTCGGGATTATTTACTACGTGCGCATACCAGCGAAATACTGGCCTACAGACGCGATTCTTGAATGGAAAATTATTTTACAAATCGCAATCTGCATTTTTATTCATGCGAGGAAATTTGAATAGTAAGAGCATTGGAAGTGAAATTCGAATATTAAAAGCTTCGGCCACGTTTATGTAGAACGCGAGCTTAATACGTATGTATATCCAAGGGTCGTGTGCACTCGATGAGACATTAACTATTTTTGAATTTCCATTCGTCATGATACGCGTTTATGTACAAGCATAAATATATCTTTACAGTGTACACATGAGTCTATTTAGAAAAAAAAAAATAAAAAAAATTCTCACGGCTGGCCAAGTATATAAGTATTTCGCTTAATTTTCTTGTTTTCTACTGTTCTTTTTACGAAAGTTATCAATTTAGCTGGGCATATTTTACGGTGACGATCGCCAAGGAAGATGTGTCATTTTCAAATGACTATACGGCAAAGAAAAAATTACGCTTCTCATGAAGAATCAAGAAGTTGATAAAAAAAGCATCGATTACATCTGCTGCCGTTGTTCCACGTTGCTATGTTGTTGTTGTTTTTCTACTCTCAATTATGATCTTTGAATAGCACATATTACAATGAGGATCGCCGTGATATATTTTGTACCGTTGCATCGCGTTACATACACACACACACACATAATATACTATGTTATTATAGGAGAGGCGAAGCTGCAGCAGCTACTAAGCTACTGCGAGCTTGTAATAGAATTTTAATGACTGCTCATGTATATTCGCGATATCGAGCATTAAGGTCGCTGTGCGCGAGCTCGAGTTTATATATGTACAATGAGCTGGCGATCCAAATTGATTTATAATTCTCGACTTAAATACTCGCGCAAACTCACGTGCACAGCGATATTTTTTTGTAAGCAAAAAAAGCCCGCTGTCAATTCATTGGCAAAAAGCTTCCTCCTATTTTTATGTAACCATTAATACCAATATTTACAATCAATTTTTGTCGCTTATTCAGATGCATTCTCCACAAAAACATAGCTCATCTGTTCGAAATTATCGAAATTATATTGGCATCATGCCAAAATTCGAAGGACCCAGGAGCAGGCGCAGGAAACTTTACGCGAACGTATAGTGGACTCAATCCTGCTCTATATGGGGTCTTAGTCTGGAACAATCAGCAGCTCCACAGACCTACCCATGCTGAGCACAGGCAATCCACCGACGAGCCAGTTATCATTTGCGGCTGTCACGCGACGTCGCAAATGTCCTTGCCGGTGTACCTCCCTTGGCACTACTCACAGACGATCTTACCCGGCTCTACCAACGCCGCCATGAGGATGAAAAGAACGAGGACGAACTTGGCATCGCTGAGAAAATTGCAAGACCTGTGGGACCAGCCACTAAGAGGCTGACGAAGGCGTCGGATAATCCTAAATATCAGGGTTTGGGTCGAAAGGAGCCACGGAGAAGTGGCTACTACTTGATGCAAGTAATGACTGGGCACAGCTATTATGAGCTTTGTAATTACTATCTGACCGACATTTATATAGACTTTTTGAGCATTACAGTGGATTATAAAACAAAAACTAGGAGAAGATTTAGTACATTTACAGACATTTGCAGAGGCACTTTTCAAACTACTACCTAATGAGCACCTCCATGCTATAATCGTCAAAACATATCCTCCGGAAGAATTTCCAAAAGTTTGGAGAGATGAAGATACTGTGGAATTTGTAATGGAAGCATTACTTAGTTGGTACATGGAATAAAACCAAAAGCCTGTTTTTAATATGCATCGATGTTTTAATCCTTTTGCCAAACCAATAGACTCTTTGAGAACCGGATTTCTGCTGGCGTAAAAAAACTTCATAAATTAAATTTATATTTACAATATATTTAGATTTTGAAGCAGATGTCGTAAAACAATTTTTTTTTAAATATTTGTAAACTACGTTGAATTCTCAACAATTGTGAGTATGTGCGCGTATTGAGACACAATTTGTGAGTCGCTATGTGAACCTAATCTTCCTGCGACGTCTAGTTCAAAATCTCGTTTTTGAGCCTATCACAAAGCTTTCTCTAAGAGCAAGACTTTTGTTACTCATAAAAAAATTTTTATTTTTAATTTTTTTAAATAAATCTTACTTTTACATGTTCGAGTGTTTTAATTTCGATCAGATGAGTTATGTTTTTGTGGATAATGCTTTTGAATAAGTGTAAAAATTTTTTATAGATATTTGTATTAATACATAAAAATAAAAGGAAGTTGTTTGCAAGACCTAATGCAGAACTCTATTCGTAACTTAGGTGTGGATCGAGTTGTCAAGCTTTGCCATGCGTCAAATCTCTTTTGTAAAAGCATATGAAAGAGAGGCGCTAGAGAAATCCATTAGTTTATCGCGATCGTCTTTTATGTATAAATGTGTATCCCCAACTATAGCCATTAGTCATTTGCACACCCTCGCGCGAGACAGAGTCTTATTCCCCCTTTCCTCTCCCTCTCTCGCTACTTCGATATTGTTTTATGTATGCACTCGAAGGGATCATTCGCGGATCACGAGAACGACAACGACGGCTACATCGACGACGAGTGTCGAAAGTGTTTCATATAGTGTTGATACAGCTGTAGGATCAAACAATAGGCCAAAGCTTCGTGCCAATTTATCGTGCTTCTCTCTCTCGTTCTCTCTGTTTCTCGCACGCGCGCGCGCAATGCTTTACAATATCAGGCAGAGAGTCTCGATGCTCTTAATCGGCTTTTTTCTCGCTATTTAACAGCTCGAGAGAAGGATCGAGCTGAAAAAGGGGCGTCATTATTTTGCGAAACTTATAGATCTCGTATTATATTGTGCCGCATGGGTGCATCATCATTGCAGGGTGTGAAAGGATGATTCATTTGTATATTTTACCAATTTACAATCGGTTAGACGATGCATAGATTTTAGAAATGAATATTTCAAATAAATTATGTTTGCGCTCTCTCGCACTTGCTCGGCAACGAAGCGTTTGTTTGCTCAGCTTATCTGGATTACGTACGCGACAGCTCCTGTCTGGAGAAAGAGAGAGAAAAAAATCTCCATGCAGAAGAGACATCGTTGAGCAATTAAAGTGGCAATTCGTATAAGCCCGTATGCAACGATTAATACATTATATGTACGTAGTAGGTACACAGAGAGACATTATCATCGGCGAAGATCGCACACGAGTGTAAATCGCCGTCGCGCCTACGTCTCTCGCAGGAGGTATCTCTCAATAATGTACATTAATTCGGTAGTGCGCACACACATGCGCCGAGGGTCTCTTTAAAAAATACTCCGTATAAGTGACACATTATATTCGCGCTCTGCAGCATATACGTGTCATTATACAGGCTGTTACTGCGAGTATATAAATACAAACTCACAAGTACACATACACAGCACTCGTGCTTGCATTCACGTACAGCAGAGATCGGCCAAGAAGCAGGATTGAATCGTGCGAGCGCCGAGCACGTGGATGCCAATACGTGTAGCGCATACATACGTATATGTGTGTAGCATCACGAAGCCACCTCGTATACATACACGTTACGTATACAGCAGTCACTTGTGGTGTAGTGCGGAGTGCGGGACCCTCCCATTCACTCTTTATTATAAGTACACGATGTATAACGTGAGAATTATTTCTCTTGCATCCCGCAGACATTACGTATACAAACAGCACACGATGTATATATTTCCGATGCGGCAAACCGACGATTTGTATGTTTCGTGCCGCGCGGCTCGTACCTATAACTGATAAGTACGCCTTTTCTTTTCCGAGCTCCCCGATGCACGCGCAAAGCCCTCGATGAGTTTTTCAGATAACCGAGAGATCGTGTACATTTAGCAGGGTGAGAGATCGTTGCGGGTCGGCGCTTACGCGCGCGTTTACTGCGATTTAACGCGAGCCGATTATTCATACTTTTGCACCGAGATCTCGTCTAGCTGACTCGATGCGCGAGCGATTTATCATACTTTTAAATTTATTGCTATTGTTGCTTAAACTTTTAATGGACGTTCGATTCGATTGATTTTATTGAAAAAAAAGAAACAAAAGGTAATGTACGTGCAGGTATATGTAAACGACATCGATTCGAACATACGTACGGCACTATAACGATATCTTTATAGGCGAATCGACAGCTTTACGAGGCTGACGATATGCAACGCTCTGGTACCTGCCTATGCTGGCCTGCTCACGAGCATTGGGCCACTATACGTACCATACGTACGTATGCATTTGAATATATATGCCAGTTATAAAAACGTTCCATTCGCGAATATGCCTCTATAGATTTCCATCGTAAACGAATCAAGGCCCCCCGAGGAATCATAGCACGAATAAATTTATGGAACTGCCGCGTTTTTATCGATCAAAGTGATGAGAAAGTCCGATGAATTTATTTCTTAGCTGCATACAAGCTGGATCTTTACATATGTGATAATAAGTGCGCGCACGACAAAGTAAAAACGAAGTTAGGTGTCACGGCGGCAACACGATTTGACTTTCGGTCGCGAAATCTGAGCGCGAAAACTCGGCCGACTTATACTTACATATTATTATACATCCGGAGTGAATGTATATATAGATACATCCGCGTGCATTGCTGTGGTTCCAATCTGTGGTTACAACTGCAGACCTGTCCCAAGTACTGTAGCTATACACGACTCCACGTAAAACCTTTACTTTTTATCCTACACATGTCACTTGTCTGATACATTTAAGTAATTATTACTCGCGCAATCGGACCTAAATCCCACGTTTATCATGCAAGCTCCAAGTCAATGATTTTTAACTATTTTGGCGAGTTAATTTTGGGCATCTTATCATTACGCGATGCAGCGACCGTCATTGAATATCATGTACTTTATTGTTTACCTGCATACGATTGCAGTTGCACAGGTATAAATATATTTGTAAATAGCGTCTGTAATGCGTAGCCTATATCAAATTATATGTGTGGCGCGGCGGTGCGCTGAGCTCGATATGAATATAATCACACTTTTATTTTCCCACGCTCTTCATTGCACGAGAGAGTAAGTGAGCGAGAGAGAAAGAGAGACGGATAGGTGGTATGTACGCTATATATATATTATGTATAAAAAATATGTATAAGGCGCTTCTTGTGTGTATGTTGCATTCCCCTCTACAACATAATTCCGCACTTTTTTCCATCTCTCTCTCTCTCTCTCTCTCTTTCTCTCTCGGTCACTTAAATGCAGTCTTCTTGTTCTATCATTGCATGGATTATTGTGTCGAGAATTGGCCCGAATAATTAGCAAAATAATTTGCAGCTATGCGGACCCGACGTCATCATCGAGTCAATCGCCAAGTCTATTCGCCGCCGCTGCGTGTTTTATATTTTTTTAATCGGTCCTCGCGCGTGTTTTTACAGTCCCGCATGTGCGTGTGTGCGTAGATAATAAATTCGCGCTTAGCTGCCTCCTGTTTTTACGGCCAATTAAGGGTACGAATGTTTGCGCGCAGTGTGTGTGCGTGTACTGCGGTATGTGCACTGCGCACACTATCACATGCACAGGCGTTATACCGCGCTTACGATTCAATTATATTGGTTGGCCCGTAATACATTTATTGCGGACGTTGAGCTGCCGCCGCAGCGACGAGAGAAAAATATTGTGGGAAAAACGCGAGCGATGTATACGTACAGAGCCGAGCTCTGCGTGCCAGTCAGCAACGGCAGCGCCAACAGAAATGCCAACTTGGAAGAGAAGGAAGATATCTTTTAGTAGATAGCTGAGCTCACGAAACCGAGAGGAACATAGATCGAAAGAAGCGAAAATTCGCGAGTTTTTCTGCGAGCAGTATATCGAACACTTGCAAAGCTTGCAGTGTCACGTTTTTTTATTTCATGAATTTTATTATTGATTAAATCGCGCGATCGGACGATAAATAATTCGTGAACCATTTTTTCGTGATGCTCGAATAATAAACGATGAGAGTAGAGGAGAGAAAGGTAAAGCTAGAGGCTTTACTCTAATTTGAGAATTTTCCCGATTCAAAAACGATCGGGAATTCTTCGGAACATGACACAAATGTCATTTAAAATCTGCGTAATTACATCGTTCAAAGCCGTAAAAAGTTACACTTTACCGTATTATAAAAACTCGAGAATGAGAAGAAACAGTCCCGTGTGAAAAAATCTCTTAAAGTATATCACATTTATAATAAGGAGTCGATTTGTCGGCGGAGCAATTTTTCTCGAGATTTCTCACGCCGATAGTAACGCCCCGTAAATCATATTCCGTCTTCGCTGTCGCTGCACAACATATACACGCTTCGCTTTTAAGTAATGTACTTATTAATGTATACAGAGTGCAGCGTCTTGACTCGAGCACTTGATTATCCACCGCCGCTGTCGACTTTCAGATTTCCCCTGATTACCTGCGGTGAATACTGCGAGTATGCGCGAGTGCTCTGATTTAATAAACCTAAGGGGGCCGCGCGTTATTTACGCGCTTTTAAGGCAAAAAAATTACAGCTATGAACAGCAGTTGGTGCGTTTCTGACTGAAATCAAATATCGCTTAATTTTCTTATCTCGCGGAATCGCGAAAAACAAGCGCAAAGTCCGCGGCGGACACACAGCACCAACAAGCCAACGCCAATGTAAACAATGAGACTTTTCGCGTTATATATGCGGCCATATGCAGCGGATACGTATTTCATTGGCTTGCCTTACGCGACGTTGTATACGCGGCAGGTCTCGTATATTCTTCTCACGCGTATGATGAAAAATCCTTCGTAAACGCACGCACACACACACAATACTTACACACGCATCGCGTAGATGCATTCGCTCCAGTATAGGATATAAAATTACGCGCCTTGGCGCGATTTCGCGCGCCCTCCAGTGTTTGTTTATGCTCCTCGCGGTCCAAGCTCCAGCTGATTGCCATGCACAATACAATGCCTCGATGTCAAAGTGCCTCGCTTTCACGATTTTTCTTGTACCGGCACAGTCTTGTTGTTTTTTCTCGGGCAAATTCGATTTTCGTCGATGATAATTCGTTCGATGATCAGTGAGGTCAGTACATCGGGAATACGAATGTCTGCTTGATTTAGACGAGTTGTCATTCAATATTTGTGATGTTCTGTCCAAAACAATTGTTATAGGTTAATAATATTTTTACTTGATTATTTAAAAATTTGATAGATTATGAATGATTGGAGTGTGTCGACAAATTTGTTTCAATGTAAAGACAATTTCTGATAAAAGATCAAAATAGTATCATGGTTGTAATGCAAAAACAACAACACGTTTTGTTTCTAAGTATTTACAAAATATTGTGTAACTCATAAAAAATTGACTTTTTAGTTGGATATCAATAAAATATGGGGGTACTTGGATTATGGAAGTTGCTGGATGCAACGGGAAAGCCTGTACCACTGGAAACATTGGAAGGAAAAGTCCTAGCTGTTGGTGATGTATATTTTTATTTTGATATAATCAATTTTAAAAAATTAAAAATACTCATACCAATTATATTTGTAGATGTTTCAATATGGATACATCAAGTTATTCAAGGGTATCAAGACAGACGAGGAAGCATGCTTCCCAATGCCCATCTCATTGGTTTATTCAACAGGATTTGCAAATTGCTATACTTCAAAATTAAACCTGTGTTTGTTTTCGACGGTGGTGTTCCATTGTTGAAGAAGAATACCATTGTAAGTTTCTTATATTTTAATATTATCATCTTGAATAATTTTTTTTTTATTATTTTATCATAAAATAGATAATTTCTTATTGGTACATACAAAATTACAATTTTATTTTTTGTTTGCTACTTTTAGGCTAACCGCAGAAAACTAAAATCTATTGCTGCTAGTAAAGCACAAAAATTAAAGAATGATTTAATTAACAATTTGATAAAGCATACAGCAATCCAAGGAGCTATTGAAAAAGATGTCGATAATAATGATGCAAGTAGTTCACAATCAGTATTTAAAAATTCTTCTCTTGCAAGTTCTTCTCAACAACCAGATTTATATAAATTACCAGATATACCTATTCCCATTCAACCAAAAGATTCAGATGATTACATAGATTCTGATGATGAACCCAGTCCTCGTAAGCAAACAAAATGGGCTGGTAACATACATTCAGTTGATATTACTACTGAAGAATTTAGAAATTTACCAGCTGATGTAAGATATGATATATTAACTGATTTAAAAGAAACGAGAAAACAAAGTTCTTGGGGCAGAATGCATGAATTACCAGCTGTAAGACTTGACCAATTATTCAACAAAATTTAAATATTTTATAAAATAATAATTATCATAAATTATTTTTAGGGTTCAGACAATTATTCTGGATTTCAAGTTGGACGATTGCTGAAAAGAAGAACTGTGCAGGAATCATTAGAAATTGCTGAAAAAGAGATGGGAGGAAAATCATTAACTCTTGAGGAGCTAGATAGACTTCTTACAGATCAAGGAATCAGTACAACTCAACAAGATACAGCATTCAGAATAGCTTCTGACAGTACAACTCGAGTCGTTTACATCAAAGGTATAATGATGAAAAAATTTTATTATAAATATTTAAATTTTTATTAAATTTTATTATTGCAGATACTAATCAATTAGTGCAAACCAATGATAAATCTAATAGCTCAAATGCTTCTGATATCTCTGAATGTAAAAAAAATGCAACCATTGAAAATAATGAGCCTTCCACAACTAATGAAGTTCATTCTGATGATGAGGAATGGATTTCAGAAGGTGAATTTGTTGAAACTACTCATGATGAATCTCAACTTTTTCCTCGAAGCATAATTCCTAAGTCAGTTATGAATCCAGCTTTGGCTTACATGTTAGAAAATAGTAATTTGTCCAAAGATCAAATTTTAAAAATTGTTGAGCAAAGCAAAAGGAATAAAAAACCATCTGATGAAAACAGTTCTAATAGTTCAATGAAGAAAAGAAAAAAGAACGTTAAAAAAAATTTATTTACTCAGAAAAATAAAAAAAGTAAAAGAGTTCCAGATCCATCTCTTCCTGAATCTTCCAATCTTAAAGAAGAAATTTCAGATCACTCAGAGTCTGCAACTGTTATTGACTCAAATTCAGAATCTGATGACTTTGTCGAAATTCCAATGGAACCTGAAGTGAGCAAAAAAGAAGTTGTTATCCACACTTCTGATTCTGATTCTGATGATTTTATTGAAATTCATAATGTTCCGATACCAGAATTATTTTCTGATAAAAACACCCAAAAAGATAGTTTTCAAATTGTGATTAAAGCTGAAGACAATTTGGAGGATGATATTTTTGCAGATGTTTTTAGTGACATTAAATCTTCAAATGATTCTGCATTTAAAAGTGAATCTAAGACAGTATTAAATTTAATTCAAGAATCAAAAGACTTAATTTCTCCAAAAAAGGAATTTCCATTGACAACAATCAATGAAGAATCAGAAGAAGATGAAACATTTATTGAAGTTAAAGAAAATGAAGATACTCTGCATGAAGAGAAAAAAGATATTGTGGTTGCTGAATCTTCATATAATGTAGAAAAAGTTACTCCAAAGGTAAAAAATATTGACAGTATTGAATCAAAAAATGTTATTGCAGACTCAAAAATGTCAGCAAGTATAGAGAAAAAAGAATCCCTGGTAACTGAACAATTTGCAAACGTTGATATGAAAGAAGACATGCAAACTGAAGAAATAATTTCCAAAAATATCACTTCAGAACAATATAGAAACGTTGATATGGAAGAAGTTACGCAAACTGAAGAAGTAATTTCCAAAAATATCACGTCAGAAATTGAAAAAGAAAATGTTTCGTCTGTTAATGAAAAAATCGTAGAATCAGATACTGGCAATTTGATTAATGATTCGGAAGATTTTCTAAACGATTTTTCAGATGAAATGTTACTTTCTGATTTGTACAAGGAAAGGAGAGTTGAGAAACCAGCATTGGTTTTACCAACAGATGAAGCAGAACTCGAAATAATGAAGGTTGATTAAAAATATTTTTTTAAATAATACATTTGTGTTTTTCATTAGCAATAACTGAAATTAAAATTTTTAAGGAGCAACTAGAGAGCGAACGACAAAAATTACAAAATAATCTTGGAAAGCTTGAAAGACAAGCAGTTGACATTACAGAACAGATGAGAAGCGAGGCACAAGAACTTTTACGTCTATTTGGCTTACCATACATCGTAGCTCCAATGGAAGCCGAAGCTCAATGCGCTTATTTAGAACAAATAAAACTAGTTGACGGAACGATAACGGACGATTCTGATGTGTGGCTATTTGGCTCACATTGCGTGTACAAAAACTTTTTCGATAATAATAAGCGAGTTCTGCAGTTTCTCTCTGATGATATAGAACATCACTTTAGTAAGTCAAAAATTCAAATGTTTTCCATTTCATTAACATAAAATTCAACTTTTAACTTTTGTTTCTTTTCTTTCAGAGCTCACGAGAAAAGAAATGATTTTGTTGGCACTCCTGGTCGGCAGTGATTACACAAATGGGCTAGCTGGAGTGGGTCCAGTAACTGGTTTAGAAATTCTGGCTTCTTTTCCTACAGAAGGAGAAGATATTTTGCGAGGTTTACGATCATTTTGTGCATGGTTTAGAGCTGGGAGATTGAGCGCGCCAACAAAATCGACTTTGAGAAATAAGTTGAAAAACATCCAAATCGAAAAAGGTAATGATTTAAAAGAAAAATGCATCATTAAGTATTCGTGTAATCTAATGCTATTCTTTTAGGATTTCCAAGTCAAGCTGTTGTGCAGGCATATTTATGCCCAACAATAGATGAGTCAAGAGACGAATTTTCATGGGGCAAACCGAATCTAGTTCTACTTGCTGATTATGTAAAACAAAAATTTGGCTGGACCAAACTGAAATTTGAGGAAATTATGAATCCAGTTTTGAAAAAAATGGCCGAGGGGAAAAGTCAAAAGGGTATCAGCTCTTATTTTAAAGTTAAGACTGTTCCAAAATCAATCGAGGCTGCTCTAAGCAAGAGAGTTCAGAATGCTGTACACAAATTACACGGTAAAGGGGAAGAATCCGATGACGAAGCTTCTGCATCGAGTGTCAAAGAAAAACCAAAAAGAACAAAAAAAACTTCTTCAAAATCACAAGAAAAAACTGTTGAATCGACCGAAGAAATTTCCACAACGGGTGTGGAAAAACCAAAAAGAGTCAGAAAAACAACTGCCAAAAAACGTAAAAGTACAAAAGACGAATTAGATCAAGCGGAAGAAGTTGTGCTTGATCTCGAGGCCAAAGAAAAATATCACGAGGTTGAAGATGGGAAAGTGTCCAGCCAGTCAGAAAATGAAACGACAGTTACTGTACGAGTCAAAAAAGCAAAATTGGACGAAGAAGATCCGGAGAAAAAATTACAGGAACATATGGAACAAATCAGGCGAAGGAGACCATTGAAGGGGGAGGTCGATGATTACATACCACAACGTGAACGAGACAAGGCTAACGCCTTAAAGGTAAAACTGAAGGCCATCGAGATATTTCGCAAATCGAAAATCAGTCCTAGTAAAGCAACTTTGAGAAAAAGGGCTGTGAGAAAGGTTAAAAAAGATGCTGAACTCTCGGAGAGTAGCAGCGACGAGTGAACACAATAATTTTGCATGAGCGTTTCTGATTATTTTGTTATTTTGTTACTTTGTTACGATAGTTATTTTGTAAGATACAGTTTTCGTAAAAATGTTGAGTAATTGCACGAAGTGAATAAATCGAACACAATTTTTTAAAAACGTTTCATTACTTTCAACTCAATCATGCTCCTGATCCCATTTTACTTCTCATACTAATTCAAATCTTTCAGTAATAAATAATTTTTATTAAACGGAAAGAATTATACTTGTAAAATTTGCACATTCTTGTTACTGTAATTGTAAGAAAAAAACATGGACGCTGTACCCAGCAGCATTTTTTTGGCGACTTTTATGAATCAAGCCCATTCCGGAAAAGTTGATCGGTTGCTTCAACGTTTTAAATCGAAAGAACGAAGTTAATGCACTCTTTGTTATTTCTTCGCAGGTGATTATTCGTGTAGACTTTGACGCAATCAAAATCAATCAAAATCATATGAGCTTCAAAATATTTTTGTTGGCGAAGAATAGTACATCGGTAAAAACGTACGAAATAGTACCCTAGGCCGGGATTGAATTGTTTCGGTAAATTTATCACGCATTGTGATTAAATGCTGTTGACGTAAGCAACACGCTTTGAATTTTGGATACTTCCTAGGACTTGCTGCACCCCTAATACTAGATACACAATCAACACGTGCTTCGTAGAGCTGTCAGTATCAAAGCACGGCTTCGCGCTTAAGTTGTAATTCTTACATTATTCTCATTTTTTACGAATTCGTATTATTTTTAATAAACGTTTCATTTACCGTAAACTATTATGGGAAACCAATATGTTTAAAAAGTTGACGATTACACAATATTTGAAACATGTGCAAGTGGTACGGGTTGTATCAATAAGAATACTGCTTCGATTGAATTCTGTCATTTTGAAAGTTTCAATTACCTTCTGTATCTTTCTGTGATCCTAGTGCGCGACGATTCAAAAAAATCACTGCGAGCTCCTAAATTATGACTGGTCATATTTCACCTTCTCATCGCGTGTCAATTTAGTGGGTCATGAATGTAAGGCATTTAATTACTTACTGATATTCAAATATTAACTTCTTCGAAATTTTTGTTTCCCTAATGATTTAAGCAACACGTTTCGAAAGTAACAGTTGTCAACGCATCTTAAGGCGTGCTGTGTTTAGTTTTTTTTCGTATACAGTTACTGCGTCAAAAGAGCTATTAAACTTCTTAATTATACATTTACTTCTGATAGTTTAACGTAACGTCTAAATTATTCACCATTTAAAATGTCTTGTTTCCTAGATCGTATTAGTTGAACCAAGTCAGTGCCATACAATTTAAAACGTGTTTTTTTTTGTCAACGGTATGTACTCTAAATCGAATGATCCTACATACAATAGTGTGACAAATATGAGTACCGAAAAATGTTTTAAGTTTAAAGTACAGAAGAATCACAACAGAAAGAAAAGCAAATCGATAACATCGTTATCATACATATATATTAGCACTGTAATAATAATTTTTATCAATTTCGCTCTCACAATATTAGGTACTTCTTTCGAGTTTGTAATAATAGATACAATAAATCATCGTGTGCCATACGATCTAAGCGATGACGATGAGTTGTCAAAGCCCTTCATATACCGGCGTAGATGAATCTATTCGACATTTTTTTGTCCCACTTCACAAAAATATTCCCTCAATCAAGCAGCGCTTGCGTCACAAAGACACTATCGAAGCACGTGGTGATTTTGTGCCAATGTTCAGTATTAGGAGCGCAGAATGTCTCAGGAAGTATCCAAAATTCAGTGAGTCGTGCGTTCATCGAGGCTTATATAGCGCTGACCATATTGAAATGAATGTGTGACCTAGAGTACTTGTTCAGAGAACGGCAAATATTACCTTTTAGCTTAATCTTCGGCTACGATAGATTTTTGATGCATATAAGACATACACGAATTGTTCATAATAAAAGTCCACACTGGAAATCTTTGCAAGTATAAGAAGAGCAAGCTCAACCATGTTTAGCTTGTGCTATATATTTTTATTAGTACATTAAATCGGTGCAATAAAAATTATACCAGTTACATGAACGATGTAGCTTGGCGCCATTGTCAATGAAAATGAATCATGGAGGTTGCATGCACCAACTCAAGACAAATCATATATATTTTATACACATCTAATCTAATATTATTGTGTATGTACTAAAATGTAAACGTACGTACGTAAATGTAATTCAATATATCGGTTTTTATGTACAATACTCCAAGGTATGTGATAATTGTTCCGTATTAATAGGATAAAAGCTCGGCAAAAACAATTAAAATAGTGGAGAAAACGTAATAGAATTAACAAAACAGTTTGTCAACCAAGTGTTTACAATATACAATTTTGGGTGATATTTTCTTAAACTAAAAAATTTAACGTTTTCTACTTTTTCCATAATATTAACTTGAAATTAATTCATTGTTATTTATTGTCAACTTTGCTTTCAATATGAATCTCAATGATAAAACAAACTAAGTTGAACTTGAATTCAAAGAATGGATTTAAAAAGATTAAATTATTCATTTATTTCCTATTACGATTTTCAATCCATGTAGTCATTGGAAGTAAAAATTGTGAAATTTAAGAACCAAATAAAAACTAATAAATAACTGTAAGTAAAAAATGTGAATTATCTGAAATCATGAGTTTAGTTTATAAAACTTATTCTAGGTATGTATAGGGAATTATGACAAATAGATGACAAACAGATAAGTGATAAAAAGGTACTGTTTATTGTATTATTTATTGGTCTTTCACTTCACGTAATCTGCGCACTGCTGATCTTACAGATGCAGCTGTTGTGGTAGCAAATACCCAAGCTCCTCCTGCCACCACTCGCTTACACCTTTTGCACGACCAAATGCCAACAACACTTCTTTTCATAGACTCCTGCAAATTAAGAAAAAGAACAATATTATAATCTGTATTTTTTAAAGCAAACACAATAAACATTTTTATTAATTTACCTTTCCGCAGAAAGTGCAAGTGTACTTGCTGTGTTGGGTGATTTCCATTTTCTTCACCATTTTACGTAAACTGGCACCATATCTGGTACCATATTTACCAGTGATGCCTACCTTCTTTGTTCTTTTTGCCTAAATTATTGAAAAATAGAATTAGTTTTTGATTGATTCAAAATTTGATGAAGGTGCATATGTAAATAATATATAAAAATTTTAAAAATCATTGAAATGAAATCTTATCTTCATTTATCGAATCTTAATAAAAGCAAACAATAAATTTTATGTTACGAGTTTTTACAGCTTCTTTTACAATTATTATTTATAATTATTTATAAAATTTAATTCACTGCACGACACATGTATGGTAACTAGCGTGGATAACCTCACTAAATATAACGTAAACTTGAAAATTATATCTCTCCCTTTTTACGTTAATTAAAACAATATAAAATACTTGTTATCATAATCAAACGGTTGACTTGATTTCAAGAAAATAGCACTGTGCAATAATTGTAACATAATACAGGAAATTATTAAGAATTTTTACCATTTTAGTAACGTTCAGAGCGAGTAGCGCACATAAAAGAAAAGATCTTACTTCAGCAGTTGGACACTAGGGTGAGCAATGGGAAAGGGTTGATTGTTGAAATTTAGAATAATGCACTAAATTCATAATCGCCTTTTGAGTCCAAAACCAATGTAAATATTAACAAAGTTAAAAACTATTTATACAATTTTTTCCGTAATAATAAATACTGCAAATATTTGTTAGTTGCATATACTTTGAATTTTTAAGAAAATTCGCACGTAAAGAATGTTTTAACTAATTACGCATCGATTTTCTATTGATTGTATAATTACTAGAAAAGCCAATAGAACTTCTTTGTAAAAATTTATCATTAGTTTCATCAATAAGTAAAAAGTAGAGAATAAATAACAAAGACAACTTATGACTTTAAAAATTGTTTCTTACTTCTTTCAATATTTAATATAAAGTGAGAATTTAATAACGCATTTAATTTTCCAGTGCTATTGGATAAATTAATGAGTTCTTCAAAGTTACTTTCTGATAATCACATTATTTTAAAAAAATATTGTTCCGAGTTACAGGAATATAAAACACGCTTTATATATAGATAAAAAATTTATTTCGTTTTTTTATTTTTTGTTAAAAATTAATTTTTGCTGTGATACATTTATGATATAATTATACGTTCAAGTTATTAAATCAGCATTTCAGGCTTTGCCTCACACAAGTTTATTATATTTTAGTTATATGACAAAATTGTTTCAATTATCATTTTATTTAATATAATGCTATACTTATCAGTAATAATGTAGAATATTTATTGAAAATGCATCTTTTGTTTTATGATTTGCTTCAATTTATCAAATCTCCAACTAAAACATGGCCAATGAAAAAAATTTTGAAATTTCAAAAACATTTCATTTTTTTTCAAATTGGATATTATATATCATTAATATTTACATGAATAACCCAAAAAGGCAAAATGAAAAAAAAAATTTATCGTGTAGATTTAGCATTTTCTTTAGCATTTTGAAGACTCTGAGTTATATACAATTTAGCCAAACTTTGAGCACAGAATTGAGAAATATGTTGGCTGTATGTGTTAATTTGACCAGCAGTGATCATAGGATTTAGTCGTAGTGGTACAGGAATAGGTCTTATCAATTTATTAATATCTTCTTCTGGTAATGGTGGTTCATCTTTAGCAGCTCGAGCAGCATTTTCCTGAGCTCTTTTTTGTAGTAATCTATTTTTATCTTGCTGTTGACGAATGACCATGTTTTGATAGCGATTAAATTTGATAGCTTCTTGATTCAGTTCGTCAACTCTATCCATCATACAGCGCAATTGATTTTCCAAAACACTTGCTGTCCCTAAATCCAAATATTTGGTACCTTGTTCTTCTGGCACCATTTCATCAAGCTCAGACATGGCAATATTTGTCAATGGACTGTTTTTAACTACAATTGGTAGTTCAACAAACAGATTCTCATAGCCAACTTTTAAATTTTTCAAAGCTTCTGGAGTGAATTCTCCATCCTTATACATCTGAATAGCTTGAGGAGTTAAACGATAAGCTTTGAGAGTAAGAAAACCTCTAGCTGATTTGGCAGTATCATAAATAATAACAACTGATTCTTCAATTGCAGTCTGATAATGATATTGAGATTCCAGCAAGGGTAAACTCAAGAAATTACCAACATCTGCACTCTGGTACCACCCAACATGAAAATGATCAACATTGACTCTGAAAGTTTATAAAATTTCAAGAATAGTTTAAATTTATCTATGATTTACACCATTTTTTTGAAAAATGTGATGAAATATTCCTAAGGGATTTGAAATAAAGAAACTAATAAAAAAGAAACTTACATGCGAAGTCTACGCATCATGCTGAGCTGATAGTCTTCTTCATCAAGTTCATCATTTTTACAGAAGGGAAAACAGTTAGTGATTTCAAGGCGTCCATTAACATTGAGTCCAAGCAGAGCACCTTGAGCTACATCCATGTTATTTGAGCTTTCCTCATGACAATGTTTAACCATCTTCATAACCACCAAACCGTCACACTGAACGTAATCGATTCGAGGTTCCATTTCCTGCCTTCGGCGTTGTTGATTTCTTCCCGACATTTTTAGATCGAGCCAATACTTTTTCTAATAGTCGAATCACTTTATTTCGTCAATGCCGGGTGCAAGGATAAATATGGGCTGCAGATACTGCAGCAGCAAATCTCTGAATGATAATGGTGGCAGATTCGCAGATCGCGTTGCAAATATGCCGCTTAGGGTGCGGTACGGCGACTGCAGTGTGAGGCTATTGCAGTCTGCAGGATTGCAGGGCGCAATACTAGCTTAAATTGAACGGGACGGTTTTTAATTGGAATTAAACATTTAGCCTACGAATATACATTCGTAGGAATAATATAGCTTTCCAATAAGGTGCGCAAAGGCATTTTTATGATATTTTCATCGTAATTCGGCACTTGAGCGATCTATTCGGTTTCTCCTTGTATAGAAGTCGATATGTGCACTAAAATAATTAAACTATGATAATTTCGAAGAAAGTGGATACCTTTACGTATAGTCAATCAATAATTCTATTCACGAAAAACTATAACGAAATTGTACGAATAACATTTTTTTTCACTGTAAAACAGTTTGTCGTTTATTGGTTTTAATACTTCACAAACGTCATTTATGCATATTTACAAAAATAATAGTACATACTTTATTTCGTTTTCACCGTACAAATCAAAAATAATATTAATAATAATTATGCAGGTATTCAGAGAAGAGTAATGTTAATAGTGAAAAACTATTCAAAACTCGACGCACGTAAACTCTACTTTTTGGCATGTTTGAGCATTAAAATTATTACTGTAATTTTAATACACTTCAAACTTATATTACACACAATTTGAGCACATTATCGAGCAAACTGCAAAACTGAACATTATGTAAATACTATTTGAACGAATCACATCTTGAGTAGTAACGGATGAGATCAGCGTAAAAAGTTTATTTCGCTACGTTGCAGAGTCCTATTTACAGCGTTAAAATGGCTCTGCATAAAAAAAAAGATTCACTAAAATCCAGCTATTTTTCCTTGCCTTCGATAATCTGAATTGGCTAGTATTTTATCGCCGTCCCTTTCGATAGCAGTGACAGCGGTGCCGATGCCTTCAAAGGTCGTAATGCTATGGCCGATTCTTCTGAGAAATTCCAATATCGTTGGCGAAAAGTTTTTCTCCGTTTGAATGGCCATCGGGAAGAGCTGCGCATTACAGAACAAACATTTTAATTAAACTCAATCGATGAAAATGATTATTACAATTTGTCGTACCTGATGATGAAGTCTCGGCTCGTCCACGGCCTCTTTGATATCGAAGTTGTATCGCATATTGTGCAGAATTATCGACGCGACTGCCGTCGTTATTTTGCTACCCCCGGCAGCTCCAATAACCATTTGAACTTTATTTTTATCGTCCATCACAATGGCAGGTGTCATTGAGCTCAGCGGCCTTTTGCCAGGTTTGATGTAATTTCTCGGCGAAGGAGGCAAATCGAAACCGTTCGTTATGTTGGGAGAACTAAAGTCATCCATTTCGTCGTTAAAAATGATTCCAGTTGACTTGGACCGGATTTTAGCACCTAGACTATCGTTGAAATAATCGTAATACATTTTCAGATTTTAATTGAAATTGAGCAAAAAATAATTACATTTGATTGATCGTAGATGTAACGGAAACAGCTGAACCGTCGGGGGCCAGTATCGACACGTGGGAAGTTCCGTGCGTTTCTTTATTTGAGAAATCGGCTCCATAATATTCCGGATCAAGATTCGTTGTGTTGTCTTGAATACGTGATCTGATTTCATTAGCGAATTCGACCGACGACAAGTTGGCCAAAAGATCATCTATTTCATAAGTGAATTATGATTTATAGTTTCGTTTCAAATAAATTTTCGACTTGGATGAAATAAAACAATCGAATCACTTACGCACTGCCGGAACAAAGTCCTGATCCCCTAGCTCCGTTCTCTTGGCGTAGGCCCACTTGAATGTCTCTATGAGGCGCTGATAAAACAAGTCGACGTCGTCAATTTTGCCAAATCCGTCCATAACGTTGATTATGAAGCCTAAAAGCGCTCCCGAGCCGGGTGGTGGCGCCGTGTAAATCGTCGCGTTGCCGAGCTTGGCTTTGAGAGGCTCTCGCCACTTTACCCTTGAAACAATCGTAAATCGTTGAAAGCGCCCCTGATCGGTCGAGCGAGCGACAGATAACGAGAGAAAAAAAATGACATTAACGTCTCTGATACGTACTCGTAATTTTTCATGTCGTCCAAGGTGATGATTCCGTCGTACGACTGAATTTCAGCTACTAGATCCTTCGCCATGCTTCCATTGTAAAATAGTCCCACTGGGTCATCGCTCTCGGCAAGCTGTTGCAAAGTTTTAGCCAGCACTGGTCGTTTTATGTGTTTGCCAACCTTGATTTAGAATTTGTATTATTTTAAACTCTTGTAAGATCAGTGGAGAGTGAAATTGATCAAAATTGCCGTCTATACGCACCGTCCACGTTCTGTTTGTTTTTGGGTCGATGAAAACGTCTGATAATGTAGGCTCGTTCAAAATGAACTTCTCTTTTCCTCTAATACTGTTGAATAAATACTGATTGACTTCGGCGCCGGTTTCACAGAGCTTGATCGATCCCTGGAACAGGTCCTTCCAAGGGAGTTTGCCGAATCTCTGATGAGCCTCCCAGTACCCCTTGAGTTCACCAGGTATCGCTATACCAAGTCCACCTTAGGGTCAAATGACAAAGTATTTCATGTTATTATCATAAATCTGCAGACACGCGTGAGAATTAAAATGCGTATAATACCATAAAGGGATTTGTTTCCATCGCCGTTGAACATCGTCTCGTTTGCCGCAGCCGGCGCAGTTTCTCGAGCATCCAAAAACGAAACTTGGTTACTTTCGGCGTCATAAATAGTCATGAGAAATCCACCACCGAGACCCATGCTGTGAAAAATCGTGTCAACGCGATGATTAATTATATTTATATGTACATTATTCTTGGAAAGTGTCATTGGCATTGGAGCCTTGCAGCCTCTACATTACATCGTACTGTGCGCGTATAGAAATAAATGGGTCAATGTACCTGTGAGGAGACGCGATGCCTTCGCATAGGAGTGCGGCGATGGCCGCGTCGACGGCCGAACCATTACGTTTTAGTATATCGCTGCCGATTTCAGCACATTCCATTCCCAATGTCGATACTGCGGCCTGCGCGACAAAGTAATTTTACAATTTATGCATCGACTCTGAACGCGCATTATACACTTTATGTACGCGTGTTTCAACTTTACCTTATGGAAAACTCCCAGCGGCGCGTCGCTGATGAATTTTCCTTCTTTGTTGCTTCGAAGAGTCAAGGCAAGAGTTAAAGCTACTATGAGGGCGAGAGCCACGAGTGTGCCTATGCCTACGCACCATTTTTTTCTGAAACACAAATGTAATAATAAGTAATAATAAAAAATGTAATAATAAGCGATCGATTGGGCGCGTTCGGATGCCAGTTTGTTATTTGTCTCGGCCAAATACAGCTTGTCGATTTCGCGTGACGGAAAGTCAATTCAATTCGTTGACAGGCAGAAAGAGATAAGGAGGAGAGGATGTTGATAATTGTATAACTTAACTATTAGAACAATTGAAATTGACGATGTTAATTGACGCGCACGAACATTTTTATTTTATTTTCGGTATTGGCCAAGTAGTTTAGCGTTTGAACTGTAACATCCTTAGCGATAAGCGCTGCATAAGTCTCGTCGATCGTAAAGGCAATAAAGCAATGTACAGTGATAAACTAATAATGATATTCTAGACTAGATTGCAGTTATACAGAGGAAAAAAGAATCAAAGTAATTGTCGGATAAAAAAAATAAGTGTAGATTATGAAGAGATGACAATCGAATTCTTTTAATCGCGATTCCGACGTTTGCGTGATAAAAGTCAAGGCAATTAGTTGTAACAATTCATCAAGTTCTAAGCACTCAATAACTATACAATGGTTAGATTATTGTGTGTATCAATTGCCATGCTACCGCACACGTTAATTGCCGATTTCTAGAGATCACATTTCTGTCATAAAAAAAATGGAAAACGATGATGAAAATCGTGATCCTTATCATAACAGCCAATTGCGCAATAATTACATGTTTCAGTATCAGTACATTTATTAAATTGTTTTATTTTTTCTTCTAAATGGTTGCCCGACAAATAACTTTTTACGACAAAATGCTTGTAATTGTTAAAACAGTCGCGAATGAAGTTTTATTGCACAAAATGTCACTTGGCTGTATGTACTTCAGCTATAAGAGACTTTGCGAAATACTTCCTCGATAAAAAAGAGATAGTAATTTTTTTCCGTTGCGATTCACGACAGAATTGACGTAGTTGTTCTTTGTTGTAAATAGTTTCCGAGAGCGGTTGTATTATTGTTAAAAATTATCAGTTGAAAAACGGGACAGCTCGATATTTTTTGCAATTTATGACTTCTCGTGTTCACAAGCTGCAGCGCGTAATTCAATCATTATTAAATGTTACGCCGCATTTATGGTTTCGCACGTGATTTTTATAAATGATGGTTAAAGTGTGACAACGAAATAAAGTAAAATTTATCAAGAATATTTTGTTACTATCGAATAAAAAATTATCCAATCATTAAATATGTGCAAATTAACGACATTACACTGAAAAAAATCTTAGAGGCAAGTCCAACAAAAGTGGACAGCCGGATCAGAAAAAGATATTTTGCTGCCACAGCAAAAAATTTAGCAAAATTTAGCATTGAAATATAACCCAATATAATTTTGCTGTGGCAGAAAAATATCTTTTTCTGATCCGGCTGTCCACTTTGGTTGGACTTACCTCTAAGATTTTTTTCAGTGTAGTGGGATTGAATGCACTCAACTTTTTCTCACTGAATATTCAAAATAAATTTGATCTTAATCGCGAAAGTAATTATTAACACTGAAAAAGATTAGAAAACATTGGCGAGGACATATTTTCGAGCTTCGCGCGATGAACTCAAACCAGCCGCAAAAATACGCAAAAATACGCAGTGACAGTTTGGCGATCGAAATGACTTCAAGGCTAAATACAGAGAAGAAAAAACAAAAATCAAATGGTAGCAACTTTAACTTGAAACTTTTCACACAATCGACGCTCGTGAATCTAAATAGAAAAATGATTTATGTATGTAAGACGGTGGTTACAATATAAAGTCACAACACACACACATATGCATATTCACTCTTTGAATATTATTACACTCAATCAACAAGGCAGTTTTATATTCAACGGAGAAAGAACGGACGAAGACGAACCTGATCATGATTGCAAACAAGTGCAAGAAAGCCAAGTGCGATGCGGTGCGGAGAAGCGCGTAATCTTGACTAAAGGATCTTTCGCTCTTTTGAAACGTTAAGCTTTGCAGCCTACACTATATGAGCGTGTGCGTGCTCGTAATGTGTATAGCCACACCGACAAGCAGACTCGATTATGAAGTTTTATATGTGCCTACAGTAGTTGTATATAAACTGTCGGTGAGTCGTCTCTTTAGTGGGATTATAAGCGCGCCAGCGCACATTGACTCTGATATCTCGCTAACTTTGGTATATAGCTCGAAGCTGTGTACGTGAGTACTTTTATAGAGTGTGCCGCGACATGGCTAAACATACACGCACACATATTCGCATTATGTATTTCGATAACGCGTTCAGACCCCGGTTTATTGTCACTCGCTTGTATATGCGTACAAACAGCTTCAAGATCTCTCGTGTAAAACAAGTGCTTGATAAGGTGGGGACAGTTCATGATTTCTTAAATTATTCGCGAGAAATTTATCATATTGTAGGTGTTCTAAGCGGTAATGCCACCAGCAGATTGTTGGTGTGGATCGGTTATTTTTTAAAGAACGCCTAATTTATGGTGGTAAACTTAGGTCGATGAATTTGTCCAATGTACCATAATTTATCAAATTTTTATAGCTTATTTTATCATCGTATAAGATATTATTTTATTGACCACGTAGAATCGATTTATAGAAAAAAAATTTTTATATATATTTCTCTTTATCGTAAAGAATATTATATTAGAGACTGAATTATCCGGTCATATCAAGTTAGATCAATTTCAATTAGAAAAATGACGATTTTAACGAATTCTAAAATTAATGAAGCTTCATAGATAGTGTGAATATTTTTTATTATTTTTATTTATATTTTTTAAAATTGCTTTTAGCGTAATTTGATAGAGTGAATTTTGAAATAAAGTCAAAAATAAAGTCATTTCAAAGACTGTTTCACAGTATGAAAAAAAAACGACTATAAGAAAAAATTTTTAAACAAACCTGAAATAACTTTGGAAAGCTCCAATTTTTTCAATGGCATATATCTCAATGTCAATTTAACATACACTACAAGGAAATTTGTATTTATTTTTTTTTAATACGACCGGGATTATAAGAAAAAATAAGGGCTTTGTACATCGGCTCCTCAAAAAATTTTGGGAAATCGTCTCAGTAATTTCTTTGAAGTCTAATTATAATATAATAAAAGAAATATGTAAAATCTTAAAACTTAGAAATAAATGGTGAATTAATTATTTATTTGATTCATTTACAAATATTTTCCTTTTTAAATTGTTTTTCTCAATAAATAATTTCATAATTTGCAAAATTAAACGATTCTCGTATGATTCATTATCATCAAGTTTCACATTTTTTTCGGTAATATTTCTCTCATGAAATCTGTCATTGTATAAACAAAATTATTTTCATGTTGAACGCCAAGTACATCAATTCAAGTATTAAACAATTACAGTATTGCAAATTTACATTAAAAATAATTTTGTATCAAAGATAATCTTTCAGCATGGTGATCGAGCTTGTCAAGTTGGATACACTTGGACAATTTTGCCGTGTATACTATTGTGGATGTGAATAGAAGCCAGAAGAGCCGCGAGAGCGCCTCAGTTTGCGTGCTGAGAATTCGCAAGTGTGCGTGTTGTCTGTGTGTAAGCTGTATAGTACCGGAAAAACGGCGAAGTCATTTTCGATCTACTACTTTACGTTAAAGTTTATTTTTTACTTGGAAAATGGCACGATACGATAGAGCAATTACAGTATTTTCACCGGACGGTCATTTGCTCCAGGTTGAGTACGCCCAGGAAGCTGTGCGCAAAGGTTCAACAGCGGTAAGTTTACAAAAACATGTATAACCTCTTCAAGTACGATTTAAATATGTGTTTACAAAGTGCAAATTTTTGAAGTTTGCACTAACTTAAATTTTCTCATTCATTTCTTTGCTTTTCTTCAAATTTTTGTCGATAAATCAACCTCAAAAGTATTCAACCTTTACCGCAATTTCTTTCTCTAATTATTTCCATGCCAACATGAATGTGCAAATTTTAAGACTTTAATAAATTTCTGCCTTAGGTTGGAGTTCGTGGAGCTGATGTTGTTGTTCTAGGTGTTGAGAAAAAATCTGTAGCTAAGCTGCAGGAGGAGAGAACTGTTCGTAAAATATGTCTTCTGGATGATCATGTTGTTATGGCCTTTGCTGGACTTACTGCAGATGCTAGAGTGTTGATTAATAGAGCACAGATTGAGTGTCAAAGTCATAAATTGACTGTGGAAGATCCTGTTACATTAGAGTACATCACTAGGTATATGGCAAGTAAGTAATATTTAAATTATTTTATTTTTAACTATTTAATAATACAACAATAAACTGGTTATTTAAATTAAATGACAATTTGATAGGTTTGAAACAAAAGTATACACAAAGTAATGGTAGGAGACCTTTTGGCATCTCATGTCTCTTGGCTGGTTTTGATATTGATGGAATTCCTCATTTATATCAGACTGAACCATCTGGTATTTACTATGAGTGGAAGGTAAACAAAAACATTCTTTCACCATGTATTTCAAACTTTTTTATAAAACATATTTCTTGATATTCTTAGGCTAATGCTACTGGTCGTAATGCAAAAACAGTAAAAGAGTTTTTAGAAAAGTACTATACCCCAGAAGAAGTCTCTACTGTTAGAGGTACAATCAAACTGGCAATTAAAGCTCTCTTGGAGGTTGTCCAATCTGGCCAGAAAAATTTAGAAATTGCTGTAATGCGCAGAGGACAAACCATGGAGGTGAGTAAAAAGAAAAATTAAGCTTTTCTTATTCCATTTACAAAATTAATAATCTAAAATTTTTTATTCTTCTAGATGTTGGATGCAGACACAATTGGTGAATACGTGAATGAAATAGAAAAAGAGAAAGAAGCAGAAGCTGAGAAAAAGAAACAGAAAAAGTGATCAAATGATTGTTAATAACAAATAGATTTTTAATTTTTGCAAATTCTACTTTAAGAAGGTGTGGTGATTAAAATCACAAGACTTGAAACTTCTAATCCGCTTTGTACAATGGTGCAAACTTTAAGAGTGATTTTCTATTAATAAAGAAACAAAAATTCCTGGAAAATCTGTTCTTTAAATGCAGAAAATTTTACTTTGACTACAATTATTGAAAAATAAAAAAATGATAACTCATAAATCTTATAAAAATTTATTATAAGAATGTTTCAGAATATATTATTTTTTACACACATTCTCTGAAATTCACATTTAACAGTAAATGTCATTGCACTTATCTAAGTGATTCAGTGAAAAATCTAATTTTTCCACTTCTAGACAATCAACTTTAAAGCCTACTTTGTAACAATTAGCTAAAATTTATTTGAAGTCCACGTAATGTGCTAATATTTTTTAAACATTTATTTGAACTGTGCCATTTATCTTCTTCTATCTGCTTCTTCTACCGTGTATTCTGGTGACAGAGCTTTACCTCTGTGATTGAAAATTTGAAATGATGGTAAATTACGGAATGTTTCCCAAGATTTATTTTCTAAATCTACAACAGCTCTGATTTCTTTGAAATCGCCTGCAATGTGCATAACTCCGTACATTACAGCAAAAAGACTAGCAACGCCTTGTATGATTATCTAAAAAACAAAACATATTTTTGATAAAACTACGATGGGACATTTTATTATAAAATCAATTCAACTAATAAGTTTGACGTGTAATGAACTTATAATATTTTTTCTCACTTGTGCTAATGAATAATCACATATACAAGTAACTGAAAGATCGTTCCAAAAATTGTTGTAAAAATATAGTATATTTTGTAACAAGTGCGCGAAGCAGTTGACTCATCCAGAAGTTGTTTTCACCCGAGCGTAGCGAGGGTGCAAAGACTCCTGGATGAGTCAACTTCCTCGCGGACTAGTTGCAAACGATATTTTTTAACTCTGCTTGCGAGAAACTAGGGTTTTCTGACGCTTTAAGGTTAGAAAACCCGTGTTTCGCACACGCAGTGTTAAAAAATAAATAATATTAAGTAAAGACAAACTTACATCAATTGGTAATGTTGTAAATTCTTGTTCTGTTATCCTTAAATATGAGCGGTCTGAAAAAATAAAAATTTTTTACTTTTTATGTTTTTATCAACTATTACCAATGCAAAATTTACAAAAAATCAAATGAAAACCGGTGAAATAAATTTATATATAGAACATATATTTTAATAAACAAAATCGATAGTAAATCATACGTTGTACTGCTGAAAAAGCTGCATGAAGAAGCGAAAGAAATCCAAGAAATGTAATTATCTTATGAATAGCTTTAGCTGCCATGATATTTATTTGTTGATACAATAAATAAATTAAATTTTCACTCAATATGAAAACCACCAACAATTTCTAGTAATCGCAGACTACAAGCACTATTGCCTATGCTACGACAGCTACGTCAATACTCAATTCTTCCTCTTATCCTAAAAAGCCATAACATAACCACAATTGGCGATAAAAAGCGCCACCTAGGTTTGTTATTAAAATATCTATGGATACAATGACGACACAAATCAATTCCAGAATTCGGAGTTTTGCGTTTTGACGATTATAGAATTATAAATAAGGAGTGTTTGTAGAGTGTAGACTCAGATCATTTTCATTAACACTAAAATATATTTCAGTAAATTTATTTTCTGTGATTATTAAAATTATGAAATATATTTATTTTATAAATAAAGTTTTTACAATGCGGTTTAATAAACTATAATATCATACGAGAACAATGAAAAATATGCTTTGTTTAAAAAACATAGATGTTTGAAAAAATTCAGATTTTTCAAAGAAAATAGCAGTAGATAGTGCTGCCAAGTGACGTGGTTTCAAGTCAATTTAGTTTTATTTTTAAAGACCCTTTAAAGTCAGGACATGTAATTTTTCCGCTCGTCAGTCAGAAGATAAAATTCCTGAGTCGTTCCTCAAAGAAGTTGTGCCAATTCATCTTACATGTTAACTGTTCCAACAGTGAAAAAACAACACACATCGTAAACACCTTGATTTAAATTGTTGTAAGGAAATGAAAAACGCATGCGCCAATTGTAGCTAAGAAATCTACAATTTAGAACCAGACCTGTTAAAGTGGTGTTGTGTGAATCACTTGATTGGTCTATGAAGATTTAAGTAGGTTAAGCTGATCTAAACAAAATTTTCAAGGATGAACTGGATGAGCTAGCTAAAATTATTCTAGTGATGGAAAATAGATAGTATTTGTAAGTACAACAATTGGTTTGGATTTCACGATATTTAAGTTAAAAGATTAAACATTTGAAACTGGAAAAAAATTATAAACTATTGAAAATCTTGATTTATTTGCAATTTTCTTTCAGTAAAAACACTTTAAAACTGTCACAATGGAGCTCAATTCAAATTATGATAATTATTGGCCTGCAGCGCAGCCCCAAGCCCAAGATGCAGCTCAAACATTTCCAACTACTTTTAATTATCCACCTCCATCTTTGTCGCAACCACCACCTTCTCTTTCACAGCCTCCACCAGCTCTACCAAACTATACCCAAAATGTCAATTATGGGTATTATACCAATCAGTCATACTATCCTTCAGCACCAGTACCAAATACAACAACATCTTATCCTGATGGTGCTTCTTATCCAATTTATAATGGTCAAACTCCAGCACAATCGCAATTTCAAAACAATTCATATTACCCATCGAATTTTGCGCAAAATCAAAATAGTCTTTATAATTGGAACCAAAATTACTTTCATCAAGAAGGAAGTAAAACTGATACATCCAAATGGGTTGGTGGCAATTCATCTAGATCTGAAAATGCAAATAGTAAATACAATACTATTTTAAATAAAAATTCATCAGACGTAAAGTATAGAGCTTTAAACAATGGTAGACAGCGATCTAAAAGCCCTGAAAGCCGTCATAGTTTTGTCAATCATAACTCGAGGGGAAAGTATGATAATTATTCTGCTAGAAGCAGTAGCAGAAATAGAAACAGAAGTAGAAGTAGGAATAGAAGTCATAATGATAGTAGGTATAGTAATAGAAGTCGACACAGGAGCAGGAGTCGAAATAGAAGTAGAAGCCAAAGCAGAAGTAGAAGCAGAGGTCAAAGAATATCAAGGGACCATTACAAACAAAGGAGTAGAAGTAGAGATATAAGATCATATACCAGTTATTCAAGCAGAACAAATAGATCTGCAAGTAAAAATACCAGAAGATCAAAAAGTCGAACCAGAAAACGTTCTAGATCACAAGATTCACATTTTCAAACAAATCGTTCTAATAATCAATCTAAGTCTAAACAACCTAGTGAAAGAGAGTTATTATTAGCAAAGTATAGGTAAGTGAATAATAAACATAACTTTGTATTAGTGCAGCTGAATAATAATGAACTAATTATTTTCTATTTCAGACGAAATTATTGTTTAAGTAGCGATGACATTAGAAAAAAGTTAAATGAATTAGAAAATGTTGTTGAACAAAGAAGTTGGATTAGAAGCGCACCTGCAGATTTATATTATGCCAGAGATGAAAAAAATCCCAAAATTACCAAAGGAACTGAAAAGTTAAATTTTTTGTGTGTACGATTCAAAGATTCAATTCTTGATAGGGCTGCTAAGGTCAGAGCACAGCTTCCTCCTTATCAACCACCAGCCAGAAAAACAAAGGGTCGTGTTTGTAAACACAAATCTGAAGTTTGCAGTTCATCTTCTAGTGATGAAGATTCTCCAGATGAAGATGATAATGCTATGGAAGAACTCATGACTAAAAAACAACATCCTTACAGGTTGCACAGTGAAATGTGGTTCAATGATCCTGGAGAGGTATTTGAAAAATTTTTCATAAAATTATTATTATAGTATCAGAACAAGCTAATTTTTGGCAAAATATTTTTTGCAGATGAACGATGGTCCATTGTGTCGATGCAGTGCTAAATCGCGTAGGTCTGGTATTAGACATGGTATTTATGCTGGTGAAGATGCTTTGGAAAAATGTGATCCAAATTCCAACAATGCCGACAAATTACATCATTACCGCATAACAATTAGTCCACCTACAAATTTCCTCACCAAAACTCCCACAATTATAGACCACGATGAGCATGAGTTTATTTTTGAGGGGTTCTCTATGTTCTCGCATTTTCCATTGATTAAACTGCCTACTTGTAAAGTGATTCGATTCAACATAGAATATACAATAATGTATGTTCCAGAAAAAATGCCAGAAAACTTTACAATTCGTGAACTTGATTATTTTCGTAAGTAATATTTGAAAAAATTGTTATAAAACCAATAGATATTTTAATTTAAATTTATTTTTATTTGTTCAGATGATTACCTATTCCAAGAAATCTTAGAGTTGGTTGATTTTGATTTGCATGCTGCTCAAGATAAAACAGGCTGTAAACAGTTTCATTTCATGCCAAGATTCGTTCGAGACTTGCCTGACAATGGACAAGAAATTTTATCGATGAACGAGGTATTGACTTACCTCATGAAAAGCAGTACTTTGCTTGTTGATCCTGATGAGTTGCCGAAGCTCATTGAAAAACCCCAATACGAGTGGCAAGATTTTGCCGACGAAGTCAAGGGTATGGTTGTTACTTATCCAGGCAAGAAACCATGCAGTGTGCGCGTTGATCAGCTTGACAGAACACAAGTAAATCAACCCGTTGGTGTCGTTGCCTATCCAGAAATTGTACACTTCGGTATAAGGCCACCGCAACTTAGTTATGCCGGAAATACGGAGTAAGATTCGTTTTAAAACAAAAATAATTTTTTATGTTTAATCTCAAATGTGTGCTGATACTTATGCTTTGATTTTCAGTTATCAAAAAGCGTGGCGCGAATACGTCAAATTTCGCCATTTACTTGCCAATATGCCGAAACCTACGTTCGAAGATAAACGTAAGCTCGAAGCTAAAGAAAATAAGCTGCAAGAGCTTCGTACTCAGAGCAAAATGAAGCGCGATGTGACCGTTGACGTATCCTCAGCCGGATTTTACCGAACCGGTATCATGTGCGATATCGTTCAGCATGCTATGCTTATACCAGTGCTGGTATGCCATTTGAGATTCCACAAATCGTTAGCCGTTCTTGAGCAGACTCTCAATTATAAATTCAACAATAGATATTTATTACAACTGGCTTTAACGCATCCGAGCTACAGAGAGAATTTCGGTACTAATCCTGATCACGCTCGTAATTCTCTGACCAATTGCGGCATTCGACAGCCTGAGTACGGAGATCGCCGAATTCATTACATGAATACGCGTAAGCGTGGCATCAACACTCTTATCAACATCATGTCGCGTTTCGGCGCCAAAAAAGAAACCGAGTCTTCTATCGCTCACAATGAGCGTCTCGAGTTCCTTGGGGATGCCGTTGTAGAATTTCTCACGTCGATTCACTTGTTCCACATGTTTCCGGATCTTGAGGAAGGTGGCTTGGCCACTTATCGAGCGGCTATCGTTCAAAATCAGCATCTAGCTGTACTGGCGAAGAAACTTAACTTGGATCAGTTCATGCTTTATGCCCATGGCAGCGATCTGTGTCATGATTTGGAATTGAGGCATGCAATGGCTAATTGTTTCGAAGCGCTGATGGGTGCGCTTTTCTTGGATGGCGGCATTGAAGTGGCCGATCGCATTTTCGGAGAAGCTCTGTTCCAGAATGAGGACGATATGCTTAACACTTGGGCCAATTATCCAAAACATCCTTTGCAAGAACAGGAGCCTCTTGGTGATCGTCAGTGGATCGGCAATTACGAGCTTTTGCAGAAGCTCACCAAGTTCGAAGAATCGATCGGAATCAATTTTACTCATATTCGTTTATTGGCTAGAGCCTTTACCGACAGAAGCATTGGTTACACGAATTTGACCCTTGGTTCTAATCAGCGAATGGAATTTTTAGGCGATACAGTCCTGCAACTCATTGTGTCTGAGTATCTTTATAAGCATTTCCCAGAGCATCACGAAGGTCATCTGTCGGTGAGTTTTCAATTTTCTCCTCATTTAACAATCGAACCTCATGCACGATTACTAATCCAGTCAAACTTTCTTTGCAGTTATTGAGAAGCTCTCTGGTAAATAACAAAACTCAAGCGGTAGTCTGCGACGATCTTGGTATGACGCAATACGCCGTTTACGGCAATCCCAAAGCCGAACTCAAGACCAAAGATCGAGCTGATTTACTCGAAGCTTTTCTCGGTGCTCTCTATGTTGATAAAGGTTTGAAATACTGCGCCGTTTTTTGCAATGTGTGCTTCTTCCCAAGATTGCAAGATTTCATTATGAATCAAGACTGGAACGATCCAAAAAGCAAGTTGCAGCAGTGCTGTCTTACGCTCAGAAGTATGGACGGTGGCGAGCCTGATATTCCATTATACAAGTACGTATATTGTGATGAGAAAAGTTCGTTTATTTTTCTATGCATACCAACTTCTTATACTCTTGGTTTTGATTTAACAGAGTCATCGAATGCAAAGGGCCTACAAATACACGTGTTTATACTGTTGCTGTATATTTCCAAGGAAAGCGTTTGGCCAAGGCATCTGGTCACAGTATTCAAGAAGCAGAAATGAACGCCGCCAAAGAAGCACTCGAGAGATCGCAAGCCTTATTTCCCCAGCTCGATCATCAAAAGCGCGTCATCGCCAAGAGCATGAAGATGCACAATTGGACGCAAAGTACGCCCAAATCAGCGCAGTCATCGAGCCGCAACAAAGGTGGCAGTAGCAATAATAATTCAGGTGACGAGAATCGAAGTCGACGCAGTAGACGCAGCAGGTCACGCGAGCGCAACGAAAGGGAGAGATCATCTCGGTCTCGTGATCGTTACGACAGCGCCGATCGGCGCTTGCTTGAGAGCAGTAGCGATAGTGATACTGGCAAAGCTAGAAGTCCGAGTCCGATTAATTACATTAATTACGCGGACGACGACAGTTCCGACGAGGATTACGTCGATTCTTATAAACCGAAACGTACTCTTTCTCAAACCACAGAAAAGTTAACGATCGAGGAGATAGACCCAAACGTCGAGGAAGATGGTGAAAATCCAGCGTCGAAAAAATTTAAAACTAACGATACCAACACTGCTGATAATGACCTTAAAGTTGCCGAGTAGTTGTGCGATTCGTTGACCTAGTACAAAAACTTGTTTATATTTTTAGCTGACAGTTTTTGTTCGGCTAGGCTGATGAAGCGTATCAACTCTGCAGGTTGTGACAAAATATAGTGCCAGGCTGAGTGATAAAAGATTTTTTGAGAGCATTTTTATTTGATTTTTTGTTAATTAATTTTTGAAGGCTAATACGCACTCACAGCTCAATTGAATTATCAGATATTATTAATCTAATTTATGTATAATTGCAGCAATTGAATTGTTTTAATAATACTATTATTATTACAGTAATAAAAAATGATTTATTTGAAACAAATAATTTCAATTATTGTGAAAGTTCTATTTACATATATACATATTTTTCCACGTTTAAGCATTGTTATTAGCATCTGACTTGAGTTGAAGATGTGCATTTTTGGGGTCATGTGGGTCCAACATATGAGGATTTTCTAAAAGGAGTTGGCGATTCAATGACATACTGTCCAATATTTCTTGTAAATTCCAATTTTTTGTTAATAATGCATCTCGTACATTAAAAAGGCCAAACTGAGTGCATTGCATATAACTACAATGAGCAAAACTATGAAGTTTATAACCCAATTCAGCAACAATTGATTTTAAGTAATCATCATCTTCAGTTAAACAAACCATTTCTATAAAAAGTTGGATTATAATAAGTAAAAATAAGTTACTTAAAATTAAATTTATTTGTATTTACCTAATGTAAATTCTGGTGGTTGAAAGTCAACACATTTGATAGAGTAAATCATAGGAATTTTAGCATCTCCAGTACGTATAATACCTTGAGTAGCCAGATCATATGCTTCTTGAGTTCTAATATCTACTCCAGCCATTCTAAAAAAAGGATAAAATAAAAAGTAATTCTATTATCATTTCTTGAAGGTAATCTCCACAAAAAAATAAGGGTACTTACTGAAACATTTTCTTCTGGTGATCTGCTTGCATATAGGCACATACTGCATCAATACCATGCCTTCTTATTCTTTTCCAAGTAGCTTTGTGAGTAAGTTTTCCTGTAGCAAAATTTCCAATTCTAGCTTGTCCCAGAATACCTCTTATTTTGTAAAATTTTGTGAGGCGTGCCTCTCTAAGTTGTTGAATGATTTGTGAACCATGGTTTATGCCGCAAACTATGACACCTGAACTTTCCTGACTTAATTTATTAGCATAAGTGAATTTCAAATCTTCAAGAACATACTGAGGTCCAGCTATAAGTGGATGATCTGCATAACTATCTCTTACTACAACAGACATCTTTGTTTGAGTTGATCCCTTGATATCAACATATTTTTGACGTTCATATGGTTTTAGTTGGTTCAAATCTTAAATCATTCACAAGTTACAAAACAAAATATTTTATTAACTGGAAATAACAATTAAATTAAAAACAAAACGTATACTAATCCCTTACCTCTACAAATATTTCTCATAATTGTTTCCTTCATTTGTTCAAAATGTAAACCGGGAGGTTTGTAAATGGAAAAAACTCCGTTCATTACTTTCCATACCGACGCTGCGTCTTTGACTAACTGTGAGCTAAATGGATTCATTTTATTTGAAAGTAAATATTAAAATAAAAAAACTTAATATTTCTGTCAAACACTACACGATTGTTCGTCACATGGATGGAACAGTGTCGTCGAAAAAACGTCCGCTACCAGCGCACGCGTCTTCGTTTTGTTTACGTATTTATACTTATCTAGCCGGTACTTGAGTTTGTTTGAAATGTCTCAAATTAAGTGCAAAATGACTGATTAAGAATTAAAAAAATAAGTTTTTATAATAAAATAAGTATATTTAATCTCTATCGTCTCACTATTTAATAGTAACTATTATCACATTTCGTTGACACGGGCACCATAACGCAAATAGAAAGTTGAGTCGTCTGCTACGTCGTGTTTTGAAAACAGCGCGATCTATGTTGATATCACGTAAAATTTGCAAGCGGCCGTATTTCTCATGATAACTTTGCTGAATATTTGCCGGCTTAACTTTCGGCGAGGTAATTACTTTTATCAACTAGCTAATTACTAGTGTAATTATCTGTGTTTAAAATTTGTTTTAGATATTTCACGGAATAAAATATTTGTATTTGAAAATATTATCAACAAATAATTGTTACAAGATAACGTTTATAAATAGATTTGACGTATAGGTTATATTTACAAGTAATTGATATGATTGTAAAAATGTATGTAAAATCCGTATGTCACCGACGAAATATTTTTTAGAATCAAATTAAAACTATTTTAAATATCTTTTCAACGCATAAATAGAGTTGGACTATAAATTTGTAATGAATTAATTAATGGATAATATGATTTTTCCAGTTGTAAGTAATTACAGTACCTGTTTAAAAATGTCTGAAGTTTTAAAAACTGTTGAAGATGTTGACATTGACCCTTGTGGAGTTTACAAGTACATCCTCATTGAAGTCCAAGAAAAGAAAACAAAAGAAAAGAAAAATATTGTCAGAGGATATGCCAGGTGTGAATATCATGGTGAGAATAAAACATAATTTATTAAAAGTTTTCTCAAAATAAGTAATATTTATCAACAATAATTTTATTGATTATCAACGGTATGATTGTTCTTCAAATGATACACTGTTTATTCATATAAATGAACAATTGACAAACATTTTACAGTTATGACATGAAGTAAAATTAAAGTAATTGATTACCAAAGAGTTACATTTCACATTTCTTAGGCTATATACATACAGTTGTATAATAATTTAGCATTCATATATTTTAATCCTAGTTTTTATTAAAATTCATGGGAAGGTTGTAAATCAAACGCATAATGGCAGTAATTATTTTTTCCAATTGTCAAAAAATGATTCTGAGTTTAGTGCACTTTTGATCAATTATAATTGTTATCTATCGATATTGTTTTCTGCAGTAGTATGATAACTTTTAAATATTGAAAATTTTATTTAAAAAAATTTTAGAGTGTGAAAAATATAAACTTATTCAATTACTTTACTATTATCTAATAGTCATCCAGTATCAAAATGTTTACCTTCTACTTGGATGATATGTAGTTTTGACAATAACAAAGTATTCAATCAGTTTTAAGGAACTGTATTTATTTATGAATTATTATCTTCTGTTAATGGAAAAGATAACTGACCATGAATGCTTTGCCCACATAAAAATAAAGGTATTTACAATTTTACAATGATTGTATACGTAAAACAATTAAACGTATCATATGCATAATCGTTGTTAAATATTGAAATGACACACCAGTTTACGACAGTTAGCTCTACTGATAGTTTACATTTTGTTGTTTATATTCTTTATTTCAAGCAGCTTTTGATAATTATTATTCTTGAACTTTATCTCAAACAAAGTATTGTGGAAAATCAACATGGATACATAATACTTTATCAATCTTGTTACAATACTAATATATATAAATACTTCTACCAACAGTTATAATTTGATACTCACCCTTGAGGGTAGGGTAATTTTTTCGCTTTTCTTTCGTCTAATTATCATTAGTTTAAATGATATACTGATATCGATAAACGTCGCTGCTAACACATAAATTACAGTTCGCCGAGTGGTGGCGCGACAACTATTATCATTTATAATGCTGCACGGCAGCACACGACTTAGGAGATAGAGCACTACGAGGCGCGTCTGAAGCAGCACCAGGCCCGTTGTATGCTGAAGCCGTGGTGATGATGATGCTTGCAGCTGTTCTGGGCAGCCGAGGCAGCAGCAGCCGCCGTGGCCACCGCAGCCGCCGAGTTACCGGTCAGCAGCGGCAGATTGAGGTTTTTCGCCAGCTGGTGCTGCTGCTTGGTCGCCTTGACACCGCGACTCGTGCCGCTGATGTAGACGATGGCCTCGGTCGTCGTTGTCCCCGATGTCGCTGTTGTGGTTGCTGCTGCGGCGCCAAGCGGGTCTCAGGTACTCCTCTCGTCGCCGTCGTTGCTGTCGAAGCGCTCGATCAGGTCGACCCGCGACATGCTCTCGCGTCTCGATATGGCCGTGTCCTTGCGGCCCAAGTGCGAGCTGGAGGAAGACGTATTGAGGATGGTCGATGTTAGCGGCTGCTGCGCGCAGGATATGGGGATTGGCGTCTCGATGCTCGGCGTCGTCGTCAATTTGACTACGGTCATTTTCGGCCTCGTGGGTATCGGCGTGTTGATTAACGTTAGCCTGCGGACAGCCAAGTGCGCAGCGGGATGATAATATTGTGTGTATCGATTATATTATTCGCTAGACTTGTCCTCTCGTTCCCTTCCACTGCTCGAGAAGAAGAGAACGAGAGAGAGAGAGGGAGATAGAGAGATGGATTTATACGCGATCATTACTATTGCATTAGTGTAATAGAACGGATCGATATGGAAATTCAGGTGGGCACTGCACTATATCTGCGCTCTATACGTGTAGCCTCTGCTATCTCCCCCGAGCCATTGATGCTGTGCTAATTGTTTGGAAAAATTCAATTTGCATTGCGGACGGCCCGAGGCTGCTGCTGCTGCTGCTGCTGCTCGGATAAACCAGTTAGACGCACGAGTAATTGTTAAATTAAACAGACGCACGGACGTACTAACAAAAAAAAAAGAACAAAAAAAAGTAGAAAAGGACGCTCCGAGTTCGTCGCAAAGTTTTTGGCAAAGCTATTTTCATTATCATTTTTTGCAAGCTCGTGGCCCCGATGTACAATAAAAGCGTCTAAAAATAACATCGCTCGTAGAAGTGCGTTCACTTATCGCGTTCAGTTTTTCGCGACACGGCGATCCGCGCGCGGCTATACTCGCTCGAGAGTGCGCATAACTATTGCAATATACGAGGCCAAATAATCTTTGCTTTAAATTCCCAACGAAGAAGAGAACGAGTTATGCGGGGGAAATAAAGAAGAGGCGTGCTTGGCACTTTGCAACGTTGTTTACTATATTACTACGTGGAGAGTCGCGCGCGAAACAGAGAGCTTGCGGGCGGTCCCGTTCTCGTTTCATTACGGCCGCGCGCGACGCGACAGAAATCTACGACTCGCGCCAAATTATTCCAACGTAAATTACTCGGACCGAAAAGAGCCGGGGCTCTGCGAGGCTTCGAGCAAAATCTCGGTGCAAATGAAAGAGAGAGAGAGAGAGAGAGCTAGAGACCCACCCCGAAGCCGCGTCGTTCTCGGCGCTCTTCTTGTCCTCGGGGTCGATGCGATACTGCATGTCGTCCTCGTCGCTCGTGTCGACGTCCTTGTCGTCGATGAACGGCAGGCTGCGATAATTGTCGTCGTCTTCGGGCTCGTCGACGGTCTCGATCTTGTCGAGGGTGCGCTTCGAGGGAGTGTGCGGTGGACTGGCAGCCAGGTCAGTGGCTGCACCAGCGCCCGGGGCTCCGACCATCGTCGCCGATGCCAAGTTGCTCGTGTAGATCGGATCGCTCTTGCTGTGCATCAGCACGAAGGGTAGCTTGAGTCTAACGAAGCTGCCGATCCAGTCGCCCATGATTTTCACACAAGCCAGGACTTTGACCTGCGGTGCAAAATTAGAGCAGCGAATTAGTGCAGCTTGGGTAGAAAGAAAGAGAGATAGAGAGTAGAAATTACGCCGGACCAGAGCTTTTTTGCATATGTTAATGAGCGCTCGTTACAGACTAACGTATGCCATAGATCGCTGCAAAAAAGAAAAAACGGCAAAGCCTGCTCGGGCCCTTCTTGCAGCTCGAGAGACGTTACCCTCTCGCAAAAACCCGAGACAGTTTATTATTACAACTCCGGCTATTACGCGTACTCGTTTTTCACATTTGCGCGTACGCATATCGTACATCCGAACGCTTAAAGTGTACAAGGGCAAAAGAAAAGCTCGCGTTCAACGATATCTAAATGAACGCTACATCGGGCTGAAAATGTATATAAAATACATGTATATATTGCAGGTGGGCAGTTTCAGTTCGATAACATAATTGTTATATTCAATTTCATCGGGCGCGGGAGTAGATGATGGGATCCAAGAGAGAGAGAGAGAGAGAGAGAGAGAGAGAGAGAGAGAGAGAGAGAGAGGAAGCGCACTCGGAAAGCAATCACGTAATTCTAATCTTTCGCGTTGGAAGTAGCGCATACAGCGACGCTATATCGAACGTTAAGAAATTTCATTTTGTTCCGTCGTTAACGGTGAATTTAAATCTCGTGGACTTTTTATTTTTTCATCTCCCTCGCTCTTCTTCTGTTTTTATTCGATGCATGCGCGCATTGTTTCGAAGCTTTTCCTCTCTCGTCTCTATTAATAAAGGCAATGTAGGGAAAAAAGGAAGGTTTTATCTTTCATTCCTCGGCTGAAATTGCGTCGATAAAAATTAAATTAACGTGTGCAAGTTTTTAGCCCAAGTGCACTCGGCATGGCACGCGCAACGTACACGGGTGTATATATAGAGGCCGACCTTTGCGTAATACGAGACATAAATGGCGAAAACGTTGCGATCCTCGGGCGCGTCGCCGGCGCAGACGACGGTCGGGGCGAGATTCGGGTCGCACTTGGGATAACCGGGGTCGTCCTCGAGGGCGATCCAGTTCTTGGTCTGGCCCTTCTCGGGCCTGAGTACGTAGCTGCGCTCGAGGCTGAAGCCCGGCTCGACGGGGCAGCCGTCGCGCGTCGACACCTGCGCGACGATGTTCTTGAATTCGCCGTTGCTGAACATGCACACGTCCACGTGTTGCACAATGTCGACCTGTAACGAAAGAAAGAAAAACACACAACGTGAAAAGCAACAAATACTGATACGTGCTGTATATATATATATTCGAGGATGCGAGCGTCCAGCCGCGAGTGCACGCGTCTATATATACGACGTACACACTCGTGCTACATAATACAGAAACTTGTTTTGCATACGAATTGGCCCCTTATGTTTATACGCGGGCCGAGCGAGGAGAGAGAAAAGTGCTCGGCATTCATGTACGCTCACGTTCGTTGCAGCTCGAGCTCTCGTGCCAACTCTGCGTTGCGAGACTCTGTGCAGTATGAGTTTCTGTATAAACGCAGTGCAACTGTAGCAGCAGCAGCAGCAGCAGTAGGCAGCAGTCGATGCGCGCAGAGTGCGGTTGCGGCTGCTAAATGCACAGCTTAAATTTTGTATGGAGACGAAACATGTTGCGTTGAGCGGATTGCGGATAATGCAATATGAATATGTACCCCGAGTGAAAGAGAGAGAGAGAGAGAAACGAAACGCACAGTGACTCTCTCGTTGTATCCCGTACGGCGTGGCTCAATTAGTTGTTTGCGCGAAGAGTGGCCACAACAACGAGACTGCCGTACGCTGCATATTTGGCCAGGATAATTAGAAAAAATATTCCGCTCTCCGGGTATACTCTGAACGCTCATGAGCGCATAATGGAATTAAATATTGGCCCGCGCAAACATGTATAATACAAGGCGAGCTGCGCGCTCGGCAAATGCGATTATTTATTTAAACTTTTATTTACACGTGTTACGCCCGACCGTACGAAAGCTCCTTTTTCTACCAAAGCATTCGAACTATGGAGCTGCTGGGGCTGCACGAATTAAAATGACTTTTGTACACGCGATCGCGTATAGCTCTCCGTTAATATTTCGTGCGCGAATACGCAGAAGCGCAAATGAATTTCTTTGATCCAAGTCGAAAAGCCGTCAATTATAATTCTATTTAAGCGCATCTGTCGTATATGTTTTTGCGCGTACAGAGATCGAGTCGTCTTTTCGCGCTCGACAAAGCGCAGTCTTTGTCGCTTATAATTGCAGGAATTAATGCTAAAGCCTGCGGTCCGCTGCGTATTATCCATTAACATAAATTTCGAATTCGCCGGGAAGTAACTTCTCATCCTTTAAGCCTGGCCTCGAGTATTAGTCTGGCCAAAAATCCCCTTTCATCCACATATACATATTATAACGTTAGCCGAGAGCAGCAGCGGCAGCCGCTTGTGGCGCTGCTCACCTTAACGCACTGCGCGCCTGCATGTATATATAATTCCGGAAGTTATAAAACACGGTATTATGAACACGAATTATACTTTACAGCTTGAACAATAAAACTAAATTATCGCAATCGCGCGCGAACGATTTATACCGCGTATAGCATATACTGCACGCGCGTATATGCATGCGCATACGCAGACTTTATGCCAGGTAGTAGGAGAGAGGCAACGATCCATCGATATAAAACTCGAGTGCTGAATTATGAGCTATCTATCGCACGCGCACGTATGTCGCCGTATTCAGTCAGCGCATCTATATACGCTGCATACGTATATAGGCAATAAAAAAACATTGCAATCGCCCGCTACTCTACTTCGTCATTTTTCACCTGCGATATGCGACTCGCGCGCGTGGCTCGAGACTCGCTATCGCATGCATGCACATCTCGCGTGTTGGATTAAAAAAAAAAAAAATAATAATAAAAAAATAAAAGAGTTGTGCAAAAACGAGAGAGAGAGAGAGAAAGAAAGAAGAGACGCGCGTGGTAAAATGACCGATGGGACGTACACGATGATCGGGCAGTCGCGGGACGATACTCGCGCGATCGTAACTCGCGTGTGCCCGGCGTTACGCGCCGTGAATACGAATGGCTTTTCATTTCGTATATTGGCTGCGACAAAAAAAGCACGAGTCCGTGCGTTCGAGTCGTGGACGGCCATTAACATATATCGCGCCTTTTGTTTATAGTAATTGCTCTTCGGGCTTTTAAAAATATTTCTTTCACTTTCTGCGCAATGTATGCTGCGTAGGCACGTGATCGGGTACAAGGGGGAGATTACGATATCCGTGGTCCCGCGAGTTTATGCAAAATTTCGACCCAGCTCGACGTAACTAAGTATCTAAACGTGAAAAAAGTCGACTACAAGTGTTGTCGACTCAACTCGTGACCTGTGTGATGCAGAAAACACAACTTATAAGCAGGTAATGTGGTCAGCACAAAGGGTGTATTGGATGCTCCCCGAGTGAGTGCGGTCGTCGGGTAGGTGCCGGCGTGTGGAGCGAGGTCAGGGCGAGGAGCGGGTGCAGGGGCGCAGCCCCTGCTGGGGGAGCAGGGGGCGAAGCCCCCGCTGGGGGGTTGGGGGGGCGAAGCCCCCCCACTAAAAAAAACCACACACATATTTAAAAAAAATAAAAAAATAAAAAATTCAGAACTTTTTTTTTAATTTCATTGATTTATTCATTATAGAACTACGTGACAGAATTAAACTCACATCTTCCAGAAACTTAATCGCGACTTCATTAGTAGCTACTAACTTTTCAAATGAGTAAAAAATGGAAAATTTTTTTTCAATTTAGTATATAACAAAGGATTGTGCACTCATTTTTTCATAAACTAATTACCCGTCAACTATATCAAAAAGCACTGACAAAAAGCTATACAATTTACTGCCAGCTAAAAGTTGTTTAACGGACAAACAATGATCGTTCAAACGCATCGTGTTCGAAATTCAATAATTGAAAATTATCGTAGATGTTAAAAAATACAATTATAGATAAAAACTTAAGGAATTTTGATCAGAAAAAAGATACAGATAAGGGAAATATACTAAATTAGGCATAAATCCTTTTTTTTTACTCTAACTTTATTGTTATATAAATTGAAAGTTTTCACATTACAATGAATGCAAAAAGTATTTAAACACTCCAAACGATCGAGATTGAGCGCCATCCATCGGAATTTTGCATAAAATCGCGGGACCACGGATATCGTAATCGTGCCGGTACAAGCATACGTCTCCGAATTTACGGGTAGTTGATAAAGCGACGCACAGAGCGTACGTCCCTGAAGCAATGCAGACATACTCGGATCGCTTTCGAGTACATCGAGTCGGATATAACGTCAAAGGCCATCGATCAGTCAAGGGGCAAAAATTACCACGCACTACACTGCACGTGCATAAGCTGCGCAGTTATGCGTCGATATCTATCTCTCTCACACTTTGTACACTGTCGTCTCACTTAGATCTAACTATTGTTTGTATTTACGCGCACAGCCGAGAGCTTGCGGGCAACTTCATCAAGAAGCGCGTCGAGCGAGCCGTTATAAGCTTGTACTTCTCGAAAGCTCTCGCACCACCCCCGTACCTCCCTATACATCGCCTCCTCCTCCTCCTCCTCGTATACCACAACATACAAGGCAATATATACCTTATACCGGTAGTGTGGAATTGCGATGATCTCGGGTGTACGTGTATTTGTACGTGCGATATAGAGGGTACGCGCTATATGAAGATATAGCCCTTGTTAGGTGCATAATATTGCTGCCAGAGCAACAGCAGCAGTGCGATTCACACCTCTCGTCGTTGTACTCGATAAGTAATAAACAGGGTGCACGTAATTCATATTTCAGTTGCACGCTTAATTATTATCTCGATCCAGAGTTGGACATTTGCAAATTCCCTCGTTAAAGTGCGCGTATGTATACGAATTTCAACGGCTAATCTACTCGAGTCCACTAACGTTTGGAACCACAGAACGTCGCTCTTTATGTCTAGTTTATTGGCTGCAAATATCAAGTCACTCGAAGCTCAAACTTTTTAAATACTCGGTTTGGATGAGCTTGTTATATCCTCTTTTAAAAACGTCTTGAATATTTTTGTACAGGTAACTTTTCGAGATAATGACAAGACGTTGTCGTAAGTCGTAAAGATCATAGCGTAGCGAGAAAAAAATTTTTAAATTAAACATTTTTTACTTACGTTTTATAAGAAGCCCCCAAGAATCCAAAAAATCGGAAACAATTCAAGGCTCTTTGAAACCTCTGTGGAAATTCCAAATTTTTTAACTCGAAAATGGCTTTGGAATTGTTATCGAAAAAACGGACGTTTGCATGACTTTTGCCGCATGCCAACGACATTGAGGTTTAGAATTTTTACTGTAGCCAAATTCTACTATTTTTCTAAGTTACCTTTCACTTTCCCGAATCCGCTATTAAAGATACTTAAAGCGTGTCTAAATCCGAGGATCCTCGATACACAATAATTCATAAAATTTCGCCTTTTACCTATTTGCAGATGGCGGATTAGGAAAAGTGTGTTTTAAGAGTCGAAAGATTGGAATATAAAAGTTTCGAAGTTTTGATTTTTCTCGTACTACTATAATCAGGCAAACATAATTAAGGAGAAAGTGTATCAAAATTTAGGTGCACATGGATACGTAGAAAAGAGAGTTGCTAGCAGTAGAGAGCTTACTTGTGCCACACATATTCAGCAATATCAGGCAAGCATGCCCGAAAAGAAGTGTAAAATATTGTGGTTTTGACTGATCTGAACAAGGTATTCGTGAAAACGTCAAGCGATAGTTGCTATTAGCGGGGGTCTTAGTCGTAACAACCATATTCAGGTCATAATTTTTTTAGAAAAGGATAATTAAATTCCCTAATGGACTTTTAGTCAAAGCAATTTTACACGCAAACATGATACGTGTAAGCAACAGCAGCGCGCAATTCTCTCTTGATAAAGCTTTATATATTGAATATATATATGTGTGCTATGCGACTTTGGTTAGTGCAATTTGTAAGGGATATCGAGTGTTGGTATCGTGTGCGAAGATATATACAGCATCTAACGGCCTCGCCGAATTTTCCTCGTTATTACAGGACGTATTAGATATCGAGGAAAAAGCAGCTGGCGGCAACGAGCAAGCTCGGCGAGCAGCACTAGCCTCCAGTACTGGATTATGCATGCGCCGAGCCTCTCCTATATAGATGCTTTCTAA